ATTTTGCAAATAAATATGTCTAAATATTAATGAAACTTTTAAATTAGTCGTGTGTATAATAATATAAAAAATAATAACAAAAGCTGTTGTAATAAGTATAAGTATTTCAAATAACATCGATAAATGCCGTTCGTTGGTAAACGCATCGCTCGAGAATGGCTAGATTGATTTTGCTATTTTTTAAATGTTCGTAATAGCCCAATTAAGATTATTCGACGTACGATTAGAGAATGCGTTCTAAATTCAAATATTTCTAAATTCAATGTGTCAACGAAATATCTCGATGTTCATTGGTAAGTTTTTCATTTTAAATTTAGAATGGTGAGGTTAGTTAGTCGATATTTTGCACGACTAAATTAGCTTTATTTTTTGTCGAACAAAAGCAACTTATCGGACGAAACCAATGCGGTTCGGAAATATTCGGTCGCCTTCATACGTATAACAATCGGCTGGTATTTAAAAGAATATAGTGATAACGTAATGTGATCGGTATTGTGTTTTATGCCATAGAAGATAAGGTTTATTAAGTGTCGTATGTCTTGTACATGTTTCGAGCTTAGTTGACGTCAACTGTGCCTTATTCCATAAATAACTTTAAGTAAAAATAAAATGGGTCGCCCTAATTGTTTACTTAAGAACAAAAGAGCAGGACGTTATTGCTCGACTGCGGTACAACAGAATCGTTGAACGATTACATGCTGGTGGCCTGATGGGACCTGTTGATTGCGGTTCGAAAAAGGAATTGGGTGTATTGCGGATTACACCATGAAACTCTTTTGACTATTGCTGAAGACCATAGGGTGTTAATTCTTTTATTCTTATTTTGGAGCCATAACTCCAAGAATATATGAATGGATAAAAAAGCATTTTAGTTGAAAATTAAACTTTACATTTTGCTACTTAACGAATAGCCATAGCTAGTTTCGTGAACATATTAGATTTATGTATTTAGAAAAAGAAGAAAATATTTGAATTTAGAATGCATAACCGTATATATTCAAGCAGAAATTGCACGGCAGTTAATATAAGCTATTATATTGATATATGTATATTCTTTAGAAAGGAAAAAGGCAGATTCAATCGTCACAAAACGAATATGGAATCGATACGGAAGTAGACCCTATCTATTGCAAAAATAACTAACAAAATCAGCCACCCCCACCTCCTAGACAAGTGTCAAACGACTATATTGATAGAATCGTTATCGTTATAAAATTGGTAACGTAAAATCAAACGGCAACATCTGGTGTCTCACTCTTTGTTATACGAACGCTAACCGAAACTGTTCTATTAAAGGATACGTTTGTCATTTGTCTAGAGCAGGGGTTCCTAAACTTTTAAGATAATGGAATGCCCAACAAATACCTTTCATTTTATAGAACCCCATTTCAAATGATTACGATTCAAAAACACTGTAATTTAAATAAGAACAAAATCTTTTATTAGAAATATTTTAAAAGTATAACACTTTATAGTTTCCTTTAATTTTTAATGTGTAGAATGGAATTGTTTCACTGTATAAATATTTTCGCAGAACCCTGGTGACTTTTTACGAAACACTTAGATTCCGCGGAATCCACTTTAGGAATCGTTGGTCTAGAGGAACTGTTTAAAATTGGTTACGCATTCTTTTAACGTGGTCGCAAAAAATATAATCAAATTAAAAATAAAGAAGATTTTTGGAAGTTAAAAACTGCCATACAATATACAATAATTGCTTACCTTGGCAATTATTTATTATTTACTAACTAAAGCTTTGTTATGACTTATTAATAGCAAATTTTTTTGTTTAATCAGTCTTATTATAACATGGCTAGACTTACATCATCTTTTAAATTACTCGTCATGGATACAACATAATCGATGCCCAAATCGGTAGTCTGCCTGTAACCGTCTCGCCATAAATGCATCCCACGTCAATAAATTTAACTATGTGTATATATTAGATGATTATATGAAGCGCCCATTACCGATAGCTTTTATGGCAGTCTGTTGTAATAGTAGATTCTAAATCTAAACTCTAAATATTGTACTTGTATCGTTTAGTACAGCGTAATACAGCGATTTGAGAAGAAAATTTCAGGAATGGCAACGTATGAGCATATACAATGCACTCAGCGATGTCGGATGATGTAATAATGCTGTTTTATTGATTTATTCTATATAGTAGTTTTAGTACAAGTATGTTTATAAGGTGAACTTAATGATAAAAAGATTGTTAGGTAGAGACAGAGAGTCAACCTTAGGGAAGTATTAGAATATTCGAATGCAATAGTAGTATTAATTGATATGTGTACATAATAAAATGGGTAAACACAAATAAATATATACAAATATCCTATGCCTTCGTTTCTACATGAAAGCATCTGGTGTGGCTTACCTAACGCCAGGTTATATGTTACGCTCAAGTGCGTGCAATAGAGGTATCCATATAGATATTTGTTGTCGGAGAATTGTAAAATAAAGTTTTCTCTCTCACAACCGCCCAGTTGTAGCGCTTTGTCCTGGTGTACCTTGTATATTTATAATACTAACACGCCGTCCGCTCGTACGGGGGCTGTGATGTCACAACTACGGTTGGTTAGAGGTCATACTTACCGGCCGATACGTTTAGTTTTATTGTCTAAAACAATTGCTCGTGTTTCTCCACAAGTGAAGTAGTACCAATATGAACAGTTTCTTTTCTGTTGCATTTGTTGGCTTTTATTTACATTTACAACCAACTACAAAAAAAGAGGTCTCGATTCGGTTGTATTTTTTTTTATTAGTTTTGACAAATTCGTCAGTTGTAAACCGATTTGGAAAATTATTTTTTTATGTGAAAGGATATATCTACTTACAGATTGCTCGTATAGAAATTTCATCAAAATCAGTTTAGTAGATTTTAAATCAAAGTATTTTTGTAGAATACAATCTTAATTTTTTTTACTGTTTAAGGGTCACGCTTTCAGCTGATGGAAAGTGATGATGTCCAAGATGGAGTACGCCGGTCTAAGAATAGCTTATTCACATTTGCCTTTAATTGGTCTAGATTATATGTGTTAGGAATAACATGCGTTCATGTGTCATGTGTGTTTAAAAAAATGTAACGACTTTATCAATTCGTTTGAATTTTTTTATTGTTATGTAGCGCGATTTCGTCATCAATTCTGGTTCGATTCTCACAATTATTTGTGCAAACGATAAAGTTTAATCCCGTGCTGGTCCTATATTATTACAATATTTCTATTTTTCTATATTGATTTTCTGATGATTGAATCTGCCATTTATCTTTGTGGATTAAAAAACTGATTGATTGTTATGAAGCAACATATCGTCATAGTCGTAGAATACTGACGGATCTGACAAAGATTACATATAAAGATCCGTCAGTATTCGACGACTATGATATATTCACAGTTATACGTAATTCCCTGTTCTAAATTCAAATGATCGAAGTCGCTTTTTTACGTAGCAAAATGAAGACACGAATGGGTGAAAGTGATATGTCGCAACTTCGGATTTTCGCTATTCTATGAATGTATGGAGATACATAGAGGTGCTATGGGCGTACTAAAATAATTTGTACTTACGATTACTATAACTAATAGTTACTAGTATGCGCACAATATCTCCATTTTGTATAAAAGTCATTTGTTTGGGTACCTTTGTCCCATACGTGTTTTAATCGTGAAATAGTTGTGTGTATATGGCTGTGTTTCGGTTTGAAGGGTGGGATATGGCAGTGAATTTACACGGTACAGAGGCATAACACTATAGTCCTCAGGAATAGCAACGCTTGGAGGGTATCATGGGCGAAACAGTATATTCTGTTATGTCCATGGAACTGCTCATGTCTATAGACGACGGTTACCACTTTCCGTCAGTTTGTTGGCCATTCTAGGTTGTATAAAAAAATTCCAAGTTATTATATAATAGCTAAAATCCGAAAATGCGACATATCGTATCATTAATGTCTTCAAATGTATTTAATGCACCAAGTAATGGAATTAGCGGCTGTCAAACTAGTGTCTATAACAATCACAAGGGATCATAGTACATTGTGCAATCTATTTTTAGCTTCCACCAGCCAACTCCATTATAAATTTAAAGCTTTGTATAATTTAAATGGAAGTCTAACTAAATTGCAACTTTATAAGCAATTTCCTATTCTAAATTATTAATTTTGTGACGAATGAAACTATCATAACGAAACAACTCTAGTCAATACTAGCTGTTGCCTGCGACTTCGTCCGCGTTTCCGTCGTTTTTCGTAAAATGAGTAGCCTATGTCCTTCCTCACGGTGCAGTGGTTTTGATGTAACAGACACATTTCCCTTCACTGCTCTGCTCCTATTGATCGTAGCGTGATGAAAAGTATATTATAACCTGCCCAGGAGCATGAAGAATAATTGTACCAAGTTTCGTTAAAATCAGTCGAGTAGTTTTTGTTTCTATAACGAACATGTAGACAGAAAGACAAAAATTTTACTGATTGCATTTTTGGCATGAGTATCGATCACTAATAACCCCTGATAGTTATTTTGGATATATATGTCATGTACAGAATTGACCTCTCTACAGATTTATTATAAGTATAGATTAGTTTTATCACGAGTTGTGGTAGTATGGCAATATAAATTAATGAACGTCAATTAAATTTCTTTCAGTCATTCTTCTAATATGACCCATTTATTTCGAATGCTACAAAAATTTTGCCGGTGTATTAATGTTTATAGTCAATTAACTTCTGTACAGTATCTTGAAAATGAATTTTTTATTCCTATTCATTATTTTTCTTTAGTTTTTATTTGAAATATACCTTAGCGATATTAACACAAGGTTTATTTTTATCTCCTCTTATGCGACATGTAGCAGGATTCTAAACTATTAACAAGAACAAGCGTTGAAGAGGTTTAATGTCAATACGCTTTAAATTGAAGTTAATAGATATGTTTCAATATAATGTCATCTTTGTCGTGGTGTTCATCTTATGACATTGAGTTTTTTTTTTGTTACAGTCAAAGGCGCTGGGCAGGGTGTTGTTCGATCAAGTCTGCAGGCAGCTGCACCTTCTAGAAGCGGACTACTTCGGTCTGGAGTACCAAGATGCCAACGGTACAAAGGTGTGTTAAATTTTTAGTTTCCTTTCACCAACATCCATAAGATATTGTTTATTTATTTCATTTATTTATATGTGAAACGAGGAATGGAATTAATAAATTGATTTCTTGAGCTAGAGTTGTTGGAATATAGATTAATAACGTCAAACATTTCGAAGTCATTACACTATTACGTCGTGTCCAGTAATCAAGTTTGTATGGAAGTTCTTTAGAGGGAAATCTTTAGTTCCACTGTATACCATACAAAGATGACATCATCATCATCATTTTAACTGTTAACTGTCCACTGTTGGAATATAAGCCTACCTTATAAGAGTAGTTTTGCCAGTAGTTGCCATGCTTGATGTTTTTAGAGGCACGCTGCTCCCAATCCCTCTGTAATACAATACAAAGGTGATAATTATAATAACATACATTGTTTATTACCAAAAGACTGGCCGTATGCGGGCACGATTGTTTGACACCTGCTTGTATAGATACGATAAGTAAAAAATGTATTCAGTGAATAGAAATTGTGTCATAAAGTACCGTTCAAATAAATGGGAATGGATTTGAAATGGCGACTCGCATCAATTTTATAACAGTGTCAAAGACAATATTTGCACGCGACGCGACATCCGCGATACGAATATGTATTGCTTGTTTATTACCCGCTTGTTTCTCCCTTTATTCTCTTAGAATGTATTTACGTATATTATTATTCCATTTGTGTATTTAACGGTTATTTGTCGTAGTGTATTAAAATACATTGTTATTATTGTTGTATTAGCCGTTAACTGTCCACTGCTGAACATAGCCTCCTCCTTGGGGAGTTTTGCCAGTAGTTGCCACGTTTGCCAGGCGGGTTGGCAACCGCAGTTTGCCTGTTGGTGATATTTTAAGAGGAAAGTTGCTGCCTATCCTTCCACCTTAAACTCCCTTAGTCGCCTCTTACGACACCCACGAGAAAAGAAGGGGTGGCCCATTCTATGCCGGTTTCATATTTTTTTTTAAATATCTCCATTATCTAATTGCGGTTTCCAACTGGCCTGCCAAGCGTAGGAACTGCTGACAAAATTTCCCTTATATATTAGAGGAGAGATTGTTAGTAATGTAGACTACCAGTCCTATTGCTAGCAATATACCCCCTCAGGTCGACCTCCACGTGCTCCCCCCTGGACTGAACTCCAGATGTATTTTTTTTAGTGAATAATAATGGAATGGTAATCCCGCCTGCGCTAACGGTATACGCTGGCGGAGCACCAGTGATGGATTATAGGTGAGAATGAAAAGGCAAGTCAGCCTATCGTGATGGATACACCTGGCATTTAGCATGATGGTTTCCAGGGCAGACCATGGAGAGGTCGATCTGACAGGGTATATTGCTAGCAATGGGACTAGTAGTCTCAATTTCTAACAATCCCTTCCCCCCACTCCAGGTGTATTTATCACGATGGTTAATTGACTTGTTCTTTTATTTTCACTTATCATCCTTCACTGGTGCCCCGCCGGTGTATACCGATAGCGCGGGTGGGGTTATCATTCCATTATCATCCATTAAAAAATAAGTCCCCTTATAGGATAGTCCTATGTTCTGCAGTGGCCAGTTATCTGCTGATATATAATAATAATAATAATAATAATAAATAATCATTCATTAAACGAGCAAACTCTAGCACCATCATCACAAGGTTTTGGTAGTTTTGTCTTCAGTAGAAGTTCATGTCTATTGTCTTATGCAACGACCACTTTTAATCAGTTTTCATTAGTATATTTGCTATTCACATCTTATATAAAAAACTTTCTATTTTAATGTATTAATACTCGTATAATAAATAAATAATTATAAAAAATATAAATCTAAAAGGTTGTGCGTTTGATGTTCCTCAATTATTTTTAAATGGCTGAATGGATTTTGATAAAATGTGAGACATATGTGGATCATAATATAGGTAGCTAGAATTATTATGCTGTATTCTTCAAATGTTCTTTGCCCGGTTCCTCACAACACAGGATCTTTTTTTCCTACGGAATATTGTTTTTCTAAATATTGTTAGTCAATTACACTTCGCTAACGGAATACCAAGCGTAATGGTAAATTTGCAGTTTATTTATTTGGTTTTGTCTTCACAAAACAGGACCTCTTAGATTGAGGATCAGGCGGTTGGTTGTAAGACATTTATTATTATTATTATTTTGTGAAGTCTGTTGATGGAGTGAGGTCCTTCATGCCTATAGGCAACTGTTACCACTTTCCATCGGGTGAGCCGTCAGCTTGTTTGCTATTTACAGTGGCATTAATTGATATTACCTTTGCCATCAGTACTGGTTGGATGTGGAGAAACCAATGTGCCGACAACTGGGCCTGTCCATGCTCGAGCCGACGCTCCGGTTTTGCGTGAAGTTCTACACGCCGGACCCGGCGCGGCTCGAGGAGGAATTCACCCGGTACCTGTTCTGCCTGCAAGTGAAGCGCGACCTCGCGCACGGCTGCATACAGTGCAACGAGAACACCGCCGCGCTCATGGCCAGCTACATCGTGCAGGGTAAGTTGGAACACTTTGGGCTCGCCTTTTGATTAATAGATCTGGAATTTTCTTTCAATAGATGAAGATGGAATGGTTCACTCGTTTGTGCTAATCGTATACAATTGCGGGGCACCAGTGAAGGATGAAACCCGCACTCTATACTTTTTTTTTTTCATATCATTTATGTAAGAGTGGGTTACAGCCACAAATTAAGTGCTGCGGCGTTTCTTCCTCATGCGAAATCTGTAAGCACTTTTTGGGCATAAGCCTAGTTCGGCCATATGCTTGTTTCGTTTATAATGTCCAGTGAGGGCCCTTGTCAATACACACAATATTATTTTTAATCAAAAGAATTTCTTAGAGTACCGGTTAAATATACTGCCTCACCTTTTAAGTCGCAGATTGGATCCTCACAGAATGCAAACATTTGTAAACATATCTGTTCTCATATTTAGACTGAGTGTTTTCTATATATAGTATGTATGTATTTAAAAAAAAAATATAGGTTGTTTAATACCTATAAGTAGCTTTGCTTCGTTTTTATTATTCATTATCATTATATTTGTTTATTATTTATTTGTCCTTTTATTAATCAATTGGTTAGTATAGTAATGTAAATGGGTAAAATATTTCAGTTTCCAAATTGGAATAAACATGGTATTATATGATAATATAGTAAGTTATATGCGCGATGCGCGCTAACTGCTGAATAAATTAGTATAACGGGAGGTGTGACCTCGGCGCGCCAACTAACTGATTCAGAGCTGCCCCGGCTTGATCCCCCAGGGATTACCCATCCCATGCACCGTCTAGTATGTACCGTTAAGAGTCCAACTAATCATACATACATACATACATATTTGTCACGCCTGTCTCCTATTAGGGTAGGCACCTATTAGGGTAGGCAGAAACAATGTAACGACAAATGTTTCGATTCAAACAAACCTCTTTCGCTTCCTCCACGTTCATCAATCTTTCCATACACGTTCGCTGGTTACGAGTACTTTTAATTCGGCCCTTCTTTAGCACGTCATCTAATTAACGACATACGTCTGTCTAGGGCGTCCCCTACCGACATCTCCATTCATTCTTGTTTAATAAATCTCTTTCGTAGTTCTTCTTTCATCCATCCTCTCCAATTGGTCAAACCAACGTAACATTCCGTTTTCGATTTTTGTCACTACGTCTTCTTTCAATCCACACTTCTCTCTAATGACATTGTTTCCAACTAATTACTTTTTTATATATTTACTAGTTAATGCCCGCGCCTTTGCGCGCATGCTGTCGTGTTCCCCCTATAAGTTGAATTTTTCATAAACATTTTCTTATCAGATACTTACATTATAAAACGAACCTATGTTGTATTCCAAATTTCAGTTCTCTGTGCTTAGTAGTTTTGGCTGTATCTTGATAGTCGGTTAGGACAAACCATTTTATAAGTATAAATTTATACAATCAACATTTTCATATAATTTTGTTAAAGTATAATAAAAATAATAAATAAACTATTTGTTTAATGGAAAAAAATATTTATTTACTATATTGTTACCCCAAAATATATTGTACGCTCTTTAACGTAAGAAATAAAATAACGTGAACAAAAGATACACTTATATAAATACAATTCACTCGTTCATTATTTAAGAATCACGCTCTCATCGCCAAATCGATGTTACCGTAAGCTAGCTGTATTCGGCGGCTTTATCTGCGTGTATCATTATATAATGTTCTAAGTTAGCCTGTAATATGTATAATATGTAATATGTATATAATGTTCTAAGTTAACCTGTATACTAAATTTCATTCAAATCACTTCACTAGTTTTTGAGTAAAAAGGTAACAAAAATCATCTATCCAATCATCCTTACAAACTTACGTATATATGTATTATATTGCTCCGGTATTCTGAGCGCACATGGGCGGCAATAGTTTGCCATCAGATGAGCCGCATGATTTTTTGCTACCTGTTATAAAAAAAAGTATATTTTGACCTGTATTCGATGTGATTATCATCAATTTTATCGCGAAGACTGACAATTGTCCTATATTAGCTTCTTGTAAATTGAAAAGTGATAGTGTTGCATTATAGGTAGGTATCTAGCGACATCTGTCGCCCTCTGGTTTCAAGAGTTTGCAGGCCTCCTTTATCCACGAAGACCTCTGTCGAACGTTGCCTTAAACTAAATAACACAATTGACCAACAGCGGAGTGTGGCGACTTTGTCCCTGAAGACTATCCGGACCACACGTATCTCAGCGGGTATAAATTCTTCCCCGGCCAAGACTCGGAGTCGGAAAGAAGAATTATGGAGAACCATAAAAAACACATGTAAGAATTTTAATTTATATCTGTCTAATATTGTGAACTATACAGAGACCCTTGTGGTTCACTGGTATGCACGTAGTTTGGATAAATCGAGTCTTGTATTTGATTCTCGATTCTAAGGCGATTATGAGAACTTAATGGTCGAAAAATTAGCAGCAGCGTCTCTCTTAAAATATCACAAAAGTCTAATTGCGGTTGCCAACCTGCTACCAAAGCATGGCAACTACTGGCAAACCTCCTTTTTATGGGGGAGGCCTATGTTTAGCAGTGAATGTTTAGCAGTGTTTAGCAGTGCAGACAGTTAATGGTAGTAGATCAACTCAGGAAAGGAACTTTTCTAAATTTACTCTAGTTAGGGTTTGGTTTCTGACTTATACTATAGAATTATGTACTGTGATATGTCAAATCCTTTCTTTAGTACTAGGTAACAGAACAGAATAGAAGAATGTATGTAAATGGAAATTTATTCATTGTGAATTTAAATGATATATTTATATGTTTTAATAATTGGTAATTGTACTTGAATTGGCATATGTTAATTTAAAACAGACGTCATGTAATAATAAAATTTGTATGTCCCGTGATGGTAAAACATAGCGCACTACAGATACAGAGGAATAATACCTGAGTCCTCAGGAATGGCAACGCATGGTGGGTATCATGGGCGAAACAGTATACTCTGTTATGTCCATGCTACTGCTCATGTCTATAGGCGACGGTTACCACTTTCCATCAGGTGGGCCGTCAGCTTGTTTGCCATTCTAAGTTGTATAAAAAAAAAATATCAAATTTGTAAGTGTAACACTTTTTATGCAAATGACTGATTTTTTTATGCAGAGGTCAGAGTCCTGCTGAGGCAGATCTTAATCTATTAGAAACAGCAAGAAGATGTGAATTATATGGTGAGTTGTTTAATTAGATTCAGCAAAAAAATTTGAGTAAAATAAATCATAATTTATTATCAGTGTCCCCGTCCCCGTCTGCGTTATCGGTATACACTGATGAGGCACCAGTGATAGATGACTGATGAGGATGAAAGCAGGTCAGTTCAGGTTCAGGTTCAGGTTCATCGTGAAAAATACAGTTGGGATTCAGCACGATGGTTTCCAGGGGGAACCACGTGGAGGTCGACCTGACTGGGTATATTGCTAGTAATGGGGCTATTTGACCCCATTACTAAAAATCCCTTTCTCCCCTATTTTTAGTGTTGTAAATTACTAGATTTGGGCCCCACTTATATATTCTCATTATACTTATAAAAAATATATAGCGATTAGTTTAACTGCATGTTAGCAAGGACGAGCTTATCTTTGAAACAGATCTCTTCAGACGACTTCGTCCCTATGATCGGGACATATTGATTGTATTAAATTAACTCATGTCCTTTCCATGCTAATTTGGCTTGGAGAGGTTCTTACAGTTACCTTATCTTTCATGATGGTAAAAGATATGGTAATATTACTCCATTTAGTTTAGGTTGATGCCAAATGTACCTATATGTATATTCAAAATGTGTATGCGTGTGTGACGCTTGTGTCTGTACGAGTGTGCGTGTGTATATGTCTGAGTATAAGCATGTATGTGTGAAGATTTTTTATGTGGGATATGGTAGTAAATTACAAGGTACAGAGGAATAACACCTGAGTCCTCAGGAATGGCAACGCATGGGGGTATTATGGGCGAAACAGTGTACTCTATTATGTGCATGGTACTGCTCATGTCTATAGGCAACGGTTACCACTTTCCATCTAGTGGGCCGTCAGCTTGTTGGCCATTCTAAGCTGCATTAAATAAAAAAAAAAAAATGTATGTACAAACTTTCATATTTGTTATATTGATTTGTAGGAAATTATATTTATTTTATGCAGGAGTTAAAATGCACCCGGCAAAGGACCACGAGGGTGTACCACTGAACCTGGCGGTAGCACATATGGGCATCGTGGTGTTCCAGAACTTTACCAAGATCAACACCTTCAGTTGGGCGAAAATTAGGAAGATATCATTCAAAAGGAAAAAGTTCCTCATCAAATTACATCCAGAGGGTTATGTAAGTTGTTCTTTGGACGAGTATAACAATGTAAAAAAAAAAAATATTTATTTATTTAAAGTGACACCAACAGCGTCTTGCATTATAACATTATGTAACAAACATTAAATATAATACAATATTAATGCACATGCCTATTATATGTATTCACAGCATTTACTTTAACATAGTTATACAGTGCGAGAAAATGAAGTAACAATTTAAATATTTAAAATACCATATTTAAAAAGTAACGCGCGAAATAAATTTATTATCACGAGAAGGAGGTGCTACTATATCTTTGACGATATTTGGGGGTGTAGTAGTTTAGTTTAACATGATGGTTGGGAATTAAATCCTTTCAAATATATACATAAATATGTACATAAAACCTATTTTAACTATTAGAGTGCTTTGTCACAGTCTTACAAATTAAGAATTTAGTGCAAAAAAGAAGGACAAAACACTTCAATAGCTAAAATAGATTTATGAGTGGTTCCACCGTGAAGCAGTTGTGTTTGTATGGTTGTGTTTCGGTTTGAAGGGTAGGATATAACAGTGAATTTACAGGGTACAGAGGAATAACACCTGAGTCCTCATTAATGGCAACGCATGGGGCGTATCATGGGCGAAACAGTATACTCTGTTATCTCTATGGTACTGCTCATGTCTATAGGCGACGGTTACCACTTTACATCAGGTGGGCCGTCAGCTTGTTTGCCATTCTAAGTTGTATTAAAAAATATATATATAAAAAAAATAAGGGAACTCTATTTAAAAATAATGTATTTAAGTATATGTATCAGTTGTTAAGTATTGTATCAGGTGTATCGCGGTGTGGTCCCGCCATAGAATAGGCCGCCCCTTCCTTTCTCGTGGGTGTCGTAAGAGACGACTAGGGGAGGGCGAGGGATGGGCAGCAACGTTCCTCTTAAACAACTGTAAAAGCTTAACTGCGGTTGCCAACCCGCCTGCCAAGTGTGGCAACTACTGGCAAAACTCCCCTTATATGGAAGGCTTATGTTTAGCAGTCGATAATTAATGGCTAAAATAATAATAATCCAGCGAAATCATTCCGATCGCTGTCGGTGAACGGTTTTATCCCAACCAGTCTGGAACAACATCTCAGACGGTTGGGATTCCGAGGCGGCTCACTCCCGGGAAAGATGCAGAAAGCGGTGCTCTTAGATTCTGCCCGCATTGTACGCCTGTTTCTCTCCTTGGGACCCTGAACTCCGGCCGATTGTGCTTCTGCCGGGGGTTAGTCTGCCATCTCCTCTCCTTAAGAGGGGAGATGTGAATTTTCTAGAAATTTAAAAAATAATAATAATAATCAGTTGTCTCTGCACCCTTTCGTAATATGAAAATAATTGGCACTAGGTTGTTACGTCAATGACTTTTTTTAAATTGTTATACTCATTTTGTGAAATAACTAAATTAAATTACCAATCAAAGAATTAAATATTATTTCTTTAGGGTTACTATCGGGACGTGGTGGAATTCTTCTTCGAGGGACGCAACGAGTGTAAGAACTTTTGGAAGAAGTGTGTGGAGAACCATGGATTCTTCCGATGCTCGAGTGTGCCGCGGCTCCCCAGGCACAAGACCAGGGTCATATCAAGGGGCTCCTCTTTTAGGTACATCATAAAGCGAAAACTGGCTTTTGTCAGCCTCTTAAATAAGCCCTTATGAATATAGAAGATAAGAAAATATAAAAAAAAAGAAACAAAAAGAAATATAAAAAGCACATTAAATAATCAATTAGAATAGAGTATTATTATTAACTTTTGGATAATATTATTTATTGTAAAATAAAAACTCGCTATTTATATTAACAATAGCAAATAAATATTTCATTTCATTTTATTTCATTTCATTTCATTTCATTTCATATTTCATTTCATTTCATTTCAATGTCCGGTGTTATTTTATATATTTTCACTCTTCATTAGCACAAGAATGGTCTTCCAAATGTTTAAAAATCAGAAATGCCCAATATTGCTGGTATTTAAAAAGTATATGTTAAAATTAAGTTTATTTGTTTTAAAATAAGCTATTAAAATTTTAAATAAATTGAATTTTTAAAAGGTAGTAATATTCTTTAATACACTTAAAAACGTTGGTACGTCATCTATACGAAATTATGTATCGGTTTTGAGCTTCTTTGTTATTAAAAATTATTTGGAACATGTTCTAAATGTATGTATAAATCATAGGTATAGCGGCAAAACGCAGAAACAAATCGTCGAGTTCGTCCGAGACAACTATGTGAAGCGGCAGACATTCCAGAGGTGTGTACCACTGAGCCCATACAAACAGCTTAGCCACGTAGCAACTTAATTATATTGCATGCACAATGACAGCTTAGCTCTCCACCGCGAACACAATCGCTTCACTACACTTACCTTGGTTTCATAACATAGGCGTAGTTAGTTGATGCTTTCTAGATGTTTATTCATAGTTTACTATACCATAGATACAGAAGGGAATAGTCCAAGGGATGACATTTGTTTTATAAACATCAATTCGATCTAGACAATAATAATAGTAGTTCATAAGTTTGTGAAGGTGAGTGGTTAGCATGGGCTGGGAGACACTGGCTTTTGGTTTTGTCTTGTGGGCGTTTGTGTGATATACAAATGACAATACGAACCGAGAGGCCAAACTGCATGATGTAAAGTAAAAAGTCCCTAAAAACGACTAATGACAACCAGGCTAGAGAGGCTTCGAATAGTTTTGTATATTGGTGGTGACTAGCATACTCGAGCATGCGCTGTATCCGTTGAGACTTTCGCTTCTTCCAAAAGACTTTCAAATAGTTCGGTCGTAGTCGCAACGACGCCGCGACTATCGGTCGGAGGATGGTGTGGTCGTTCAATTTTAGGGATTTTTTAATGATGGGTCTGCGCTCCGACACTGTTGCCTATGTAGTGGGAATAAGATTCATTATAGTTTCGACTGTCCTATTGTCACGGCAGCATCTCGAACAGTTCGTGCAATGTATATTTTTTTATTCCCCAACACGCTTACAACACGAATTATTTTACACGTCACCCCCCGATTTTCAATCTAGCCTCGTAAGGTGTTAGATTGTTTTGTTATTTCTACACCTCTAAGAGTAGATCGATATCACATTACCACATAATTTTTTTTTCTACACTTTGATTGCATCGGGCATAAGGAATCCACTGACCTCGGTCGACGCAATGAACCTTTCCCGCACTGCATTACTGTGGCCCTAATCCTATATCGATTAGTTCATGCGAGTCCAACTCGGCATGGTTTAATTCGATTTAAGAGCATACTCAGTGGCATTAACTTAAAGGATTTCACTTTCGAGCGATCATCGATCGAGTGTGATGTAAATATCGCTAGGGTATACGCAGGAAGCTTAAAATCGAATGGAGATTGCAACGTAAACATACAATTGGTGGCAATAAGTTTGACCTTTAAAGAGGACACATTTTTATTTCGTTGTTACCGTCTCATGTAAAAGGAATGGAGATGGCTCGCTGTTGTTTAGTATTACGTTTTATTAGTTGTTCCTATTAGGGTGTAAACGAGAAGGTCATAGTTCAAATATATTTAAAAAAAAAAAAAAAACTCAAAATGTCAAATATAAATAGACAGCATTAAAAATCAAATTATACTCTTTTTGTAACCAGCCAGTAATAATGTTTTTTCCAAATGAAACATGAAGATTTAGTCGTTAATTATTTACTAAATTTAAACTAATATTACAATTTTGAAGGCGCGTTTGTTTGTTATCTTCTATCGCCTTTACGGCTTAACAAATCGTTATGAAATACAAATTACATGCTACATTTGGCATTTACAATGTCAATCATATCCTGTTTACACGAACGAAGTTGTTAGGATAGTTCATAAATATGTTTATATTAAATCTGTTAATTTATACATATATACAACAAGATCGGACAATATGCAAGTATATTACAAAAAAATATTGTACTTTAAATTTTGTGTCTGGTCTTAGGATGATTGTTTATTTTTTTTAATCTACATTTGTGACAGTTTCAAGTACAATTTTTGTACGAGAAAGCGAATCTTGAGTTTTTATGGTATAATGGTCCGAAACTGCCCAATGATTTTATTCGTCCTCTATTCGTGGACGGCGCAATCTCCATTCGGTGAGGGTGGCCGCGTAGTCTAGGTAGGGCGTGCCCGCGGCGCGCGCGGCCGGAGAGCAGGCCCGTCCGGGCAACCAAAAGCTGGTGTCACCATCCTCTGCCCGATGCCGGCAGGTCGGGCTCGTTCCGCGCGTCGCGCTCGGTCGGCTCGTCGCGCGGCAACGTGTCCGCGCCCGCGCACACGCCCGCGCCCGCGCTCAACGCCAGCCTCTCCGCGCACCCGCTGCTGCCGCTGCCGCCCGGCTCCGACGGTACGTACCCGCGCCGCCAGCAAGCCGTGTGCCCGCTCGGCCCCGCTCCACCACTCCACCACTTCACCACTCCACCACTCGTACGTACTCGGGTACTCGAATACTACATATACTCGAATTAACCCTGTACATGATTCACAGTATTCGAATACATGGTTCGAGTAAGTACGGTATAGCAAGTTTTTTGTTTCCGATTTATAATTTTTTTTGTTTAATTACAAAAGAAAAAAGATATTAAATAAATTAATAATTATTATCTTCGTCAGAAGTGAGCTTCAGGAATAAATTGAAAGAATACTCGAGTCTTATACAGTGCTCGTATATTCGAATACGGAATCGAGTATCGAGTAGTAATGTCCAATTCCCCTCGGGAGTCGATTATTATTTAATGAATACTGTAATACTCGAATACCAATAAAGGGCCGACCCGGCACATCACTAGCATTGGTGGCACATGGCGCAGTCCTACAGGTTTCGTTCGTCAACACACTGGACCGACAACGTGGAACTCCAATATGGTTTAAAAGAACTATGTACTATTGAAATAGTGTAACCTCCTTATTTTAAAGTAAAATGTATAACTGGTACCCGCCAGTATCAGGCGCCACTGTCATTATTTTTTTATGCATAAAAAATATTCCATATTGATAAAAACCTATATGTACGTTTTAGTAATTGATGTGCTTTGTCGCTTTCTTTTGCTCTAAATATTTAATTTGAAAGAAAGTGACAAACACTTATCAAAATTTTTATTTTTATAAGAATGTAACAGTTTAGTAATATCAATGAAATTTAAACCTTAATTACTTATAATAAAAAGCAGTATTGACTGTATGGAAATGATGTAAAATAGGAATTTATGCAGCTATAGAGGTGTTTGACGCTTTGATTAGACATCTAGCAATGTTGATGATTTCAGTTACAATCCATACAGTTGGCAAACGTATACATTCGAACAGAGAACAATGCAATGAAAACTTGAGGAAAAGTGGTCATTGTAGGTCTCATACCGCAAAAATACCTTGTGGTAGCAAACGTTAAAGGCAGATAGTGTGGTTTTTGCATAAGCCATTTTATGTCTTGATATGTAGGTAAAAATGCATATAAATATATTACACGGATTGTAGCATACATTCAGTATAAATAAATTAATTAATATAAAACGAAAATATCTAAAATAAAGTTTCTAGTAAATATGGCAGTCCAACATATGTATATTAGTAAACTTATTTTACTTTCTTGTTCTATTTTTTTTTTGTTTTTTATTTGGAAGGATAACACTTGAATATATACGGGCGCTATACATCTATGGCGTTGCGGTTGTAAGGAAGTTATTGTAATACTGTGCTAGCGGGTACCTTTCGCTATCAACACTATTGGTCGATAGAGCGTTTACTTATTTCATCCGATGTGAATCCGAGCAAAAAATGGAATGGAAAACTTGGTAAGAAATTTAATCGCAGACGGTTCGATCCGAATGTAAGATTATTTATAATATTTTACTATGTGGCCTATACTATGTAGTGTGGTCCCAGCATAGAATAGGTCTCTCCTTTTCTCGTGGGTATTGTAAAAGGCGACTAAAGTATTTTGCTGGTGGAGGGGTAGGAAGCGGCGTCCCTCTTAAAAAGTCACCAAAGATTACTACGGTTGCTAATTCTTCTATTCAGCGTGGCAACTACTGGCAAAACCCCCCAAGGGAGAGACCTATGTTCAGCAATGGAAAAATCATGGCTGATATCATAATCATCATAAATTATACATCAAAGTCGATTCCTCTATCGGTAGTTTTGCGTCTCTATTGTATCGATTGTTGATAGAATCGATACCATCGATAATATTGCAATAACTATTGATTCACCATCATATCAGACTTTAACTGTCCACTGCTGAACATAATCCGGGGAGGCTTATGTTAGGCCAGTAGTTGCCACGCTTGGCAAGCGGGTTATTAACCGCAATTAGGCTTTAGAAATGTTTTAAGAGGGACGCTGCTGTCTATCCCTCGCCCTCCTTTATGTCACCCACGGGAAAGGAAGCGGTGGCCTATTCTATACCGGGACCACACGGCGATATAACATAAAATAACTATTGATTATTGATGATTATTTTGTCGATTCGGTTGGATGCTGTATGCAAGCGTTTTTACCTTTTTATAGTTCTGACTTTCAGTTTATATGATATTATATGGAAATTTGTATCCTGAAGGTGTAATTAGAGGTTAGAATTTGATTTACTAATATGATCGTTGATTGTTTTTTGGTGTTTTTTGTAATACCGGAATTTAATTTTTGCTTATGTTTTTTGTTTATGGTTTGATGAAACCGTTCGTTGACTGTGTCGTTTTTAAGTCTGCCTCACTGCGACCACAGTTCTATAGGACTGCGATCGTAGTGATCATTTTTAGGTATTATATTTTGAGGTACTTCTTGAGTATCATATAATTGTGATGCAATTTATCTATTATAGTAGATAGAAAAAAAAATTATCTAATGGTCTATCATCTATTGGTAATTTACAATATTTTTTTAATGTATCAACTACCGGTTTATCTTACGTGTAATTAGATCGATCAAGGTTGACTAGTTTTGGGATCAATTTGGAATCCTTAATTATAAGCGGCTTTGACGCGAGCACGAGCCAGATTACGCGCCTCGGCCCGCTGAGTGTGAGCTGTAAGCGTTCGCGCCACTGTCATAGATATGAAAAGTGACAGTAACACTGTAGAGGAAGAGGAAGACGAAGAACTCAGCTGTTCATACCCGAAGATTTCCGAACACCGTCTATCTTATCTGTGATAGTGCCGCGTATACCTATAACTCGCGCTCAACGTTACGAGGCGTGCAGTTAGCCGCTCATGATTAAGGATTCGAATTGGTTGCTAAACAAGTCGAGCTTTCTTGATATAATTACACGTATCTATTAAAATGTGTGCTTACGTACTAATGTGCTTATTTTTTTATCGATATATAATTTACATCTCAATTTTATGATTATATTCTATTTATTATGGTGTACTATGACAATCAAATAAGATATTATTGTGTCCATAATAATGAATTCATAACAATGTGTTTCTATATCGTACTATGTCGTGTTCCTCGCAGCGATTTCCCTGGAGTGGGACAAGCAACCTCACTACCTGGAGGCTTCTCTGATGATGAAGGGATACAGTGCGGAGGAGGCGCGCGCGGCGGCAGCCTCGCGGGCGAGCACGCGGCCCTCGGAGGCCGCGACTCGCCCGCCGCTCGCAGCTACCGCCTATGCCACCACGAGGGACAAGGTGAGCGCCCGCACCGTCTGTGCACTACTGTCTATGTTACTACGAGGAACAAGGTAACTCTATCGCTTATTTCGCCTGTATTACTATATCGTCGTGAGGTACAAGGTAATCCTCTCGTCTATGTCACTGCGGGAGACAAGACTATCTTTGTATCACCATGAGAGACAAGGAAGCCTACTCCTTAAGCGACCACGAGGAACAAGGTACGGCTATTGCTTGTATTAACGCGGAGAACAAGGTAAATCTGTCGTCCGTGTCACTACGGGGGACAAGATAAGACTAAACCTTGTGTCACCACGACTGACAAGGAATATTTGTCCTTTTACTACAAGAGAGAAGGTACGGCTGTCGGCTGTATTATCGAGGGAATAAGGTAAGCCTGTTGTCCATGGCACTACGGATAAGGTAAGTTCACACGCTTCAACTGCCTCGCCCATTGCGCCACTTGAGACTTCCTCGCCTGATCGAATACGAACGAATTATTTGTTATATAATTTTACAATTAGCAGTTTGAAATAATTCCTTTTCTTTTTCTTTTTTTTTCTAAGTTATATTCAGACATATTAGTTTGTCATGGAGTATTTATATTTCCAGTTTACAATGAAGACACATAAAAATAACACGTGTAAAAATAATACGCGAGAATTTGTGACAATCAGAAAGACTCTTTTTAATAGACCATGTTAAACTTTATTAATATATAATTGGGTAAACCTCACAATATTAATAGTTTTATTGGTTCATATCCGGCTCGAAGGATCACTGCTTTGTTGTGCTTAAAACGTGTATTAATACAAATTTAAATAAATCACTGTTCTTATATTTACACATTTACAAAATGTATAAAGGAGATTTAATTTAATATGTAAATATGTACAATTCGTTCGTATTCACTCAACCGAGTAAGTATTTTGTGTTTGTAGATTGAAATTATAGTTACGCAATTAAAAGGGACGAATAAATTAACAGCTTTATTTTGTATGTTAAATTGTTATAATCATTACAGAAATTACCCCAGTTTTATAACAAGCTTTAATGGAATTTAATGAAAATATACATAGGTACTATTTTTGTATATAAGTGGCTAACGTTTCCGATTCTAAATCAAACGCTATGGCTTTAGTGAAGTGTGAATTTGCCTCAATATAATTCCTGATAAGAGAGGCGTATTATTATAGATAATTATTTATACAACTTTAGTGTCCATATAAATAAGTAAAATAGTCCTTATTTGTATGCTGGTAGGTCCCGGTCACTCAAGCGTTGGTTAATTAAAAGATTTTTGTATTCTATACGTGATAACAAGTGACTTTCACTAACGCCAAAGCATTAGTTATGGGAAATTAGATCAATTGCATATTGTTCATGTTATTTAAGATAGTTTTAAATACTACTACAAAAGAAGTGTTAATAGGAGTTAGATTCACTAATAGAATGCTAAAAAAGATACAGTAAATATAATGTGAATAACTTTTTTAACTGTATGTAAGTTACCATTAGAACTATTCTAATGAAGAAAGTTATCCTTCACTACCGTATGAACCTATTACTTAATTAGATATCCTATATGGTACGTAATGGGGGGGGGGGGGTAATATATAGCAATATCAATTTTAGTTACAATATCTATATATTGATGTAATAAATAATATTTTAAAAGTCTACTATCCAAAAAATAATATTGGATAACAGGCTTGAACGTATTGGAAAATAGATATCAAAATGGGTACTGGCTCATTAATGTCCAGAACTGATATATAGATATCGGATCGGTATCCATCTTATCCATGCCTAGTACGTAGACTGATTTTTTTAATTAAAAAATGCTGCAACTTTTTTAGCAGTATTGCTTTATTTAGGTTCTAATAAAGGTTAAAATTAGAATGATTTAGATGGAACAGAATATAATCATGTTTTTGCATAAGGTTCCAAAAATAATGTGATTAGTCTTAATAATATATAATATGTTTATATACATTTTGAAATTGGTATTCTAGTCAACCAGCAGTCTACTTTTGACTTTGGAGGGATAGAAATATCAGTGGATATCTTTATAATATATGTAGTGTGGAAAATTCATGTATTAAAAATAAAGAAATCAAGAGATATATCTCTAGACTGATTCATTGATTTCGTTTCATATAATATAGCAATCTAAATCGTTCTAAAACATAAATGTTACAAGTCCACTTATACAATACTGGTGTAACACTTGACGGGACAGTTTGTTAAGTGGGTAGCCGAATTGAGGGCTTTGTTATGTTTTGTACTTCACAATAGATATTTTGTTTCCTTTCAGCTCTCAAAACTGTACTGCAGCCAAATCGTAAGGGCATTTGCAAATTGGCTTTTAACGTTTCTAATATTTCGAGATCATATCTTAACCTTGACGCATCGTGTTTCTGTTGTCTGCGCACACTGATATATGTATTCACACTGACTATATGAATTTTAGTTTATACAAGATTATATATTGTTTTTTTGTCTTTAAAACATGACTTACCGAGTCGTATATCTGAGTGGTCTTTATTTTATATATATATAGATTGAAATCGAATATCATTGGCATATATTTAAAGGAGTGTTCTCTACTGAAACAGGTCATGTTTCTCAAAGAAGGTCGAGAATGAAAGTCGAAAATAGACAATATTTGATTCTCTGATACTAGCTTGGTAGCCGTATACGTCGTTGGCTCATATTACTTGTTGATTTTCGACCCATGATTCTTTGGTGAAAATGTTCATATTTACTGATAGAACACCAATTGGCTGTGTAAGCTTCGCTCGCATCTTTAAGTGGGCACCACACATCCTGGGATAAGATGGGAACAGTCCACCCCTCTTTTAATAAGTATCTGAAAACGTCCCCTTAATTTTCGATTTCAATTTATATATATATATATATATATATATATATATATATATATATATATATATATATATATATATATATATATATATATTTAACATACATATGTATTATTATAGATAATTATTTATACAAGTTTTAATTTGCGTGTATGTTGCGTAAAGGGAATAACTTGCATGGACGTTACATTTTCCAATTCGTACATCACAATACTCATGAACGATATTAGTATCGTTCCTAATTCGTGACTAATTAGTTTTGACCTCAATAATTTAATAAGCCTACTTACTTATATTACAAATACTAATATTATAAATATGAAAGTGAGTTTGTTTATTATCTTAACGGTTTAACCATATACTATGAAATTTAGTATATATGTACTATATGGGATGGGAAAGGATATAGGCTTCTTTATATCCTGCTCAAGCGGATGAAGTTGCGGGTAAAAGGTAGTTAATGAAATAAGTGCACTCCGCGAAGCCTTAGAATTCTTCAAGATCGTATTAACATACCTAATAATAATAAGTCGTTATAGTACTAAAGATCAAAACACGGCATGTTTCGTCTGTTGTGTAATGCGAATCAAAAATAAATTTTGGTAGGAATGGTCTGTAACAGAATCTATATGATTCCGTCTAATTGAAAACTATTAATTTATAATGTAATCAGAGCATGATGATACCTGTTTTTATATGATTTGTCAATAAAAACATGCTAACGTAAATATTTATGGGCCTACGAGCTCATTTTCTACCTTATCGCTTCTTCTCGTGAGATTGATGTCAGTTGCTAAACCCATCACTTGAAAAGGAGCAAGGATTTTTTCACAACGAAAATATTTAGTTTTTCAAGAATTGCTCTTCGATCGATAAATATTAAGTTAGAAAACAATGGGGCTAACATCGCGATTAGGATAAAAATCCCTGAAAGTAAAAAGACAATACAAAAGGGCTATTTACAGTTATCTAAAGTTTGAAATTCATTGGACTAAAGACACACCCGTCTTATGAGTATCGTAATGTACGAGGCTTACGTAACTTACGTGCACATGCATAATGAGACCACATAATATATTAAAATCGGTATTGGGCTTCTATTTTAACTCATTGTTGGGCTTACTGGAAGCATGATAACAAGGTTTCTTGTTCTTGCAATTATTGTCCTTATATGTATAGATATAATACTCATTCACATAATATGTCACCCTAATATACAGGATTAATCCTCATTCTATTTCATAAGATAATGGCAGTGGTCTGTAGATATTACAATAATGTTTTTTCTGTAAAAAAAAAAATTCTACCAAATTATTACATCTGGACTAGAGGTGGGTAATATATAGCTATATCTATATATTTTATATCTATGTACTGGTCTAATAAATAATATGTTAAAAGTTTATTATCCAAAAAGTAGTATTGGACTTTAACATATTTGAAAATAGATACCTGACCAATATGGACGATATCGAAATGTGTGATGACCTTTTTTCCGCCAAAAATATCCAGAGGAATCCAATATATAGATATTGGAACGGTATCAATATTGCCCATGCCTAATGAGGATCACTAGTGAAGATATCAGAACCACTGTTATTGTCTCGACAACGGGCACTGATATGTACAGATTGCACATTTTCCGAAACGCACACGGCACCGGGTCTTCTATTAACTTTTCTCCTTGGAACTGTAATCGTTGTATGTTCATATCACTTTGTAGGGAGCGCCCGAGCTTGTGACCCATGCCGAGGTCAATCATCATCCTACGCTGGATTCGCCTCTGCCTCGTCGGACGACGACACAGTTGGTGAGTTGTTGTTGTCTATTTGTCTATTTATTACAAATGTCGTTATATCGTTTGTGTAGAGTTCGATATACAAATAATGCAATAATCACATTTTCGTGAAACTCGGTGTAATTAACCAATTAAAATATAGGTACTTACATTGTTTTAGTGACAGGGATGTTATTTTTATTCAAAAGTAAGAATATTTCGATCAATTCGTCAAGAGATGTCATTGGTTAAAAAGCACAATTTCATTCTGTGCATTTATAGAGCAGTTTATTGCTTTAGTGTTGTTTTTAGTTTTTGATTGCATGTCTTGGTTTTCTTATATGCACGTATTACACGATCATAAATGAACGCTTGTGAATGGCCAGGTTTCTCCGGAGAGTATATGGAGCCAGGCGAGTTTGGGACGCGCAGCTGGTCGCGCGCGCGCACCCACTCCGCCGCCTCGTGCCCCGCGGGAGGAGCGGCCGGACGCGAGGCAGCCGCCGGCGGCAGGTCAGAGCCGCTCCCCGTCCCCCGCGCGCGCGCGTGCGGCTCTCACGCGCTCGCCCACGCCCACGCGCACGCCGCCCATGCGCACTGCCACGCGCCCTGTCGCCGCCTCCCCGGGCCCTAGCGGCTACCCCGACTTTGTCCTCGCCAAGCAGTCTTCCAGCTTTAAGAAGTCGTCGGAGCGGCTCGAGTATGAGCTTTCGCAGTGCAACATGTACTCGGCGTGCCCGTCGACGCGCTCGAGCCGCTCCGGCGGCTCACTGCTCGTCGAGGTCGAGGACGACGACGCGGCCGCCGCCGAGGAGGCCGGCGCGGGGCGCGTGCGGCTGGCGTGGCGGCGCAGCGCGAGCTGCCGCAACCTGCGCGACTTCAGCTTCGACGACGCGGGCCGGTCGAAGCGCGGCCGCGACACGCGCAGCATGCTCGCCGACCTCGATTCGTACTACGCCACGGGCGCGCGCCGCGTCGACTCGCCCGTGACGCGCTACGACGACGCGCGCACGCTCGCGTTCGTGCTCGGCACGCGCGGCTCCGTGGATGGCGCGCGCGACCTCGTCGGCCGCACGTACTCGGCGAGCTTCCCGGGCGCGATAAGCGAGCCGCGCCTCGATTTGCCGACGTTTGCGCGCGGCGGCTCGCAGGACGACCTCTCGCACGACAGCTACGAGCTGGTGGAGCGCTCGGACGACGAGTGTTCGGAGGCACGGCCGCGGCGCCGCTCGCCGCCGCGCACGCGTTCTTGCTCCCTCGACTCCGGCAACGACTTGCCCTCCGACGACGACCAGTCGCTCTCGCACCTCTCCGAGTGCGACGACCGCGACCACCTTGACGGCATCGGACTCAAGTATAGGAGCGACAACGACATACCGCTCGATCCCTTCCTGATTGACGATCCGCGAGTTTTGCCGCGCGAAAAGTTATCGGTCAGATCCGATGGTAGTTTCTATAAGGAGATCAAGCGGGCTCTCGGCTCGAGGACGTCCAGTCAGGAATCGAAGAGTGATATTTACGATTCTAAGATTTCTAAAAGTAGTGCAGAATCCAGCAAAAAATCCCGCGACAGCGTTTATCATACCGATAGTAAGAAATCTCGTGAAACTTTAAAAAGTAAGAGTTCAGATAGGTCGGGGTCTAGAACGTCCAGTCAGGATTCGAAGTCTGATTATTATGATTGTAAAAAGAATCTCTACGAGCCCGATGACATTAGTATTAGACGTCGTAGTATTACCAGTATTCAGAATGCTTACATTGATCCTTTCGAACCTATATCGCCTTCCTCTAGTCCAGATTCGACGAAAGATTTTTACGATACCCAATCTACATTTATCGGTATGGAGAAACCGGAGTATAGAGAGAAGACGCTGTTCGATAAGTCCCATGAAGATTTGATCGCTAACCTTGCTAATTCACCAAACTATTATCATATTCCTACTCCTTACTCAACATTTCCGAGTAATACTAAACATAAAGAACCGAGTCCTATGCACTCTGCGAGCTTGCAAAATGTAGAGTTGGAGCAATATGGTCATTATTCAGATCTCAGTCCTCCAAAGAAATCCGATGACTTATCTACCGAAGAAGAAGATTTACATCCACAAACTACGCACATTTGGCCCGAAAAAATAGTAGGGCTTGACACTGAAATCGATAACACTAGAGCAGCAAAGATTCACAGTTATCAACGACGTCGCTCTTCGGATACTGTATTTAGTTTTGATAAAGAAAAAATAGAATCGTTGACACGATCTATCAGCAAAGAAAACCCACCTTCACATCTCGTTAAGGAGTCTTCTAATGAATCGGACGTAAATGTTCGTATTTTGCCAGCGATGGATAGCATTGAATATGCGAAAAATAAAGTGAAAGCAGCTTCAACCCAAGCAGAATCACCTTCAATTCTGCAGTCTGAGTTCGATAAGAATATGCGTGCTAAAGGTCATACACATGGTAGAAAAGAAAGTTTGAAAGAAGAGTTAATGGCGAAGACTCATTTCGACGAATATAATCCGAAGCTTATTCTGGAGACTAGTTCGAGTAGTCGGCTTACGGATACTGCTATTCCGTACTCTCACCCTACTGTAGAAAGAACGAAGAGTGATCCCAATAGTCTCGCTAATAGACCTCGATTTAGTAGTGTCAATTCTCGTAGACACGTTTTGATGCATCAAAAGTCTATAGATTTAACGCCGGCGGAATCGAGTGATGAAGATTATATATTTCGACAAATCCCAAGCGCTCCTCCTATTGCTACTAAACGGTCTCACTTTGAATTACCATCTAGGCATCCGGATCATATACGCCCTCCATTCGATTTGCCCAAAAATTATTTCAAAGAGTTCGATGCTTTTAAAGCAGGAATTAAAGATAATAAAAAAGTTGTCGATGACGGATATGATATACCATATGTACTACATAAAAGGCATGTTATGAATGGCACTGCTCCATCGCCAATGGAGGACAAGAGACAACAGCCGCCAGATATTATTATGTTGCCGCCACAAAATGGTCGACATATTGTAAATGCTCATCCTAGGTGCAAGTATCACGATCATCCAAAGTCACCGCGATCGCCGAAATCTCCAAAATCACCTAAATCGCCAAAATCTCCTAAATCACCCAAGTCACCCAAATCACCAAAGTCACCCAAGTCTCCTAAATCACCAAGAAATAGCATTCAAGTGGAACATTCTTCTAAATTCTTGGAGGTAGAAAGTCGTGACTTTTTATTCACGCAAAATATTGATTTATCGAAAGTAGATCCAGTTACCTTAGAAGTCGATAAGAGTTGTCAGTTACAACATTTACCAAGTCCTAAGAGAGACATTACAAAAAATCTCGACCCAGTGCTACTTGAGACTCTAAATTCTAAACTGAGTCAGATAGAAAGCGATTCAGCAACAAGTTCCAAAACGGACAGTATTAGACAAGAGCCACAATTCCCACACGATATTAAGTTTGCTATAAATGGACGGAATGTACAACAACCACCTATTTGCAAAGAACCCAAACCTATGACGGCGGCTGAAAAATTGCGTGCGGATATTAAATCAAAATCTGAAAAGTTGCCATCGAAAAGAGGATCCAAAGGTCGTGGTGCAGGTAAAAAAGGTACAGGTGGCAAAATTAAAACAAAGAATAATAAAATCAGAATTACTTCTTTCTCGTCCGATGATGAAAGTGTTGATTCTGATGATGTATTTGGTACTACTGAAGCAGCACCCAAGTTAGAATTTTCTCCACCGCAATCTCGTAAAGATCTGGAACCTATTCTACAGCTTGAATATGACAAAATTACTTCAGGAGCTTGGCATCGTGGACAAACTATGAGTTCTACAGAAATTGAAGGATCTCCACCACAGTGTCGTAAGTTGATGGAGCTCGAAGCGAAGTATAATCCTCAAATACTTGATAATGTTAGTGGTAATGCTACAGAGTTGCGGCGAATTTCTGAACGATCAATCTCTATCCCAAGTTCTGAAGATGACGTTGCAATTAAAATAACGGAAATTAAACAAATAAGTAAAGAAAATTCACAATGGGAGTATAATGAAAATATACCATCACCTATTTTAGAGAGTACTGAATTTATCAAGTCTGAAGACGAACATTTAGCAGATATGGAAATTCAAAAAGTAACTGGCATGACCACTCAGTCTGAAGAACTCGGCGACTTAAAAGACGATATAAAAGATGGAAGTAAACTGGATGTAAAAAAGAGTCTACGAGATGAATTAATATCGCCTATGTTGCGTAAACCAGGTGGCACTCCTATACTTTTTGCTCATGCTAGATTGAATCTATCTGAGGGATCTGTTTTCTCACTACAACGTCAAAAGGCAACACAAGACTCACCAACAGCGAGTCGTAGAGCTAAAAGTTTAGATACGCCTGTTATCCAACTACATAGATTACCTCCAATGAATGCGTTTTCGTCAAAAGATGACACGGTTGAAGATATAAACGAAGAAGGTGAAATATTAGAAGAAAAATCCCTGATTGATGAGAAATCCATGAAAGCCGTAACTGTTAAGAAAGAAACTATAGACAAAATTGAGGAGGTAGAAGAGGATCAACCTGTTGAACCTTTAGAAGAGATAAAATCAGTCGTAATTGATCGTGAAGAATTACAGTTATTAGAAGATTTGGTTGAACAGAGACGACCCAGATCCTTTAAACGTAGATATGACTTGACTAAACTTAACTCTCAGGCTAAATCACCATCTCGATCTCCGCTTAGTAGATCACCTTTATCTCGTTCTCCTATTTCTAAATCGCCATCAAGATCGCCTACTTCTTCATTAAATTCACCTAGAGGTAGTATAAGAAAATTATCAGATTTGAGTGAAGATCAGATAGTACCCGATATAGAGAGGATAAAACGGAAAGAAAAGAAGAAGCTAACACTTAAAACAAAACCAGAGGAAAAACAAAAAATGAGTGGGAAACTTAATAAAGGAGGATCTTTGGATACTAACGCCACTAAGGTAAAAGCATTACAGACTCAGAAGTCATTGCCATCTTCTTTGAAAGAACGACCGGACTTTTTGACAGTTCCACCGCTCGATATAGCACGTGCTAAAAGTCAAGAGTTAGAGCAGACAGCGAAAAAGATGGCCAAGGAAAAATCTAAATCCCTTGAGAAAATGGAAATTAAACGTGGTGGGAGTAAGGAAAGAACTAAATCCCAGGAAGATAGTGATACTGAGATTGCTAAACGAAAAGAAAAACAACAAATGCTTTTCGAAGCGGCCTTGAAACAAACAAAGACTCTTATTAGTCCAGTCAAAGATACTTTACCACCATTCCCACCACCAGAAGATAAGATTTTAGTGAAGACTGAGGGTGATAAAATTATTATTGAAACGAAAATCAATAGCAAAGCTGAAGACCATGTATTTATTGCAAAATCTCCTAAGAAACTCGATAATAAATTGAATGGAAAAATTAGCAGGAGCTTTGAAGACCAAAAGACAACAAAAAGTAACGATAAAATGAATAAAAGCATGGATGATAAATCCAGTCAATCTTTGGAAGATAAGTTCGACGATCTTGCGGCACTTCAAAAATCTCCTAAAACATTATCCAAGAAACAAGAAATTAAACAACAAATCGAAGGAAAGGTGGTTTATCAAAAAATCCATCCGAGTGTTAAGTCTAAAAGCTTAGAGAGAAAAGTGGATCCGCATTTTGAATCAAAAATAAAATCAAAGAGTTTAGATAGAAACTATGTAACTCCGCTGTCGACAGTAACTCCAGAAATTGTTGAAAAACATTTTAAACAGGAAGTTGTAAAAGTAGACGTGCATCCAAGTGTAAAAGAAGAGGCAGAAATAGTCAAAGAGCAAGAAACAAAAGAAGTATCACCATCTCACAGCTATAAAGAAAAGACGGAAGATGATTCATCGATTGAATGGATGACCAGTTCTCAATATACAGTTATAGAAAATGATACGCAGACAATTATAATGGAGCGTCGTAAAATTGATATTTATAACAAACAAAGACAAACTGAGCTCCAAGAAAGTAAAAGTGCTCAAGATATACATGAACTAGCGACAACCGAAAGAAAACGTGAAGTAGCTCGTTTAACCAGCGAAGAAGAATCTTTAACTGAAGTTAGCGAGTTAAAAGTATCCGATGATAGTCATGTATTAGGAATCTCTTTACCATACATTGATGCTGATAGTTCTTCTGATCAAGATCAGGCTTCGAAAAAGGGAAAGAAAATGAGACTTGCTCGAGGTAAAAGTGATGATACTGGTTCTTGGGTCACTATTGATTATGACGATTATACAGGGGACATAGAATTACCCCTCTCAGATACAAGTAATCGAACAAGCAAAGGTAAAAAAATGTTGGATACACAAGGTACATTTGATGAGTCTTCGGCAAGTTTAGTCGAATTTTTAAGACACGAGACCATGTCGCAGTTACATTCAGATACTGAAACAGAGCGAGATATGAGGCCAACGCGGGATCCCACTAAAACTGTGGATTTAAATCTCAAATGGAAAAATAAAAACAAAATTATTGTCACTCCTCCGCAAGAAAATAGTCCAACTATTGAAAATATTCCATTTATAGACTCGAGCACTTCTAAGTCTACAAATAAGTCTGAATCCGGTGAACACACTGGAAGTTCAGGTAGTGATAAATCGCCGACTGAACAGAAACCTGATCAACGAACTTTGTTAACAGCTAAATCTAGGCGTACTGAATTATTGAAATTGAGTGCAGAACGTTCTCGAAGTTCGGAGTCAACTTCGTGGACAAGTATAGAAAAGGATGTAAGTCCATCTAGTGCAAACATTAAGGGAAGTTCAATTGACGATGAATCCAGTGTGAGCTGTTCCATTGCTAGACCGCTTGGCATATCACAAGATATCGAAAAACTTAACAAAAAAGATAGAGAGTGCTTAGAAGAGCTCAAACAAGCTATGGAATATGGTGAAGAACATTTACTATCACAACACACTCTATCAAGTGAACATTCAAAATCCAATTCGAAATCTCCTTCACCAGTTCCTGAATTGACCCGAATAGAAAGCCCTCGAAGTCCTTCAAAGTATGCAAGAAAATCACCAACACCTACTTTAGAGAAACAAGGTCAAGTTGATTCTCAAAAAGCGCCTACTGATTCAGAGTCTAGTTCTGAAAGTATCGATAAAACTGTTGAACAACTTTCGAGGCCGAATGCAAAGAAGAGTGCGTTAGATAAAATTGGCAAGTGCGTTATCGAAGAGTCTGAGTCGAGTCAATCAGCAGCATCGAAAGCTTCAGATATTAAGAAAGATTTGCACAAAACTGCTAGGAAAACTAAAATTGCTATTACAATATCTCAGGAAGATCAAAATACAACCATTGATTTTGATGATGATGGCAATGTTATTACGTCGTCCTTCGAAAGAGAATTGATGAAAAAGAGATCACTTAAAGACACAGATCAGAAAAGTTCATCGAAATCTAGCATGGATACAACAACAACTACTACACCATCGAAAGGCTCTCTTAGTGTTGACGATTCTTCGTCCAGAAGAAAAGGACGTCTACTTGATGATCAAAAGAGCTCGTCTAAATCTAGCATGGATTCTAGAGGATCACTCAGTGTGGAATCTAGAGGGTCTTTTGAAACAACTGAGTCCACATCTGGTTCTTTAGGCGAAGCTTATCGTCGTGGCGAGGAGTTAAAACCTACATGGCGACCCTTTTTCGGTGCTTCAGGCAGTGAAAATAGCACAAGCATAGAAGAGGCATGGATACCACAAGATCACGAGGGTTATGAAAGTCTAACGATCAATAAAGACGTTTTTGAATATAATAATCAGAGAATGTTGGATGATTTTCAAACATTTTCCAAAAATCCACCACTATCTGCTAATACATCGAAAGATTCTACAGAAGCTGATTTTACAGATGACCTAAATGATTTCCCCGTTAATTTTCTATACCCAGCTACATCTTCTACCCCTGCAGATGTTGTTATTGGATATGGTCAGAATTTTGGTCGCACGTTATCCAGAATATCAGAACGAAGTACTGCATCTGAAAAAACTAGTGCAGATGAAGATTCTACTAAGGCGTGCTCTCGATCTGAGAGTATTAATGAAGAATCTTTAAATTCAAGTGACCATCAAGCTAGTCTTAGTTCCGATCCTCCTAGTAACGCTAATGTAGCTTATATATCTGATACAGATAGAAGAACTTCTGCTGAAATGCCAGATATACCTATAGATCAAACAAAAATTAGTGAAATGTACGAAAGTATAAAAGAGGCTGATAAAGTTAGTAAAAAAAAGGATGAGGTTTGGGACTCAAAGAGAATGAGTGGTAGTCCTGAAAAACCCTCCAAATCTACTTTAAAGGCCCCATCGAAACAATCTTCCGCAAGTGAAAGTCAGGAATCAGAAGATTGGCCATTACCAGAGCTACCTCCAATTATTGCTACTAAACCGGACCAAGCAGGAGAGAGAAGCAGCTTATCTGATGACCAGTGGCCGCCAGTACCTCCTAATCTCTTAGAAACACCGATAATTGAAAAAATACATATATATTATATGAACAATGAACCTGAGCAAGCAACAAAAGTAACTCTTCAGTCTGAAAGTTCTAAAGATAATTTACAGGGGTCAGATGATGATAGTGATACATTAAATAATGATGATGATTTAGAGAAGGATACTCCAGAATCAAAATCTGAAAAATCAATGGATCGTAGTGAAGAAGCATTAAAAAATATCAAGGTTATACCTTATGAGCAGTCTGGTTATATGGTAGAACCTTTGGAGAAGCATGATGAATTTACTTGTCTCAACAAAGGTGTCGTACCGAATTATGATAAATCTTGTTTAAGTGGTACTATAAGTAAGGCGACTTGTCTTATGAGTGACGTGGGTTCATGCTGTTCTAGGGCAGAACATAAATCATTTGCTATCAAAAGTAATTTGGAAGAAAAGGTCATTATTAGCCAACCACAAAAATCACCAACTAATCATAGTCCTATATTTGAAGATCCTGATGATGTATTTGGCGCTGACAGTAAATCTCTGTCGCCTGATTTCGATAGATTCTCGCAAATGGGTACTCAAAAATATTCATATGGATCTAATAATTCAGATACCTCTATAGACGATCTTTTATCGCAGACTGCGGCTGATGAAACTGTTCGGGCAGCCACTAAGTTGAGTACAAGTAGTGCAGGTACATGTAAAAGATGCAGTCATAGTAGTCATTCAGAGGAGGAAACTAGTTCATTTGGGACCGATCTAGATGGAACTGTGAAAATTGGATTGCCTCAAAAAAAGTGCACTCACAGTTCACATTCTGAGGACACATCTATTTGCTTAAGCATTTCAGAGTGGTCAACAGGAACAAATACAGTGAGACAATACGCTAATCTTTCAGCTTCTGAAAGTATTTCAGGTATATCTGTTCCTAAAAGTGAAAAATCTGAGAATATTTCGGGCAAAGTATATTCATCCTCTCAAACGAGTAAAAAATCTGAGCAAAAACCGAAGAAAAGTTCACAAGGCGAAATGAGCTCTAAAAGCAGTAGTTTAGATAAAAGTTCTGAAAATATTAAATACGATAAATTATGTAGTTCTGATACTACAGTATCACGGAAAGGCATAGATAGTAGCTCTGGCACCAAAAGCGATAGTACTTTAACATTAGCTCAGTCTATTTCCGATTGGTCTGCTGCTAGCACGAGTCACACACTCGTAGTTACCGCTCGAGAGGATCAGCCTGAAACAGAAAATTCTAAATCTGAACACACAGCGGTTACAGGACCGCCACCTGATATCGAAGAAAAATTAGATCTAGAAGTAGATTCAACAAAGTCCCCTTCGCCATCTAAAGAACCCTTCGAATGTAAAGAGCATGTGCTAAGGTTAACTACGCCTTATGTTACTAAGAATGACAAGTCTTCTTCAATTAGCTGTAGTGATAAATCTGATAAATCGAGTTCGAGTTCCTTGAGTAGTTTACAAAAACATGCAAACGGTGTATTGAGGTTTGAACAAAGACTGAAGGGTTATCAGTTACCTCATGACGGAACGCACGAACGGTATCAAAAAGCACCTCCAAAGAGCATGAGTTATGAGGAGCAATCTCATAGGTATATTAAACCAGCAACTCGTTGTCAAAGTGAGGACAGTGATTTTAAACCGTATGTTGTGGGACCGCAGCCAGAATTAGATATCGATATGCCTTCTCAGCTATACAGCCAAGAAGAGAAACATAGTGAACGATATCAAAGTCAGGAATTTTCCAATATCATACGTGAAGATACTGGCAACCAATTTATAAGATCTGATTATAAGCCTTTAGCTAAACATGCGAGCTACGATGATAAGACACTTTCTAAAAATCAGATCAAAGAGTACAAATCTTCACAACAATATCGCAGTAAACCTAAAAGTTGGTCGTTTCATGAACATTATCTAGTTTCATCTGATTTACCGTTGATATCTGTACCCGAAATCCCTACTGTTCACCGGGAATATTCAGAAAAGAAGTCCGCGGAAAGGTCTGGTAAAACCCCACTCTCGCGTTGCTCGCCTTACTATTCTAGTAGTTTGAGTTCTGAATCGCCACCTATTCAACCTTTAAAGGCACCTGTGAAAAAATCGTTTTTAGTGAGAAATATATCTCTAAAGAGTCCACCTAGTGGCAATGACACTGATAGTTCTTTAGATGTTATTAGAGATCCAAGGGAACGAATGCGTACATTTAGACGTAAGAAGCAGGTTACTGGTGCTCGAAAAAAACATGAAAAAATACATGATGTATTAGAGGAAGATTCTACTAAAAGTCAGTGTTCATCTGAAAGCGACATGCACCATGGTGCCAAGTATTTAGCTGTAGAAGACACATTGCGTAGAATGGAAAGTTCGGAATGTTCCGACAGTTACGTCCCGGAAGTTGAATCAGGATCATCTGAAGTATCCAAGGATTCTAAGAATTATGATGTTCCAGAACCGGTAAGTTACTCGGAGGACGAGGGACAAGCCGAATATTCTAAATATAAAAGTGCAAATTACGAGGCCCAACAGTTTCCTATTAGCATAACTCCCGTTCAGTTTCAAGGTTTTGGATCTTCTGCTGACGAGGATGAGATGGGCTTCCCTCGGTTTGATAGGTTAGGTCGGTTGCGGCACCCTTACCTTGATACACAAGAACCTAGTTATGTGCCGGAAGATAGTCCTCCCAGAGTGTCGTATTCCAATAAAAGTAGTCGCCAATCCTCTTTGAAGAAGACCAAATCAGGCTACCGTCAGTCCGAAGAGAAGTCCCTTGGGGAGCCTTCTGGACAACATCAGCCAAGAGCAATGTTCTACGAGGAACAGAGTGACAGAGATGATTCTGATGACTATGCATATCCTATCGATACAATAAAAAGAGCGCCAAAAATGTCTAAATCGGGAAGTTACTTATTTGAGCGCGGGGAGTCTGTAGCCTACTCGGACACTGAACTGCCACAAGACAAAGACGAGTATGAGGAGTACAGAGGTAGTCCTTACCCGGAGCAATATGAAGAAGGAGATATGTTTCAAACGCAGGAGTGTTATCCCCAATATGAACACGAGGTGGAAAGTAGGGACGCCAGCGAGGACCACTACACTAGAGATCTCGACCAGCGTTTCAGTTTGAATAATGTCGAACGATTTTATTCTAGTCATTATGTTGACTCGCAAGCTTCCAGCGATAGTCCCGAGCAAAAGTTTGACGTGTCTACTCTCCCTCCTCCCCTTTGTTCCGACGATGAAAATGATTAAGTTCGCTTTGGGACATTTAAAAGCCTTAAGAGTTTTGTTCGGTCGTTGTCACCCCTTATTTCGTCGGATCGACGTCAATGCGAGCGTGCTATTTACTATGCGTTTCGAAGTTTAAATTCTAATTAACGCAATTGTTACATTGGTATTTGATATTAGGATACTCATTGTATTGAATATTTACATTGTCATTTTGAATAATTAGTAAAAATGAATTAAAAAAATATATCTAGTGCCAAATCCGGATAGCGCGACCCTTTTGAGTATCGTGTGTAATGCGGACTTATACCTACCTGTAGCTTACTAAGTATATTTAGGTGTAGTCATGTGTACTGAACGAAATAACTTGCAATCGACATCTTATTCATGAAATTCTGATCGATATAATAATTATTAAAACACTCTTTACCGATCACACGTTACCTTTTAATTTGATGCAGTAAAATGGTAGTGTTTTCTACATTACAAAAATTGTGATGAGTATTACTGATGTAAAATCTATATTGTGTCGGACAAATGCACGCACAAACAAAACCATGTACGGAAATAGTAATTTTTATTTGTTTATTGATTAATGTATAATTAATGTTCTAAAAGATGTTACATTAAGTATTAATATAATTATTCAATTATTCTTTTCGAGATATCTATATGTAGTATCAACATAAAAATCACTTTAAGAAAATAAAATAAATATTCCGATTTAAAAATTAATCCCTCTTACAGATGAATCTTAGGATCAATTAAATCGTAATAAATGTACTCGTACACGATCATATTACATATTACATATTACATATTAGATATATATATAATATATATCTAATATGGAGGATATGTCTATAGTATAAATATGGAAACATTATTTCGATGTGTCATTTTACTGCATCAAGTTAAAAGTCGATATTTAGACGCAATTAGGAACGTAGCGCTGACGCTTGATAAAATGTGAGTAAACGTGGTAATTCAGCGCATATTAATGCCAAAGATCTCCTAGTTAAAATTATTTTTGTTTTATAAATGCCCTATGAAGTATTCGTTAATGGATGAATATAATGTTATGTATGAAGGCTGTGATTTACTTTGTGAGGTGAGATCCAAGATCTTTGTTAATTTTTTAATCCAATACTCAAATGCTCATTTGCTGCCACAGACGATATTTGTGGTTTTATTCTGAAAAAAAAATGTGCTGCAAATGTAATTTGTGTCACTTTTTTGGTATTACACATACCTATTTATTCTCATGTTTTCCATCAGTCTCTATTATATTATATTGAAAATTTTAGTACTAACATTTACTATAATTGAATAAAGTAGCCGTAATAAAAAAAAATTAAAATCTATATGTTTTGATAGGAAATACTTTCTATATGATTGCTAAAACTCCTTATAAGTTGTCTGCTAATACGACGTGAAGGCTAGTGCTACATTTATTCAAATTTCCGTCGCGTAAATAACAATTGTGAGCAGTTACTGTGGACCGTTCGCCCAGTGTGGCGCGTTATGTAAGAAAATGTGCAATGCAATGTTCCCGATCTTTCGCTGACGAAAAATAGGCGCGTGTACCACCGAATAGATGCTAGGCGCTAGATCTCTACGACATTGCATCGACCTAATGACGGATCTGCCGTATGTTGTGGCCAAAAGTAGCAAACCGTATGCAATTTGATATAGTCGTGTTCCGTCGCGGATGATCGGCGACCGAAAATCGGCGTTGTCGCACTAGCCTAAATGATGTCAACTCGATAGTGTTACGAAATCGTCAGGGTTTTTTTCTATTCGAAAAATATGTATACTACTCTTTCATTGCGTAATAATAATTCGTGCCAAATATGCTCAATTTTTTTCACACTAAGTATTATTAATGCAATGTTTTTATTCGCTTTTTTTTTTTAATAAAAAAAATTTTGTCTTATTCTAAGGTGATTTAATAGTCTATGTCGCGAGAAAATATTAGTTATAAATTATTATCAATCATCGAATTCGATCGGCGAGGATAATACGAGGAGCGTAGAATGATTATGTTATTTATCAGAATTATCAGTCACCAGTTGGCCGGCGTTGTGTGACGTGTTTATCAATGTAATTTATTTATAATTATATAACTTAAGGATTATAAACAATTTATATACTTGGCACTGTTAATAATGTGTTTTACGTCTTTTTTTTTTTGTATTTTATTCTTGTATTTTTACTTAAATAAAAAAAAAAATGTTTTGATTATAATATTACATATTATCACGAATCTGTTTAATTTTTTTTTAGTCAAATTTTCATAAAAAAAAATGCTTAGTTTATTAAGTAATTGTGCCAAACATAGAAATAGGTTATGCGTTATACATTTTTTTTTTAAAGCGTACTGTAATAAGAGAACAGTAATACTTTCGTTTTCATTGTATTTTTACTGTGAAACAACATTACGCGCTATGTTGGGTTTCAGTCAAAAAGGTAAGAGTGGAATCTCTGATACAGGCAAAATGTCAGACATCAGTGACTCGTGTAAATTCACTAACATATTATTAATTATTATTATATAAGACCTGGATTCTTTATGTCTTTTTTTCGACCCATGTATCATTGATGAAAATGCTCAATTTTCGCTCCTCAGTGTACTGCCTTCAAAACATGCCAACGACTACCATTATATATGTAAAACTCGTTTACAATGATCGTGCATCGTTATTTGTCGTTTTGGACTTAAATCGACGCTCAAATGATTTGCATTATTAAATCGTAATGGCTTGTTTAAACTTGACTCTTACTATTATGTTTAAATTTTTAAGTATGGAAAATTTATGCGTTGAAATTAATAACGTAAGATGTAAACGTAATTAGCATCGATTTTGGCTTAAAATTAACGAATTTTATGTTTTGTTGACATTTAGAATAGAATAATTCTACAACGTTAGCAAAAACATTTTTTTTTAATTAAATTTAAACTTTATTTAAAGTTATATTTGCGAGTTACTGTGTTTTACTGATCTAGGTGTTATTTTGCGGAAGTCTATGTTACCACGTAATCCTAATCAAACAACCAGTTACCGTATTGTTTATTCTTTAATAGTTTAGAGTTATTAAATATTTATATTGTACCCTATTTTCTGTTTTGACAGCTCGAATATCAATGATATATATGCATTAATATCATACCTATTTCCTGTTGGGGTAGGCAGAAACAATATGAATAACATAGTTTATTTCGAAACAGTCAAAGACACGATTAAGTTGAATAATATCTATTAACATTTTAATTGATGCTTGATTATGTTGATGACTATAATACAAGTGCCGACAAATGTAAGTGCATTCTACCTCGGTGACTATATATTGTGTGATACACACAGGCAATAATCGGTGGACTAAACCCATACAAAGATTATTAAGAAAATTAGAAGCGAAAACCGAACGTTTATAATTAGGTACAAACGAGAGATATGATAAATACGGTCATATAAAACCAATAATCACTAAAGTTGGTTACGATTAATATCATACTCTAAAAATTTACCAATTAGAGAATAGTTCGAGGCTCCTCCACTTACTTAAATGATCATCTTCTATCTCTAAAATTAGAGTAATTTAATTGTCAACTTTAGAGAATTCCCACGACCTATTTCGAAATCAGTTTTGTTGATATGTCTTAGACAAATTAAGGTATCATCAGATATTTTTTTTTAATGTACCTAAAATTGTTCATAATAACATGTCTCTAAATTTATCTGTAATATTACGGAATACGAAATTTTTAAATTAACGATTTCAAAGACGCATTTTAGAGATATAAAATGATTTTAAATGACATTGAAAGTCCATGCCCCTATTCTATTAAAATGAAATTTAGAAATAGGTTTAGATAAAGACTACTGAGTCGGCATCGGATATCCCAACGTTTAATTAGGTCTGACGTACCTACGATTCGTTAGTCAAGTCACTAAGTGCAAAAGCATAATATATACTGCCAATATTTGCCTATATTTTTGTTGATGTCACTAGCTTTTGAACGTAGTATACCATAAATGTGTACAATATATAGACGTTTACGAGGGATTTAACGAAATAGACATGAAAATAATCGTTAACCACGAACGTAGAGTTTGAAAGGTGATGTATTTATTCTAAATTTGAATATTATGTTGAATCTTGCTTGAATATAGCTCGTAAACTTTATGTGCGGTGATATGGCTCTCTTACTTTCCCACCGTGCTATATACGCTCCGAGTGCCGAGTACGAAGTGGCTGAGCTATATTTTTTTTTTAATGTTTTTTTAATGTTTCAAACAACTAACTTGTACTTGCATTAGTTATTTATGATGCAATTAGATTCAAACTCACATTGTTTGAACAATGCCAAAATATTTTTATGTATACGCCTAGACATGTGGCAAACGATATACATCTTTGTGTCGATAGAATTACTCTATACATATGTTTGTTCATTAATTTTAAAATGAATTTTGTTGTTACCTATTAAAATATTTCATTTACAAATTTATTTTGTTAGGCCAATGCACTGCTATTTACTCTCTCTGTTTAGCGTAATCGTTGACTGGTAGATAATGCCATTTAGGCATTAAGTCTGCCCTGTAGACATATTTTAATGTATAAATAAATAGAATCGTTTCGGTTAGCGCTCGCATGAGAAAGAATAAGACACTAAACGTTAAAATAAAAAGACACGGCGCGTCACCGTCTTATTCTAATTCATGGATCGTTAGCGATAACGATTCTATCGATAGATTCGTCTGCCACTTGTCCAGGGGACTGTTTAGATATAATGTAGAGAGTATTATTTTCATAATCGTATCTTATTTTTCCTTAATATGTATATATCAATTTCTTTAACGATCTTAAATACTCCATAGATACACAGATCAGATGTACAGAGGAGTAACACCTGAGTCCTTAGGAATGGCATCGCATGGGGAGTATCATGGGCGAAACAGTATATACTCTGTTATGTCCATGGTACCGCTCATGTCTATAGGCGACGGTTACCACTTTCCATCAGGTGGGCCGTCAGCTTGTTTGCCATTCTAAGTTGTATAAAAAAAATTAACGATATCAGAATTTAATTTTATGTGGAATTGAAAGGTGTACTTATTGTGAGTTACACGAATAGCATTCCATACACTAGTTATCGTATTTGCCCTGTATTTAGATAGAACAAATGTAATAAAATAATTAGATTACGTATGTACGATCATAAGATTCTTTTATTCGGTTCTAAGCTCAAAAAAGTCAATTACGTTTTATTGCATTATTTACTCGTGTAATTCTTTTTTTTTTTTTCAATAATTTTGATTGATGTTTATTCAATATAAAAATTATTGCAAAACTACGAATTAAATGATGGTTTGTGACGATGAAAGAATAGCCACGAATTACATTTATAAATAACACTGTACGGTCTGATATTTGGTAGATAGAGTTCGTTCGCAAAGAAATGTTATTTTGCAATTTTTCTAGTATTAATTTCAGTGTCGAAAGCATTATAGTGGAAAGCAATTCACCACCCATGGCTGCAGTGTTCAATTAATGCAAATGTTTGAAGACGGCCTTTGTTTTGGAATGTAACATACGTCTATTCTGAAATATATACTTGCGTGAGGCGTTCACACATTATTACGGTTTTATTACAAAGTATGATATTTATATTTTACTGAACTAGATGTTATTTTGCGGAAGTTCTTTATCACTGGTTTTTTTTTCGCTATGAGCTTTTTTTTTGTTGCATGAAAATTGATTGGTAACCCCGCCCGCGCTAACGGGATACGCTGGCGGAGCACCAGTGAAGGGTGATAGATGAGAATGAAAACAGGCCACTTACCCTATCATGATGAATTTATCATGAAGAATTAATCATGATAGTTTTCAGGAAGAACCGCGTGGAGGTTGACCTGATTAGGTATATTGCTAGCAATGGGATTTTTAGTCTCCATTACTAACAATCCCTTTCCCCTCTTTCGGTATGAGGCGCATGCATATTAATTAGTAGCGGAATTAAACAAAATAGTTCTAATCAACTGACCTATGATATTAATATCTTATATTGGGGGGGGGGGGGAAGATTGTTACTAATGCGGATTATTAGTTCCATTGCTAGCAATATACCCAACCAGGTCGACCTCCTCGCGGTTCCCCTTGGAAACTATCATGGTTAATCCCTGATGAATTCATAATGATGGGCTAACTGGCCTGTTTTCATTCTCATCTGTCACCCTTCACTGGTGCTCCGCCAGCGTATCCCGTTAGCGCAGGCGGGGTCACCATACCATTTTCATCTATCAAAAAAAAGAAATCTTATATTAATATTTCAACTTATTATATATATTGTGTACTATGTTGTACAATATAGGGTATTCCGAGTTAACATTATTTCAAGTTTTATACGTACATTAGTAATTGTAACTGAACTATTTGAAAATAATATGACAAGAACGCTGATCGCACGATATATTTCTTGTTATATATAATATATTGTATTCCAAAATTAAATCCGTCTTTAAAAAGTGTCAAAACGTGGTCATGTGTGCACGAAGCAATTTTAGACTATTAACTATAAGGGGTCACCGATCCCGCCCTAGTTAGTGCAATAACATTCGGTATTAAAATCATAGAGTTTAAGTACTTCGACTTTTCGATTGAAGTGTACAATCCGAATAGACTGTAATATTACGATTTCATTAAATTATTGTTTACCGTTTTATTGTCACGTAATATTTGGATATTGTTTCGAGTATTGAAATGTTACTTCCTTTTTGAATTTATATGTGAATGTAAGTGTACGGTATCCCTGCAATACACGACACTACGCCCCGCGGTCGGGGATAGTTAAACAATAAATAAATTAAATTAAATGTAACGAGGTTTTATTGTTATTTTTTTTTTGTTTATGTCATAATTAGACCCGTTACGTTTATATAAGCTGCCAGGAACGATCATGTAAGTTTAATAGAATGTTGAAATGCATGTTGACACTTTATTTTTAAACGTAGTTTCACCGATGTGAAGCGTTATTTTTTTATTATTATTTTTTTTTTATGTAAGAGGACAACAAACGATATTTTATATCTTTATTTCAGTATTATAAAAAATGTTTTATTGTTATTATATTATATATTAAGTTGTTATTTCTTTATGCCTTAATTGTTATATTTTACAGGGTCTTTTTCATGTTTCTGTTTTGTTTCTTTGTTTATTGTTGTTATTAATTTCTTAATATTTTTATATCTCCACTTCTTATATAGGCCCCCATTATATTTTAATTTACAGTTGCAAGTTACTTGTTTACTTATTAAGTTGTAACAAAGCATGATAATCATAATGCATGATTATATTCAAAACTAGATGGTTTCATTTAGAAAATAATACGAAATCCGGTTATAGTATTCATTAAACTTCTTAGAAAAACTGTTTTTCAATTTTTAACAGTAATTAGGTCACGTGTTTGACTTTTTCTCTTCCCTAAAAAGTAGTTCAGTTTAATGCTGTGACTGGATTTCAAATTTTCTTTGTTATATCGAATATTTATTTTTTTATTTTTTAATGTTGTTAATTTTTTTTTAATACAACTTTTCATAGACAATCTTGTCAAAGTATCCTGCTTATCGTTTCGTTTTCTGATTGGATTTATAGATTTAAATTCAATTATTTTTGTCTCGAAAATCACTGCTTTAATTTTTATTATTATATATAGTATTGGAATAAAACTAATAATGTTTTCCTAAAACAGACGAGACATCACCGGAGGAAGAAAATACGGTGTCGTCAGCGAGCCTGTGCATGTCACCCGCCGCGAACGAGGACCGCAGCTTGAACGAAGAGCCGCTCGGTGCCTCGACGCCGCTCGTGCGACCGCCACGCTCCCTCGCCAACGGACACGACGCCGTGGACAACGCGCGTGACAAGGACAGCAATAGGATCAACGGGAATGTTAATGGTATGAATTGGATAGGTTTATTTTCTAATATATATATATATTACAACACAGGGGGCAAACGAGCATGCGGCTCACCTGATGGTAAGCCTCTATTAAATAATGACGTGTCAATTTTATTTTCCAGTGCACGTAGTATCAGAATCGACGAATAGTATGGACGTGTTGAGCGGCGGCGAGAGCGACGCGGGCGACACGCTGAAGAGGCAAAATAATAATAACAGGTATCGTTCGTTCCAATAGAACAAGGTTTATGACAATCTAAACAAACTGATAATTGATCCGACCATAAGACAGTCTGCTGATGTCTAATCATCATCGTTATAGCCTTTAACTGTCCTCTGTTGAACATAAGTGTCCCCCTTGGGAGTTTTTGCCAGTAGTTGCCACGATTGGCAAGCGGATTGGCAACTGCATTCAGGCTTTGGAGATGTTTTAAGAGAGATACTGCTGCCTATCCGTCTCCATCCTTTAGTTGTCTTTTACGACACTCACGGGAAAGGAAGGGGTGGCCTATTGTCTATTCTATATGTAATATTCGTTGATTTCCAATAGTACAAATTAAAATTGATTCTTTTTCATACCACTGAGGTGGCAAAAAAGCATACGGCTCATCTGATGGTAAACGGTTACCGTAGCCCATGAACACCTGCAATACCAGATGCATTACATATTTTAAGTATTTTAAATTTTGTATGCGAAATATATATATATTCTTTATTGCACAAAAACATACAGTAACAACAATAAGTTAATAACAATGTTAGCAAAGGCGGACTTATCTCTAAAAGAGATTTCTTCCAGTCAACCTAACGCAGTGGCATAGGAAGTAGTGAGTGATATGTGAACTTAATAATATTTTATCTATGTATTTACCATATTTCTTACAAATAAATATTCATTCATTCATTACGCGCTCGAATGAATATTCATTCATTCATTCATTACGCGCTCGTTGCTGACCCTGAAGAAACCTCTTTATCCCTTTTTTGAAGAATCCCATGCTGTAGTCTCTTGTAGTGGACAGTTAAGTGCTGACATGATGATGATGATGATGATGATGATGATAATAAAAAAATATTGACTAACTGTCTATATATTGAAATGAATATTATTTAATTATTAATTTAATTTTTTTTATAAAAATTGATTGTATTTTTTTCAGTATATCGTCGACGCTAACCAGTATTATACGAGAGGGAGGCGGAGGCGACGTGCCGCGGCGGCGCGGCGCCGATCTCACGTACTTTGTGGCCAAGGAGCTGCTAATGACCGAGCGCACGTACAAGCGGGACCTCGAACTAGTCACTGTGGTATTTATATTGTACATTATTATATTTAAGTCGCCCATATCTGGTGCCCCTGAACAAGTAAAGATTTTCGATGTCCCCCTCCCAACGCCTTTATTACAGAGATAAAAACATCCATTCCATTTATTCCAAAGTCGAATTTAATAGGATTCTTTATTGATCCTGTGGCGCCTCGTAGGGTTTCGGCGCCTCTTCCTATCAATTCGGCCTGGATATGTGTTCTTATGGTTACTTCCTGATGTACGTATGATTGAGCTGACTTGACAGAACATTTGAAAATTTATTTATTCATGAAAAATAATTACAACATTATGACAGCAAAAGCCAAATCAATGTTATAAACCTAGTGTGCTAACATACAAAATTAGAATAAATGTATTTTTCTCAAACATGCTTGGAAATGTAAGCATTATTTTGACAATCTTCTTTGAGATAAATCTGCCTCGGCTACGCTTCGGCCCACATTTGCACGTTCGTCCATCAATGCCTCAGTTGCTGGCCGCTGCAGTAATGTACCATAACCCGACTCTAGATATTTGTGAGCCGCTTTCAATATCTTTGGCAGGCTACTATTAGAAATATCAATGACGTTTATAATATTATTTAATAACCGTACTGTATGAGTTAAGTGAGACTTGTTAGAAAGAGGCCGTGTGTCGGCAGACGTGGTCGTCGCGCGTGTCGTCGCTGGCGGCGGGCGGCGAGGGCGGCGAAGTGTCAGCTTTGGCGCGAGCGTGCCTGGCGCTCGAGCCGCTGGCGCTGCCCGCCGGCGCGCTGCTGGCCCGCCTCGAGCGCATGCTGGCCGCTTCCTCGCCCCATAACCTCAATGGTATGCTATTTATAGAATGGAGTAGAATACTTTGAACGGTGGAATATGGCAGTGAGTTTACAGGGTACAGAGGAATAATACCTGAGTCCTCAGGAGTGGCAACGCATAATGTATAGTGATGATTGAATACTTATATATATATATATATATATATATATATATATATATATATATATATATATATATATATATATATATATATATAATAAAGTGTTTGTCGCGGATGATCGGTGATAAAAGATCAAGTTAATATGTCACACATAACAATATGATATGATTTTTTTTTACAGACAACGAAGAACCAGAGTACAAGAAAACACCCGAATTACTGTACGATCATTTGTCAAGTACATTTGATGTAAGTGTGTCTACATTTTAATTGCTTCTGATTCAGTATTTTTAATCATTATATCAGCCGTTATGTCACTGTTGAACATAGGCCTCCCCTATAGATTGCCGTAACGGACGTTCCTTATAACAGTTTACCATTAGGGGAACTGTTATTATTTTACACACTTGGCGGGCGGTTTAGCAATCGCAGTTTGGCCTTCAGTGATGTTTTGAGAGGGACACTGCTGGCTATTCTTCGACTATTAAATTCTTTTAGTCGCTTCTTACGACACCCACGGGAAAGGAAGGGGTGGTCCATTCTACGTCGGGACTACACGGCTAGTATTCTTGATGGATAGTTACAATACTGGTAACTGGGGGGAAGGGATTGTTAGTAATGTAGAGGTTACTTCCCATTGCTAGCAATACTCGCTATCAGGTCGACCTCCACATGGTTCCTCCTGGAAACCATCGTGAGAAATTCTTGTTGAATTCGTCAAGAGGGGCTAACAGACCTTCTTTTTTTAACGTCTGGAAATGCTTTATGCAGACCCATACACCTTGTGGGAGGTGAATGGGTACTGTGGGAATCCTCCCGTAAGGTGGGTGTGTACCCACCAAAAACCAGACGATATACCCTCGAGGTGCCATATGTCGGAAACATGGGTTCGCTTTCGCACTTACCACATCTCTGACGGCGGCGACCCGCCCCCAGATGGTAAAAATAGGTCTCCTCTCTCAAGATAGGGTGGATGGCGTGCTCACCCTACCACTCGGGGGATGCACCGGTATATTAGCACAATTCCCAAGGGGCTAACTGACCCGCTTCATACTCACCTATCATCACTCACTTGTGCCCCGTCAGTGTACACCGATAGCGCGGGCAGGGTTACCATTTCATTATTATGCATTAAAAAAAACTGGTATGTAGAGGATGTTTGTGCGCAGGCGTATATGTCGTATGTATGCGCGGCGGGTGCGCTGGTGGCGCTGGTGGAGAGTGTACGGCGCGGCGGGCGCGGGCTGGCGCGCGCGGCGGCCGCCTTCGACGTCGCCGCGCCGCTGCCGCTGGCCTGCCTGCTGCTGCGGCCGCTGCACCGCCTGCTGCACCTGCACCGCCTCGCCGCAGGTGCTCATATACAACTATTATTTTTAATTTTGGTACAAACAGTCATTACAAAAAAAAAAAATTATACAACTTAGACTGGCAAACAAGCTGACGGCCCGCCTGATGGAAAGTGGTAACCGTCGCCTGTAAACATGAGCAGTACCATGGACATAACAGAGTATACCGTTTCGCACATGATACCCCCTTGCGTTGCCATTCCTGAGGACTCAGGTGTTATTTCTCTGTACCCAGTAAATTCACGCCATATCCCACCCTTCAAACCGAAACACAGCCATGCAAACATAACTGTTTTATAGTTGAAACATGAATAGGACAGAGGTACCCAAGCAATCGACTTTTGTACAAAATCTCTCTTTGGTGGTATATACTTTAATATAGTTATATATTATATTAACTATATAGTTACAATATTCTTATGTTACATAAAAATAGACAACAAGTACCGAAAAAATATATACAATAGTAGAAATGTAGTTGTACCCACAAACATCACAATTTCAGATTGTCTTTCGTTTAAAAGTTTTTAACGTGACCGATAACGTTCCCTTGTAAGTGTTCCAGACTTAGGGGACTTAGTAGAAGACCTAGAGAAAATTAGGGAAATTATAATGTTGGCAATAGTTGTTTTAAATTCACGACAAAAATGGTAAATAAAATTAAAAATTTAGTTATAGCAAATTAGGGTATTTTTTTTTTTATATATAACAGGAGGCAAACGAGTTGTGTTGCTCACCTGATGTTAAATGTTTGCCGACACCCACATTGGTATTTGCAACATTACAGAAGTTGCAGGTGTGTAGTCGACTTTTTAGGAAGGTATCTCTTTTCTTATCGTATCTGTTTGGAAATATTGCTTTTGAGAAAGATTAATAAAAAAACTATGATTTAAACCAAATTTCATTAGTCCTATACTTTTTATATGTTCGAGGGAAGAGTCCTGGTGACTTGTAATACAGGTTTAATACCTAGTACAGGCACCAGCTCCCACAAATAATATTGTTTAAATGTTTTGCAAGTTATAGATATTAAGTCCTTAATTGTTTGTGATGAGAAATAATAATAATAAATAATATACCAGCAGAATTCAGCAGCGGATTCTTAGACTATAATGATTTGTCCCAATGAATTCGTCTGTGTACTGTAGCAGCAAGCACGTTTCATATCGTGTATTCCCCGCAGAGCTGTGCGCGAGCAGCGGCAGCGAGGCGGCGGCGCGGGCGGCCGAGCTGGTGGCACAGGCCGCCGCCGCCGCCCGGGAACAGCTGCACCACGTTGAGAACCACGCCGCGCTCTGCCAGCTGCAGCGGGACATACGCGGTCAGTTTTTTTTTTAAGAGATGACAGTAGAGTGGTACCACCGTCTTCGGTAACGGTATACACTGGCAAGGCACCGCTGAAAGATAGCGTAAACGAATAATGACATGGGATTTTTATATATTAAGGTGAACGAAAATAGAATATATAGAATAGTGACCTCGGCTATGTCGTAGCTTTGATTTGGAGGGATACCTTTGTAGGTAAGGACGAAGTCAGGTGGTCATGAATATACCATGACGGTTTCCATAGGAACAACGAGTGAGTCGTCCTTTTGTAGCGTGGTTTTTTGGGAATTGGGGACTTACTTTTCACAGGGGGACGAGGGGAGAGAAGAGACATACATTACAGAAGGAGAAGCTATAGGAAGAGCTTGAGGGAGGGAGAAATATTTCTTACAACACCTGCTTGTTCTGGTTTTGTCTTAAATTTGTTGTAATGATATGAATATATCATACAATTCGAATAAATGAAGATATATATATTTTTGTACAGGTTATGACAAACTCTTAGTAGCGGAGAGAGAGTTTGTGCGAATGGGGTGCCTGTACAAGCATTCTACGCGCGGACTCCAGCAAAGGATGCTTTTCTTGGTACGGTACCGTTTGTTTAATGTTTAAAACTAGACTTTAGATAAGGTAGAGGAAGTTAATAGGAGAGTTAATTAATATTTAATATATAAAAATTAATGCCACTTTTCGTTGTAATTTTATAACTCAAGAACGGGCTCACCTATCCAAACCAAATGTTTAGGCTTTGTTCGGACTACTTAGTAGATAGGTTATGTGAAGCTTGCACAAAATCGGTCGAGCGGTTCTTCATTTATCACATTTTTTGTAACAGATGAATTCAATAAATGGCAGATTATTTTGTTAATGGGGATTTTTGTGTCAAATTCAAACTTTTTTTAAGATTGGGGATTGTGCTAGTTATTGAAGTCGCTGGCGGAAGACCCAAAAAAAAAAAACAATTTTATAAATATAATTAAATTTAATTCTAAAATTAATTATTACAATAATAAGTGTCTTCAGATCGATGTGTGATCCGTTAGTAAAGTTATATAAAATCAAACATAAAGGAAATGGGCTTTTTGTGCGGCGGTTGTTGAAATGCTGACTCGACGCAGGTGTCTTTCTCGGTAACGCACCTTCTGGCGTCATGCTAGGTGGTCCGATCCGATCGCTGTTGAAGGTGTGTCGTATTACTTGATATGTATCTACTATAACATGCTGTTAAATTGAAACTTTTTTCAGTGTTGACAGTACAAGCATGTTGTTATGTCATTCATGTGGTTATTTAATTTTTTTTTTTATTATTTCACCTTACTGCTCATGTAGTGAAGCATGTACTGGGCCGTTAGTATTTAATATAATATTTATAATATAATGTATTAGAAGTAAGCAATACTCTGCTTAGTGAGAAATTAGATAGTTTATTTATATTGCTATAGTGACAAACGAGCATATGGCCAGTCTGATGGTAAACGGGATTACCGTAGCTATGTGTTACGGTGCTATGTAATATGTCCTGTAATATTTATTACTATTTATTTATATTCATATCTGAATATAAAATGCAAGCATAACTGTTTCGTGCCAAAGACATGAGTGGGACAGATATATCCATGCAGGTTCCCTCTAGTGTTACGATTGAAGTTTTTTTACCCGACTTTAAAAAGGACTTATATCAATATCAATTTGGTTGTATTTTTTTATGTTTACCTCATAACTCTGTCAGTTGTAAACTGATTTGAAAAATTCTTTTTTTTTTCTGCAAGGATACGCTTACAAAGTGGTTTAGTTTTTAAATCAAAGTTACTGGTTTTGCCACAATTGAAGTCGGTTTTTGGCATGCGTTCCCTTTTTCATCCTAATAAATAGACTTATGATAAATATTTTAGTGAAAACGAGGTGTAAATTTACGAATGTATTATTGTCCGCAGTTGAGCGACATCTTGGTGGTGGCGACGCGGGCAGGCGGCGGCAGTGGCGGGCCGCAGTTCCGCGCCGCCAGTGTGGTGGCGCTGCACTCGCTGCAGTTGCACACCTCGCACCTGCCGCACTCCTTCCAGTTGCAAGGTGACTGCCAGACGTTTAGTTTTGTCTATATACTAATATTTGGTGTGTATATTTGATATATCAGCCATGTAAGTCCCGGCATAGAATAGGCCACCCCTTCCTCTCCCGTAAGTATTGTAAGAGGTGATTAAAGAAGCTTATGGTGGAGGTATGGGCAGCAGCGTCTCTCTTAAAACATCATAAAAAGCCAAACTGCGGTTGCCAACCCGTCTGCCAAGCGTGGCAATTACTAGAAAAACCCCCTTATGGGGGAAGCTACATTCAGAAGTGGACGTGAAGGGGATTTTGCCAGTAGTGTTACCACACCTGACAGGCGGGTTGAAAACCGCAGTTAGGCTTTTGGTGATGTTTAAAAATATTTACGTTGCTTCTCCCATACAGAATACGTTACCTGACGTTTCCATGGAGATTTCAAAAATTCTTTTCTTAGTCGGTACCTTCCTTTAGCCATAAGAATAAATAGTGAGTATCAGATTTTATTTACTAAGATGAATATACCTAGAGTAAGTTATATCCACAAAAAAATATGAAAGAGAAAGATTATTGACAGATATATAGCAAAATCATGGAAATAAATAGTGTTTACTTTTACTTCAATTAAATATTTACTCCATGTGCCTACTAAAATGTGTGTAAAATGAAATCTTTATTCGGTTGCAGGCGAGGACGTGAACCTACTGTTCAGCACGAGTAACGAGCAGGAATTCGTCGGCTGGTACCAGTCGCTGGAGAGCGCGATAGCGGCCGCGCGGCAGAACGTCGTCTCCGTCGACACTGAACTCACGCCATACGAGACGGAGACCGGTGAGTTTCTTTAAAATAATAATTTACCAATTATTCCATAAATAAGTTTTCAGGTATTTTATAAATAAGTATTCAATAAATAATGTGATTGGGACGAAACTAACTACGATTTTATGTTATGTTTTTTAGCTTTTTTTTTTATACAACTTAGAATGGCAAACAAGCTGACGGCCCACCTGATGGAAAGTGGTAACCGTCGCCTATAGACATGATCAGTACCATGGACATAACAGAGTATACTGTTTCGCCCATGATACCCCACATGCGTTGCCATTCCTGAGGACTCAGGTGTTATTCCTCTGTACCCAGTAAATTCACGCCATATCCCACCCTTCAAACCGAAACACAGCCATGTTATTATTGTTGTTACTGTATGTTTTAGTGCAATAAGGAATATATATATATATATATATATATATATATATATATATATATATATATATATATATATATATATATATATATATAAATATGCTGATCACCTGATGGTAAGTGAGCCTATGCCTACCGCCTACCGCCTACCGAGCCTACCGCCTATGAGCACCCGCAATATTGGAGGAACTGCATGTGCATATATATATATATATATATATATATATACATATTTATTCAACAAAAATATACAGATGCAATTACAAGATACATATAGTTTACATATTGATTCACAGGAAGTGTCTCTGACCTCTATGCTAGGAAAATCCTGTGTCATGAAGGTGTAATTGTAATAGTCTAATATAAATTAATATTGTTAATAATAACAATGTTAGCAAACGCGAACTTATCTCTAAAAGAGATCTCTTCCAATCAACTTAACACAGTGGCATACAAAGTAGTGAGTGGGCAGTATGTAGTAGTGCAAAACATATATTTTTACGTCAATATTCAATATTGTCGCGTGTGTCACCACGGTCTTGTGCTAACCTCACAAATTTAATTTATTCATGTTTAGATTCGTCGCCGAGTGGAAGTATGAGTGCGAGTGGTAGCGTGTGCGCGGGCAGTGCTCTGGCGGGCGTGTGCTGGCACCGGGCCACCTCGCTGGACAGGCAGCACCTGCACCGCGCGCTCAGGGTACGTATCCACCAGCCCACTGGTCACACGTACTTAACATGTAGTTGTTGTTCAAGTAAATTATTGAAACCGTTTTGATCAAATACCTCTTCCGATAGAAAGAAACTCTCCGTGTCCTCTGTTCTAAAATCGTAACATAATAAAAAATATGTTTAGTGTAAATGTTTAGCTAAACATTGTGCATCTAATAACTCAATAAAATGTTACTTCCATTAAATTTGTCACTCATTAAAGGAAGATAGTATTTTTTTATGTTGAGTCGCTGCAGTCACATTTTTTAATAGAAATCGTCCCTAACGGGTTTATTGTTATTTTTTAGGATTGGCTAATAAAGATATAAGATCTACGAAAATTTACAAGTCATACCAATTGTCTATAATCACCAGCATTGACCAGTTATTTGTTAGATTTTGGTCCTGCGGAGACGGATTTATATATTTTATTTTTTAATTATAATCAGACCCAGCTATCAGGCCACCTGTTACGCAAGTTCAAGAAGTCGCCGGGCTGGCAGAAGCTGTGGGTGGTGTTTGCCGCATTCACGCTATACTTTTACAAGAGCTGGCAGGACGAAACGCCGCTCGCTTCGCTGCCGCTGCTCGGGTAAATTTACTCATTTTTACAACATAACGGTACTACTGTGTGTAGTGATGTGTAATTTGTGTATGGATTTGTTAATAAGTTTTAATTAGTCCTAGGTAAGCATATTGAGATTCCCCTAGTCGACTAAATAAATAAATGTCATATTTGTGATTGCCGAGAAACGTCGTTTTGGAATAGGGTTAATTTTTTTGCATGCCCTGATTCGCCCTTGATATGCCTATATATGTTATATTCTTACTTACTATCACAGGTACAGTGTGGGCCCACCATCGGAGAGCGACGGTATCGACAAAGACTTTGTGTTCAAGCTACAGTTCAAGAACCATGTATACTTCTTCAGAGCGGACAGCTTGTTCACGTACAATAGGTAATTGGCTTACTAGCGTACTATAAATGCGAAAATTGGTATAGTTGTGTGTATGGATGTATGTTTGTTACTTTTTCATGCAAAAACTACTGAACGGATTTGAATGAAATTTGGTACGCGGGTATGTTATATAGTTAATTTAACATAAAGAATATTTTATATATTGATTCGCGCTGATCAAGCCGCTTGATTCAGCTGATATTTCAAAAGCTTTAATTACATTCTTATTTATGTAAATAACTAGAAATTCGGCTCGACTTCGATTTTGTAGATAGATAATAATATATAACCTATGCTCATCACTTATAATGTAGTTCTCTATAGGTGACAGAATCTTTAAAATTGGTTAAGTAGTTTTTGAGTTTATCCAATACAAACAAACAATCAAATCTATCATGGTATGGTAACCCTGCCTGCGCTAACGGGATACGCTGGCGGAGCACCAGTGAAGGGTGATAGATGAGAATGAAAACAGGCCAGTTAGCCCATCATGATGAATTCATCAGGAATTAACCATGATAGTTTCCAGGGGGAACCACGAGGAGGTCGACCTGGTTGGGTATATTGCTAGCAATTGGAATCTCAATCTACATTACTAACAATCCCTTTCCTCCGATTATTATTATATTAGAATAAGTTCTAGATTGTATTAAAACAATGCCTGACACTATTAGGGATTACAGGCGAATTGAGCTTATTTTTTTTATTGTTTTTTTTTTTCCTACAGGTGGACAGAAGTGCTGCAAACATCAATGGTTCAACATAGCAATTAATTTAAGTAAATTATTCCAAACTATAGCTACAAAAATTGGTGCCATAATGATGTTGTGTTAAAAAATCATTTAAAACTGAAGCAATATTAATCTTGCCCATAATTATGTATGTAATGTCTTAGTCCAGATAAAAATAAAGCTGCTAAGAATAAGTTAAAGTGATTTTGAAGTGATCAATAGTTTAAAATATAGAAATGATAGCTACTTAATTCATGTTTCTGAATCAGACTGCTTATTTAATGTAAGCTGTTTATTTGGTTTGCTTTCCAATTTACTGTCAAACATTCTGATTGCATATCTGTTTGACAGTGTAAACATTTTTGCTCACAAATGCCTTTATTGTGATATGAATACTTGATATTATTATATATTACTAGTGGATAAAGGCAGGCTTAAGAGGACAAACTGACATTGTTTACCTTTCATGTTTCAAACAGAAATATTTATTTATATATTTCCGATTTACAGGGTGTAATAGAATATGTTAATACTATATTTATTAAACAAAATTTTATAGATGTTTCTATTAAAAAATATGAAATATGTTGACATATATAAGTAACTCATACAGTTAATTTTTGAAATTAACTGTATGAGTTACTTATATATGTCAACATATTTCATATTTTTTAATAGAAACATCTATAATGTTTCCGTCTATTATTGTACGCTTACTGCCCGCTAATAATTAATGCTCCTTTCCACTCAGGGTTTGCTGGAAGAGAACTCTTACAGAGTTAAGCTCGCCTGTTGTACATCTTTATTTTATATATATAATATGTTGTAATTTTTTCTGTGTACAATAAAGAATAAATAAATAAATAAATTAAAATTTGTGTAGATATATATTATACATAATAATGTATACTATTTAATAACATAAAATTGAACAATTTTTTCCGAATTGAAAAATTATTTATTAATATAATTATTATTTATTTATATATTTTTTGGAAAACGTACAGCTGAATTACAGTCAATACATAATCAAATTTATATCTATGTTAAGCCATGAATCGTTTTCACATTTATAATACACAAGAGTACCTAATAAATGTTTGATGACTTAAATTATATAGATAGAGTGTTTCCATAAAAATGCTTCGAAAAAAACAGGTCAATATTTTATCCATGTGTTTGTGTGTGTAAATCAGAATACTAGAATGTATAGTTATTACTAAATATGTATAGAAAATTTCTATTGTAAGGTTAAATCTATACTTATAATAAATCTGTAGAGAGGTCAATTCTGTACATGAAATATATTTCCAAAATAACTATCAGGGGGTGATTAGTGATCGATACTGATGCCAAAAATGCAATCAGTAAAGTTTTTGTCTGTCTGTCTGTATGTTCGTTATAGAAACAAAAACTTCTCGACGGATTTTAACGAAACTTGGTACAATTATTCTTCATACTCCTGGGCAGGTTATAGTATACTTTTCTTCACGCTACGATCAATAGGAGCAGAGCAGTGAAGGGAAATGTTGGGAAAACGAGAGAAGTTACTCCATTTTTAAGCTTCAGTCGCGTGTGCAGCCTTGAAGGACACTTTTTAAAACGTAAAAATGTCCACCCGTGCGAATCCGGGACGGGCCGCTAGTTAAAAAGTAAAAATAATATACGAGGTCTGTCCGGAAAGTTCGTATAAAAGTGTTCTGGAATGCGAGAAAGAGGAGTGGGGAGGCCAGGTAAGCGCAGGACCCCTTCCTTATGTCCCTAACAATGCTTCAGTTCTGGTCTGACCGCCGTGCGGTGCGAACTGGCTTGTCACGCCATCTGTGAAGTTACCTCTTAACGAAACCCCGTCGGCATGGAGCCCGCTTCCGTTGAAGAGCAGCGCGTCGTAATCAAGTTTCTCTCGAAACTCGGCAAGAATGGCCGTGAAATTTTTGCCGATCTAATTCGATAAGACATCCGGGGAACCACGAACAAAAAAATCAAGAAAATCCCGCTCAAATGTCAAGACAATGTTGATTGTTTTTTTCGATGTTCGGGGGATTGTCCATCAAGAATTCGTCCCTCCAGGCCAGACAGTTGATGGAAAATTCTACGTCGATGTGCTCAGACGCCTCAAAGCTCGTGTGGCACGAGTTCGTCCAGAATTGGCGCGAGAGGGGCGTTGGATTCTTCACCACGACAATGCCCCTGCCCACACCTCTCTTGTTGTCCGTGAGTTTTTGAGTAAAAATTCCATTACGGTGACCGAACACCCCCCTATTCGCCGGATTTGGCCCCGTGTGACTTCTTCTTGTTCCCAAAAACCAAATTGGTACTTCGGGGGCGGCATTTGGGGGACATAAATGAGATAAAAAAAGCTACGACGGGGCAGCTGAGAAACCTACAACCAGAGGACTTTCAAGGAGCCTTCTCACAGTAGAAACGGCGTTGGCACAAGTGCATTATGTCACAGGGGGAGTACTTTGAAGGGGATAAAATTGATTTACCTGAATAATTGTAAAATAAAATTTTTAAAAAACTTTTATACGTACTTTCCGGACAAACCTCGTAAAATACTTACGAATATATTCGGAAAAACGGGATAAACAATGCATAATGATTAATAATGATGCTTATATTTATTGATAACTTGTATTTATATTTGAGAATAGACTTAAAATATGTTTTAGTTGTTAAAATCATTGAAAGTGTAGCCATTTAAAGTAATACATTTAAATTAATTTATGAACATTATGTACATACATAATTATATTACAATAAATAGTTCACAAGTATTATTTTAATAATCGACATGATCTGGGAGATTTTTAATTAAAAAAAATTGTCAACTAAACATCACTTTATCTGACTAAATATTCACAAGTATTTTTTAAAACAATTTGCGCAATTATTTCAGTGTTGCAAGTACAAGTTGCAACACTGCATTTAGTCAGATAAAGTTACGTTTAGTTGACAAAATTTTGACCTGTTTTTGATGCTCAATGCTCTATCTATATAAATTAAAGTTGGTGATTATGTAGAACCATTACGGTTATCAGTTTTGTGATAACACATATTGGATGAATGTTCACAATGTAGCTTTAGTAATATAATAAACGTGATGTCACACAGTAGTTTGTAAGTTAATGTTACAGATCCTTTGTAAAAGGAGTTTTAGGATTAATATTGATATCGTAGTAGATGGTCGAGGAAAAAGTTATATATATATATATATATATATATATATATATATATATATATATATATATATATATATATATATATATATATATATTGTAATGATGTCTCCACACAGAGGTTTACAATAATAATTTTTTTGTTGAATTACATCCATTCGTTCTATAAATATATATATATTTATACATATAATATCATTTTTATGCATGCATATTGCATTGATTTTGATGAAATTCGATGTCATAATAACTTAGTGTTTATGTTAGTATAGAGGGCACTTTTTCATACAGTAAAATATCCTATTGCCCTTGAAAAGTACGTATCTTTCGTCAAGCGATAGTTCACGGTTACGTTTGTTGTGTTGAAAATTATGATATACAAATTTTAACTGTTCAAAAGTAAAAATTGGTTAACTGTGCCATATATAAGGCATAAATATGTTCATTCCAAACATTTTTTAGTTTGGAAAGTGCTTATGGTTCTCTAAATCCGGCTCGAAGGACCATAATACGAGAATAATGCAATTGACAAGATATATTTTTAATGAATAGTTTATATATTAATTATAATAAGTTGGCATGAAATATCACTTTATATTGTTTTGTTGTGATTCAAATTTTTTTTTTTTATTTTGAAACGCAAAATGAACATTTTACTATTTTGGATACGATCACTTCTGTGTGGGATACATTGAGGTATAAATTGTTTTATGAGTTATTCATTTCCTTATTCATTTGTAAATAATATAATGCTTTAGCCCAAATAATGCAAAAGGGTAAGTTCATGATAATATATTAGAAATTAAGTTATATGAATATTAGTAAAAGTAATATAGACAGCTAAAAATAATAAAGTAATAATTATTACAAAAGCCGTTACAGATCTGATCTGCGAGCGCTTTTGAATCACATAAGAGCGAAGGTTGCTTTTATAGTTTGTTACACTGATGTAGATACAAATAGATGTCGCAAGTACATCGATTGCCGTACCCATTACACTGTTTGACTTCGTTGGAGATTTGACTCTATTATGAAATTCATGTCGAAAAAAGTTCAAACAAGAACTCCGCCTGGAATACCGTTTAACAAATTTTACAGATTAGATGAAAAATGCATACTTTGTTTATAAAAACATCAAGCAGTGTAGTTTTTTTACATCGATTAATATTATATTTATTTAGGCAGCTTCAGCCATAAATCATATACATATCTATTCATTTCGTCAAAATCTGTCTAAATTTTTCATAGGTGTATAATCCGAGGTTGCTATAAAATTAAAAATGCCGACTTTCCGATATAATTTTCCATATGTTTTTTACGCTATATTTTACAAGACAATATTTTTTTTTTATTTCTACGTTACAGCAAAGACATACCACAGATACTGCCTTAGCAATGAGTATATGAATTTTTATCAGCGTCTTAGGTGTGCATATGTAAATTTATACTATTTATCAGTGTATCCATGAATATTACAAAATATTACACTTATTACTTGCAACACTGAACATACGACGCAAGTTGTTTTTTTTTTAAAAAAAAAACACTTGTCTGAACGTTTTTCATGTTCGACGCACTTGCACTATCTAGGTGTATATTGATCTACTAAATTATTACATAGAGCGTGATACTTGCGACTTTTATTCAAAATTTATCTATACGTCGGTAAATTAGGGATCTAAGGGGAGTAATGGTGTTTACGACGAGCTAACTGCGAGTCGTAAAACTTTTTGAGATGTTTCAACTATGAGAATAAATCATGGCTGCTTTACATAAACATTTTATATTTATCAAAAGGAAATTAATTAATTTTAATACTTTTTACCATTTTGGTAGACAAAGATATGGTCCCGATGTTTGTTGGAAGGCCAGATGGCTGATTTTATTAAATAGAATATGGGGGATTATGTATTTTATATAATAAAAATAAATTTAATATATGTATTTAATAAATTGTCATAAACTGTATTATTTGTGAAGTTTTACATCTGCGCTATTGGCCTACCAAACAACTTGTTTGATATTAATTTTGTATAAACTAGTCATATCACAGTTCAAGGAACAGTCGGTAGTCTACGTCTTTTTCATGTCTCGAACATAGGACAATTCGGGACACAACTATCACTGATAGTTGTTTTTTTTTTATGCAACTTAGAATGGCAAAAAAGCTGACGGCCCACCTGATGGAAAGTGGTAATCGTCGCCTATAGACATGAGCAGTACCATGGACATAACAGAGTATACTGTTTCGCCCATGATACCCCCCATGCGTTGCCATTCCTGAGGACTCGGGTGTTATTCCTCTGTACCCAGTAAATTCACGCCATATCCCACCCTTCAAACCGAAACACAGCCATGCAAACACACTGCTTCACGGTTGAAACACGAATGGGGCAGAGGTACCCAAGCAATCGACTTTTGTACAAAGTTTCCCTCTGTGCAATATATAAAATATGAAAGTTAGCAGTGTCAGTAAGTTGACAAAGCAACATTGCTTGTTATTGTCGCTTGATGCCCCGCGCTGTTTCCAATCGTAGAGACGCGGTCGTGACTAGGTCTGAATTTAATTAACCTACGTCTGGTAGATTCAGATTAGGGATGGGTGATATTTTCAAATTTTGAATATACTATAATCGATATCAAGATATCGATATATTACTTTATGATATCATAATTTCAATAATATCGATAAATATCGCTCATCCCTGATTTAGAATTACCTATATATCATAATGTACTATGTATTGGCGGGTCGATAGCGCTCATGTATATTTGTTGAATGGATTATCGTATGTGTGACCATACTACATATATTGTGCCACATAGTATTTTAATAGTTATATCAGCTATAGTGATGTAATGAAATAATTATAATCAAATAAATCGATCGATTTTTATAATCGATTATAAGCTGATGTACGGTTCTCGATTGATAAAATTGGATAATGTGAGAACATTTGTACTCATTCTAATTTTTATCATAATAATTAATTTCATGATTTGGTTTCTTCAAATTGTCATCATTATATCAGCTTTTAACTGTCCACTGTTGAACATAAGTCTTTTCCTTATCGGATTTTGCTAGTAGTTTCCACGTTTGGCAGGCGGGTTGGGAACCGCAGTTAGGCTTTAGAGATGTTTTAAGAGGGATGCTGCCACCCATCCCTCGCCCTCCCTTAGTCGTCTCTTACGACACCCATGGGAAAGAAAGGGGTGGCTTATTCTATGTACCGTGTGGTCCCGGCAACCACACGGTCAATCTACGGTTTGTCAGACTATACTCGTAGGTTTTTTAAAGACCTAGTCTGTATCTTATTAATACTTGTTATTATGCATTGGCTTGTATTTATTTTTTTAATCTTGACGAATATTATATGTGTGTAACTGAGTTTATAGGTCACTTTTTCGAATCTTAACTACTTAACTAAAATGAACTGTCATGAAATTTGGTGTGCACGTAGTATTTGAAGTGGAGAGGGATATACATTAGTTTTTTATATTTCACACAATTCCCAGGGTCTACCGTGAAATGGTTTCCGCAATTTTGGAGCGTAACAGAAATTTTATATTAAAATTACATAATACATATTGTTTAAAAATATTAAAATATCGTTGCTTTGGACTTTTTTTTGGTAGAATTTATGACGAACGAAATGCTTCATTTATTGAGCCCATTTGGTTATGAACGAATAAACAAAATTGAGTTTGAATATTCGGAACTTATTTCATGGTAGACCCCATGTCGTCAAAGTCGCAGGTAACCTGTAAAAGAGTACAAGTATTGTTACTTTATAAAAGGTTAAAGTTATTAACCTACAAGTAAATTAATAATATAATAAATATTTTTGACATTCCGCAACGGTTGCTGTTTATAATTTGCTCTCGGATTGAGGGGCTCGATATGAAGTTATACTCGTTTCGTTTGAGTATAAAAAAAAGGCTACTGCGAACATTCTGTAAGAAGTAATTTCTTACAGAATGTTCGCAGTAGCCTTTTTTTAGTAGACTTAAATTTGTATTAAATTTTACCGGGGTTATCTGAAATTATCAATTTTTGTTTTGATAACGCTTATGGCCTATGGTCAGACGAATTCCAACCATATTGAAGTTTTTTTTTCTTGGCTTCTGTGATCTAAAAAGGTGGAACACAATTCGTCATAGTCATAGAATACTGACGGATCTGACGAATATAACATATAAAAGATCCGTCAGTATTCTACGACTATGACGAATTATATAGTGCATATTCTGCTTTCTTAACTAATTTACTTTTGCAATAAAGTAAAAGTATCAATTTTTTGCGAAGGATTTCTATACTTCGGCATTTTATAAGGCTCCCCAATCCAGACTTCTTTTTTTATATAGGTTATTTTATATATTTGTAATCTGATCAATTAGTATAATTGTACTGACATTGAAAATATGAGATACATATATACCGCTGTGTAGTCTAATACAGTAGATACATAGTGTAACAAGGTGGTTTTAGTATTATTTAAATCGAAAATGAATGAAATTTATTACTGTTTAAAGTGAAATCGGTTCAAATTCCATTCACAAACAAGAATCCCATCTGGACAATATCCATTTTATACCTACATTTGCAGACAAATGTGTTTTATTTAAGAAAACTAAATTTGTATGTATTTTTCGCCGTTCAAATACCTACTTAGTATTTGGATGTCATTTTATAAAAGGGGGACTCAAATATTAAACTACAGTGATATTGTTGTGCATACGAATCACAGTACAACCATGAGGACTAGATATTATTATGTTTTAGTAATCTCGGCCAAGTAATGCGATTTTATATTTGTGATTTTGTGCTGTAATAGTATTGTGTTTTTAAAAATGTAACTTGTTAATGTGCTAGAGTTAACTTTTTCATACTGGCATAACGTGATTTTGTTTTCTGTAGTAGTAGGCGAAAAATAACGATTTGTTTGGTCCTTTTATCCTACTCGAAGGACCAAATATTACATATGGAGTTAATAATAATGGACTGTATAATTTATCGTGCGTACGGCCAAGAAGTGGAACCTCTTTCCCTCCCCCCCTCTCTCTCCCCCTCTCCCTTCCTCCCCCTTCCTCCCCCTCTCCCTTCCTCCCCCTCTCTCCCCCTCTCCCTATGTTTTTTATCCAAATATAATCTACACCAATTTAAAACAAATGTGAATAGACGATTCGTGGGCTCGCGAGCTCCATCTTAGATCACATTATCACCTTACACCAGGTGACATCGTGATCAATAATGGAACCTTTCAATAGTATTAAAAAAATCTTCGAACGGTATAAAAAAAATTGTTCATTTTCCCTATTCGATATATGAAGCCTACTTTATACACACAAGTACAAAAATTTTAATTTACATTATGTCAATATAAAAAACAGTTAAGTCTAGCACATTAAATAATAATTTAAAATACCTAACCGTAAAGACGTGTCCGCTGCTCCAAAAGTTAACAAATTTAAACAACATTATTAGCCAATCATAGCGGGCAATATAAACAACATATTTATGTGCTCCGTGCTATCTTGTTATTAAAGTTATTATAGTATATTTCACGTTTTAAGCCACGCCTTTATTTTGTTAACGCACGCAGCGTTTCAAACAAAATATACTGTTGTCGCGGTGGATATGTCTTAACGTGAGTGGTTGATATTTGTTGGAATGGTTTATAATGATTATAAATTTAAATGACCTTATTAATATATTTCAAATGTGAAACCGTCTTATAGAACAGAGTTTGTAGATAAAGCACTTGTAAACATTCTAGTAAGCTAAGAGATAGTACAAACCATTTAACACTTTTCATAGTAGAGTTCGCGGCAAACCTGACCAACCATAGACAATAAAGCCTCCGCACTGTGCAAGTCACGAGGTATAAAAATGGTTATCTACTTAAATATTTGTCTATGATTAAACACTTGGATTATCCTTAATTGGATATTATTATTAGTTATTTACTGGTTTTATACTAGTATATTATATGTAGGTATACTTTATCTACAAGCCCAGTTGATTGAAGGAATGGTTATGTCCGCTAAGAAAGAATCATAGATTATCAGAAACTAAGGATGTGACTTATTCCAAAGTTTAGTATATAAATTATTTACAGAAATAAATTATGTGCAAAATTACAACACTTTTTTATTTTTAATATTAGTATTTAGAAGAATTTCTTCAAAAGGGCAGGCGTTCATAGGCTACGGTAACCGCTTACCATCAGATGGGCCGTATGCTTGTTTGCCACTTCAGTGGTATAAAAAAAAAGAAGTCCTTATCGTGAACTTTCACAATTTATTAAGGAAGAAAGTAAGTTAACTATAGCTTAGTTTTAACGTCTCAACCCATAGTCATATTTGATTATAAACTTAGTATTTGGTTTGTAGAAGGACACAGGCTACTTTTTAATCCCACATAAACAATATTTTTGATCATGCGAACGAAGTCGCAGGTAAAAACTAGTCTATAATAAAATAATACAACTTTTAAATATATTCTTTTATTTCATAGTTATTACCGTATATTTTGGGTTTTGGTAACACGAAGGTATTATTTGTAAATTTAGATAAGTAAATATATAATTGAAAGAATTTTTCGTAACATATTCCCTAGTTATTATTTGCGTTATTATCCAGTAAAATATAATAAATAGAAGTACTTGTACTTATTCAAATATAATTAACACGATCTTTACAAAAAATCGGTAACGTATTACAAGAATTTTCAATTTTTTTTTTCAATTCATGAGTCGGTATAATAAATAAACTATTTCGGGATATCCCAACATTACGAGTGTTATGTTGTGGGATTAATATTTTTTTTTTATTCTGTAATAGTTTCTTGGAAAATACAGGTATGCTTTAAATTGCGTCATCTTTTAAAATAAATAGATATCTACATATGTCTACATACGCACACAAATGGCACATTCCTGTCTCATCGTATACCTACTTAATATCTAAAACTTAATGAACAGGTAATAAGTTAGAAAATACGTAAGTAACGAACATGAAAATATCAGATACGAAAGTAATATGTACATTATAAATAGATTACACTAAATTCGGGGACATGTATTTTATACACAAATTATCGAGATCTACGTATCTTTGGTATCCCATTTGCTAATTAGTGGCAAGTCCAATGCGTGAAAATCGAATCGGTATTGATTTATTAGTGTTGACACTAAAGGGAAAATTGAATGCTTTCCGATTTTGTCAATCGATTCCGAGGCATCATTTCTCTAAATCTATATACCTAAAAAGATAGTTATTATTTTTATTTGTAGTATATGTATTTATGTAATATTCTAATATATATATTAATGTTTCACTTAACTATTTATTTGTATATTTGTTTATGAATTAATGATTGTTAACAGTTATTCGTATTCGTAGTATTAATAGTTGGGGGAAAGGAATTGTTAGTAATGGAGTTTGACAGCCCCATTGCTAGCAATATGCCTTATTAGGTCGACCTCCATGTGGTTCCCCCTGGAAATCGTCGTGAACAATTCTTGTTGAATTCGTCACGATGGGCTAACTGACCTACTTCATCCTCACCTATCATCCGTCACTGGTGCCCCACCGGTGATACCAATAGCGCGGGTGGGGCTACCATTCCATTATCATCCATTAAAAAAAAAGTATTAATAGTTGTTCGTGCACTTACCTTACCGTGGCTTACCGATAACGAGATGCTTTCCAACTTTATTAATCGTTAAACCGTTTATAATTACTTTTTTTCACTCTTAGCAACAAAGCCGTTCATTGTTTACTCAGTGTAATATTTTGTATTTATAATAAGTTAACTATTGTAATCTTTTGGAGGAAAACATAGAGTATTTATCTATATATAGTATAAGAGTATATGTATATAAGTTTGGAGAAAAAATGCCTCAGAATCGAACCCATTATGAAGTTATCACCTTTTACCACAACGTGGTATATAGATATAATAGATAGGTACAACATGCATGTCATGATAATTTTAAAATGTATTGCAATAAAATTTCAAGAAAACTATCTAACTACAAAATTTCTTAATTATAGATAGAAAACAGTTTTTTTTTTTACTTTATTTATTATGCTACATATATTTATACTTTAGTTAAATATATTTGTAAACCACAGCTATCTAAATATACATAAAAGTATAGAACACTGGTATTTTAATTTGGGATTATGTAAAATCTATACCTACAGGGTATCTAAACATTAATTGTCTACTTACATGTATTGTAAAAAATGTAACTTATACCGAATTCATCACAATTTCCATTTTTTTTTGCTAAAGTTACGCCAATATCATACTTAGTTACTAGTATAGATATATGTGCATTCGACGGTAGGACAAAATTTCATCATAAGAACCTCTATATACTAATTAATTGTACAATATATATACATATATAGGTAGGCATAGCAGTATTTTTTTAACACTCCTGTACCAACATATAACTAAGGAATGTATGCAAATACAAGACGAAATAGCCAGGATATAACAATTTCATGTTTTTTTTTTTTTATACAACGCTAGGAGCAGGTCTAATTATTAAAGTATTGATAAATTGGACAACGTTCACTAATAACATATTTTTTAGAATTTATTTCGATTAACAATATGTGGGTAAAAAATATACACAAATATTATGGATGCATTAGTTAAGGATCAAACTTGCCTCAGGAAGCAAACTTCAAATCTTAAAATTGTACTTCATACTAACATGACCATGGGCCATATAAAGAAGTCAAAAATATATTGTTATTGTTGAATTGAATTGTTTAATGAATTACTATAGAGTTTCTATATGGCATATTTAATATCCATTTACTTATATTTGCCTAATGATAAATATAAAGATTAGGTTAAAAAAAATTGTCTTTAACTGTGGCAAATCCAGTTATTTTAATTTAAAATCTACATTACCGAACCGATTTTGATAAAATTCCTATGGGACTAAACTGTAAGTATACCCTTTCAGATAAAACAAAATATAAACATCATTTTGGCACATATATCGGTTTTTGGTAATATGTACCCACATATGCTCAAAAACTTATTTCAGATAAAAATATATCTGTCCAAAGTTAACAAAGAATACATTTCAATGACAAACAAACCGGTTGCTAAATGAATATCAAGATGCGTAAATTAAATATAAATTACCTATAGATATCTGTTTCATTTCATACATTATAAATAATTATATATTATTTTCGTATATTACTTAATATTTAAATATAAGGTAACTGGAATTTGTTAGTGCCATTTCTTCTGTCTGCGCTTTGAATCTATGACACATGACAGTTTACGAGTCTCTCGCGCGTTTGTTGTTTGGTTGTCAATTTATTAATTATCTTTATTCGAGTAGCCGCCATCTTAATTTCTTTTTTGCATTTTAATGCCGAAATTAATAAATGAAACTAGCAATTTAATTATCATTTTTATTTCACAAACAAATAATTCCCAAATGGAACACCTTCACTATTCGCCATAATGCAGCATGAGTTTGGTCCCTACCTCGGCTTCAACAAATTCCAATTACCAATTCATATATGCACTAGTAAGTTCAAAGTATAAAATTATACAAGTCTACAACTATATTTACAAGAATGCCTTCACATGGAAGACTCATAGCGTTTTTTTTCATCCCCTTATGTAATAAATATATTTGACACATAAATAGGTACGAAACATTTTAATAATTAAATTTTCTCTTAAAATAATAAATGCGTCATTTGTGCTAAAAATAAAATGATTAAATAAGTTTTTTTATAGATTAAGTACTCTGTCAATTTGTGCAAGTAAACTATTAAGTAAAAAATAATTTATCTACAATTTGCTTATTTTAATTATGTACATACATTAGTATAAAAACAAAGGTAATTTTTCAAAAATAAAGTATCTACCTAATATAACAATAGACAATAATTAATAGAGGAAAATATGGTATTATATTTTATAGACGTACTTCTTCTTTTGTCTGGCAATCGGACGTTATTTTTACAACCATTTCTGTCAGCGTCATGTATAAGAGACTCGTAATTTCCCCAGAGCAGGTGAATTTTTAATAACAATAAATAATTGTTTCTCTCATATTATATAAATAAACACAGTTCCATATAATATAAAATCCGCGGGATTTTTTTTCTTTTAAATATATTGAGTACTGTTTATATAATTAGAACTACTGTAGTGAGCAATTGTCTTGGCTAAAGATTAATAAAATTGTTTTTGGCTTTATATTATTTAAAGATATCATATAAAGTAAAATTATAAGAACAGATTATACATAACATAGTAAAAAAAGTAATTTCGTTTCTTAATATTACTCCAGCGCCGAATTTAGGGTAGGGACGCCCAGACCATCAAGGCCAAGTCAAGAGGGCGCCACGCTTTATAAAATAATTATGGTCACAATTCTTTTATTAAAAGTGACAGAGAATGTATGGTATAGGAAATAAAGATTACGACTTTACAGAAACGCAATATTTCTGAACTTGTTAGATAATTAACATTATACTTATTTAGTTGATATATAACATCTAATGACTAAATTATAGTATTTGTCTACAACAGTATAAAACGTCTTATCAAAAAAAGTTCATTTAAAATTTCCTAGTCAATTCAGATCATTAGTGTCCTCTAGTGTCTTCTGTGTCACGGAGTGTACCTACTGGTACCTATCTTGACTCCCTATAATCACAATTTCTCCTTTGGAAGATCAGCCGCCTGTTAATGGATAAATATAATTTTAGCAAGTATTCAGGTAAGATAATCTTTCAAAACTTTCTTTTCTTGGCAAACAAGCTGACGCCCCACCTGATGAAAATTGGTAACTGTCGCCTATTGACATGTGCAGTACCATGGACATAACAGTGTGTACTCGTTTGCCCATGTACACGACATGTACAACGATTTTTGTAAAAAGTCTTTTTCTAGTATATGAAACATAAATTTTTTTAATCTTTGTGGTATTGCTTATATAGCAATCTGTTATCGGTAGGAAATTATGCAACGGTTACCAATTCCCTTTTTTGGAGGATTGTCAGTAATGAGGACTAACTGTCCGACTATTAGAAATACCCTCCCAGGGTATGGCAATAGGCAGGGCAGGTGGGGTTATCATTCCTATTTTAGCAAAAAACACTTCTCAAATTTAGGGGCGTTTGCTTGTATGAAAAAAATCATAAATCTTAGTTCACAATACTCTAGTGGTAGATATACGGCTCTCCAAAGGTGCACCAGATTGTAAAAAATTCTGTGCTTTACACATGCAATAACTCGAAGTGTTTTTATTCAAATCGTTACGACATTCAGCTGGAACGTGTTCTATACCATATTTACTTAGTAGCAGTTTCCTCTCTAGAAGACGGTTATCGATTGGCAGGGTAAGCTACAATTTTTTTCCAAATATACAGTGTCTTACCTATTTACATTCTAGTAGTAACGATCTCTCCATTTTCTTTGTGATCTTCTTGCTCTTTGACTTTTTTCTGGTCCTTTCTGGCTCGCAGGAAGGAGGCGGTGGTTACGGACCGGAAGCGGAAGGAGCCGGGCGTGCCGTTGGCGAGCGACGCGCCCGAGCCGCCGTTGGGCTGCTCCTGCATTTTTGGCGAGCGGTCTCTCTGCGGTCGCGTGCGGTATGAAAAGCTGGCGGCTTTTAATCTCGCTCCTGAAAGGTCAAGTGTCTCTAGGTTTTTTAGGTAGCCAAAATAACAACTTCAATCGGGTCATATATTTATGTGCTAGTCTTTATTAGTCTTAATAATAAGTCTTGGTCAGTCGCATGCACTTCTGTTTGTAATTAAAAATTAAATAGGCTTTCTAATTAAAACAGCATTATGAAGTTCTTGTTATATAAATTTTAAAAGCAGAAGGTTATAAATTTACCTGTATTTTTTGTGTGTAACATACATAACTAATTCACAAATTTTAAACTAATTCTTTTTGCAATCGATAGGAATTAAATTGGTGTATTTAAGATTATTTCGGGGCCTAGCTCCTTTAAAGAGATGCATTGTCATAGTTAAAAGTTCTGCTCGAATCCTGGGTTAGATATCAGATAATTCTGAAGTGAATGGAGACAATTCAAATTGTGTGGTTTTTGAAGTGACTTGTTTTTTATGTAGTGAATTCTACTTATTGCGTACCTATACCCAGCTTGGGTGGCGCAGCGACGACGGGGGCGGGTGTGGCGGCGGCACCGTGCGCGGCGTGCGCGGCGGTGGGCGTGTGCGGCGCGGAGAGGCTGGCGGCGGCGGCTGCCAGCGCGCGTGGCCGCCGCACTACCATGCTGCTCGCATGCGGCCGCATGCCCAACTCCACGTCCGCCTCGCTGTCGACACGTAGACGCTCCACACTTTATACTATTTTGTCTTACCACTACCAGCAGTTCGACGAATATGTTTGAACAGAGTGTTTAGTGCGAGATTTCGAATGTACTCTATCTCGACTATTAACAATCGTCAATTAATTGTCCAGATAAAGGACAGTAGTAATCATCGTCACCTACAGATTAAACAGCACCAGTATCTTCGAATCGAAACACAGCCGCTGCAAGTACAGCTGCTTCACAGCAGAAACACGGACGAGACAAAGGTACACACTCGTGTAAATCGTAAACACTCGTGATTGGTCGTTTGGAACATTAGATGAACTTTAATGATTACGTAATTTTTGAACAATGCGATCGAAAAATATATTGACTTACACTGAGAGTAATACGTCCTGAATTGTTATAATAAAACATCGCATTTCTCTTTGTACACTTTAATCTTATTATTTAGAGTTGGATAGGTGATCCAACCATACCACATATTTTTGAACCAGAATATTTTATCCTGGATTGTTGTTTCTAGCAATTGTTAAAACATCGCAGTAATGTTGGTATTTAATAAGAATTAATTTTGCGATTTTTTTTTTCTTAACAAGGAGGTCTTCTTAACTTTAAATGAAATTGATATATTTCTTTTTATGTATAGATAGTGTGTATAGCAGTAAATTTTCCTAACCAGATAAAATATAAATGAGATATTTATTAAGTCAAGCGCTTCCGTAATACGTATCTCCACTCATATTATTAATATGCATTACAAAAATGTTACCAAGTATCTAGTGTACAAAATGATATTGATTATTTATAATAGCTTTATTGACTGCTTATAATGCATGACCAAAGTGTGCATTTGGTACCACTAGTGATTTGTCTATTGTGTATTGTATAATGTAGTAAGTAATAGAAAATTAAATAAATATATAATTTATCCATATAAAATAACCTATCTGTTGGTAAATTCAATAGACAATATTTGCATGCCATTTTAATGTGGCAAAGCATAATGGACATCTTATAAACTTCACAAATGCAACATCTTATCTGTAATGTTTCTGGCAAATAAAAATTTAATTTAATTTCATTTCAATGTAAAATAGTGTGGGTACTGACCGTGCATGTCGCGTGCGCGCGCGCCGCAGGTCGGTGTGAGCGCGACGCCGGGGCGCGCCCGGGGCCGCGGCCGGCCCTGCCGCCGGCCCCACCGCGCCCGCGCGCCCCGCTGACACGCGAGTTAAATTAATTAGGAAAAGCACCGAATAATAATACGAAGGAGAGCGGATAATAATAACGTAAAAAGTTTAGATTAGACGAGTCGCAATAAGATTTATTTAGTATACTTCAATAATAACATGTTAAGCGTGTACAATTTAATGCACAAGATTAATTTTATCGGCATATTATACGAATTTTTTTTTTTTATACAACTAAGAATGGCAAACAAGCTGACGGCCCACCTGATGGAAAGTGGTAACCGTCGCCTATAGACATGAGCACTACCATGGACATAACAGAGTATACTGTTTCGCCCATGATACGCCCATGCGTTGCCATTCCAGAGGACTCAGGTGTTGTTCCTCTGTACCCAGTAAATTCACGCCATATCCCACCCTTCAAACCGAAACACAGCCATGCCAACACAACTGCTTCACGGTTGAAACACGAATTGGACAGAGGTATAAGCAATCGACTTTTGTATAAAGTCTCTCTCTGGTAAGTAAATCGCAAAACATTGACGTTTAAGTGAGGGCGACTCACGCAGCGCGGTGGAGTCGAGCGGGTGCGTGTAGATCCTCTTCCTGGCCTGCAGCATGGTGTAGACGATGGCGGCGAGCGAGCGCGGCGGCGCGGGTGGCGGGGCGGGCGCGGGGGCGGGGGCGACGGGCGCGGGCGCGGCGGCCGGGCCCGCCGCCGCCGGCGCGCGCGCCCCCCGCCACTCCCTCACCCACCACGTCTCCATGCGGCCCTTGCCCTTCACTTCCACGAGCCCCCGCGCCTCCAGCTTGTAGCCGCGCCCGTCCAGTAGCTACAGGTGAGCACTCATTAATAATTTACAACCGCAACGTAAAGACCAGTATATTACCAGTGGTCCTGGGGGAAAAGGATTGTTAGTAATGCAGACTGAGAATCCCATTGCTAGCAATATACCCAACCAGGTCGACCACCGCGTGATTCTCCCTGGAAACTATCATGGTTAATTCCTGATGAATTCATCATGATGGGCGAACTGGCCTGTTTTCATTCTCATCTATCACCCTTCACTGGTGCTCTGCCAGCGTATACCGTTAGCGCAGGCGGGGTTACCATACCATTTTCATCCATCAAAAAAAAAACCAGTGGTCCTTCGCTTCTAGCATGTTTAGACCACGACAATTCAAAGCACTATTTAAATATCTCCGTTGAACGATTTGTACGGATGAGTTTTTTAAACTATGATAAGTCGAAAATCGGTGCCCCCCTAAAGCCCTCGCTTATACCTCGTCAGCGTAAACCAATACTATAAGTATTTTTTTTACACATAGGGGCAAACGAGCCTGGGACTCACTTCGGGATAAGTAATTATCGCTGTTCACAGGTACCCGCAACATTAGTGAAATTGCAGGTGTGTTGCTGACCTTTTAAGAAGGAATGTGCTCATACCTTTTAATCTTTATTCCAAAACCTACCTGCTTGGTGTACTTGGTGACTTGCACGCGGTCCATCTGGCCCGTGGTCTCCATGCGCGATGCCTCGTTGACCGTGTTGCCCCAGATGTCGTACACTGGTTTACGGGCACCAATCACGCCGCCCACCAGTGGACCGCAGCTTATACCTGATGAAGTAACGCCTTTGGCATATAACGTGGAATAGTAAACAAGCTGACCTCTTTAGTAGGAAGTGGATACCACCATTATTAGGGGGGAAAGGGATTGTTAGTAATGGAGTTTGATAGCCCCATTGTTAGCAATTTGCTCTATTAGGTCGACCTCCGCATTGTTCCCCCTGGAAACCATCGTGAACAATTCTTATTGAATTCGTCACGATGGGCTAACTGACCTGCTTCATCCTCACCTGTCATTCTTCACTGGTGCCCCGCCGGTGTATACCGTTAGCGCGGGTGGGGTTACCATTCCATTCCATATCTAGACATGAACAGTGGTGATATCCCTTTTACCACTCAGGTGTTGTCATTATTCATTGTAGTATTTAAGAACATGTTTAGCATATTAGCTCCATAACTCGCTAAGCGAACCTTAAAAGTATAAGAAAAATAATAAATTTCATGGTAAGGAATAGTGGACTCATGCCGTGTAGTTTCGGCATAGAATGTCTCTCCCCCTTCCTTTCGCATGGGTAGCGTAAGAGGTGACTCTCGTCCCTCTTAAAACACCACCGAAGCTTAACTGCGGTTGCCAACTCGCCTGACAAACGTGGCAATTACTAGAAAGCCCCAAAAAGGGAGGTCTATGTTCAACAGTAGAGAGTAAACGGCTGATATAGTATGAGCAGTGGACTCACCGACTCGAAGCCGGAACTTGTTGAAGCTGTGCTTGTTGATGTCGTCGAGAGCGTCTCGTATCGCGAACGCATAGTCGACTAATGCACATAGGTGCTCGCAGTCATCGTCGCCACTCTGCAACATTTTTTGTGAAATTTATACATTTAAATCGTCATCATCAACTGTCTGCCTTATCTTAATTATTTATTTGGAACTGGCGCAATACGTTTTGCTCTTCTATTCATCTCTATTCATAATCATTTCCATATTCGCGCCCATTCTGGCCATATCGTCATAGTTGTAGAATACTGCCGAATCTGACAAAAATTACATATATAGATCCGTCATTATTCTACGACTATGACGATATCATCTTTCGCACAGAGCGTGCGAAAGATGATATCGTCATCCATGTCTGTTTCCAGGTCTTTTATCTAGATTTATAACTCATACTTTTCTTAAACATGTTATACTAGCTTTAACCCGCGACTTCGTCTGCGTGACAGGAGCTTATAACCATCACTATCGCATATAGTACGTGTATACCATATTTCATAGTGATTGGTTAAGCCGTTAAAGCACTATGAGGTAAAAAACTCAATTTCACATTTGTAATATTAGTAAGGATTGATATCCTGATAAAGTAGACGATTTACAAGAGAGACATTTTTTACAAAACTCGTTTGCATAGGTACCTCTGTTCCACTCGTGTTCCTGCTGCCGAGTAGTTATGTTTGCATGGTTGTTTCTATCTTAAGGATGGAATATAAATTTATTAAAATTTTCAAGCACAGGATTTTGCTTTACGAAAATTATCTGACTCTACTATCTCTACTATACATTCTTTCTAAAAACCAAACTTAAAGTGCGAGGTATTGTAACTATTTGTATATTTGAGTATATAATCATAAAATTCAGCATGCCTTTGTGAAGAGCAGAAGCAAAATAAGACCAGAAACTATGTTAAACATTTAAATGTAAATTAAATTAAAGATATAATTTTTTATTACCTTATGTTTTGGATCGAGTCCGGAAGCAGCCATGTAAGTCGCGCCGATAGTTTTGATCTTCTCAATGCTCTTGAAGCGAGGCTGCATCAACAGCTTGTCGAAATCAACTGAAAACAAATGATAATCATCAACAGATTTGATCAAGCTATAGTAACATCAATTTAGTAAGTTAGATAAATCATCATTATCATCGTGTCAGTCGTCAACTGTCCACTGTTAAACACAGGCCTTCATCGTAATTGCATGAGGAAGGCCTATGTCCAGCAGTGGACAGCTAATTAAGTTAGTTTATACAGTAATACAGGACTAAATCAGCTTTCCTAAACAATTCACAAATGAATCTATTGATATGTTTTCGCTACCACAGGCATCAGATTGAACCTGACATCAACGTCCAGCATCGTGTTCTCTCTCAACCTCATCCCGAATATTATCACTTGTCTGCATTGAATGTTGGACAATATGCTTATCAGATTTTATTTCGGTAATGCTACAGCGCTCAAGTCATTTCGTACGTAATTCATTATGCGTGGGTAAATCCTATCCCAAGTGTTTCTGTCGCCAATCAGCTATCTTTGTATTGGTGTGTTTTGGTTTAAAGGTGCGAGCGAAATTACAAATTATGCAGGCATTAACGTATTTAAGATTATTTCCCAATAGGGGTTTGATACTCTTAGACATCTTTTTACAAAGCTTCGCTCGTAACCTGGGCTGGGCACTAGACGATTCTGGGATAGGCATAGTCTATCCAGCCCATCTTAGTTTTCGAAAATGGCAACACATAAGATGTACCCTAAGCATCACAATGAATTATATGGTAGTTACTAGTTTCCATCAAGTGATTAACTTGATCAGCTTGTTTGCTGTTCTAAGTTACATAAAAATTAAACTGTAATAGATTAGCCGCATGACATACGAGCCTCGTCACCGCGTGCATACTCCGCGGTTCTTATATAGTGCAGTATAAGTATTAGAACATTCTTTGATTTTTAAATTTGCACTTGTCGCCGGCGCGGCTCGTGTGTTAAGAGCCTAAAAGTGTGGTGTCGGTTGGTACATTACAAATGATTTCGTTTAGCAGCCGCATGCAGTCAACCGCCTTCTGCTCCGAGTAGAACTCGTGGAAGTTCGGTATACCGGCGAACATCACGCCCACCTCGTCCCGCCACTGGGAATACAGCTCCTATGGATATATACAAATAAGGACTAATATCCAATTAAGTAGAAATGAAAGATGTACTGGACACTTTTTGTTTAGCTTTAAGTGGTAACTACTCATGCGCTATTGTTTTAAGCTATCTGGCTACCATTAACTGAAGTTGTTCTAGTCTCTTCTTTATTCCTATAAAGAAGCGACAAGAACGGAACGGAACTTAAATATTGGTTTTGGTATGCCAGTAGGAATCCATAATCCAATAAAAAGGAAGGTTATCGATTTGACTCTATCAACCAGAGAAACACTTTATGCAAAAATTTTTGCTGTTTCGGTTTGAAGAAATATGGCAGTGAAATTACAGAATATAGAGACATAACACCTTAATCCTCAGGCATGGTAACCAATAAAATATACTATATAATATAATAAACTATACTGCGATACTACTATTAACATATCAGCCTTTAACTGTCTACTGATGAACACAAAACTTCCCCCCTAGGGGGGATTTGCCAGTAGTTGCCATGCTTGGCAGGCGGGTTGGTAACCACAGTTACGCTTTGGAGATGTTTTAAGAGGGACGCTGCTGCCCACCCTCGCTCTTCCTTAGTCGCCTCTTGTGACACCCACGGGAAAGAATAGGGTGGCCTATTTATTTATTTATAAATGCTTATTATATGCCAGGATCATATCGTCATAGTCGTAGAATACACACGGATCTGACAAATATTACATATATATATATATATATATATACGTCAGTATTCTACGACTATGACGGTATGGCAATACGATACTACTATCTAGTGTAAAAATTGGTAAAGTTGTAAATTATGGGTAAGTAAACCTCGCATGCTGAATGCCTGGTGTATTCATCACGATGGGCTAACTGACCTGTCTTTCCATCTTCACCTATCATCCCTCACTGGAGTCCGCTAGCGTATATCGTTAGCGCAGGCAGGGCTACTATTTCATTATCATCCATTAATAAAAAAAACCTTCCTAATAATGAAACAATATAGCACAACTTACGTCAGGACACCTATCTTTGCTCAGAAAATGGTTGACCACGTGGTCGGGCAGTATGTGCGTAAGCAGGTGCCGGTTGGTCCGTTGCGTGTCCTCCATCTCGTCGAGGTCGGTCTCCGCCTGCAGCTTCCATAGGAAGTCGAGACGGGAGGTGACCTCGATTAGCCGCGCGTGGTATACCACCACCACCAGGAACATCATCATCAGGATCAGCATTTGCACGTAGTATTTTAATCTGTGGCGGAAGAGCAAAACCTTGTTAAGTAGGTGTAATAGTAACACTAAGGTGCTTTCAATGCAATGTAAAGGCGATGAAAAGAGACATCTAAGAGACGCACCTCTATCTGACTCGGTTTTCTAGCATTTACGCATAACTGCAAAAGCAGTTGTACTAGCATGGCTGTGTTTCAACTGAAAAGGTGTATGTATGACAGTGAAATTACTAGATATGAAAGCATGGACAGTTACGTAAGGCAGAAGGAACAATCAGCTCTTTAATATGCATGAATAAATGAAAGAGGAATAACACCTGAGTCCTCAGGAATGGCAATGCATGGGGGTTATCATGGGCGAAACAGTATACTCTGTTATGTCCATGGTACTGCTCATGTCTGTAGGCGACGGTTACCACTTTCCATCAGGCGAGCCGTCAGCTTGTTTACCATTCTAAGTTGTATAAAAAAAGGCATAATATCTCAGTTCTCAGGAAAGACAACGCGTGAGGGGTACCATCAGCGTCACCGTACCTTTTAAAATGTCCTTGACGATTTTTATGTCATATACGCGGTAGCTATCACATTTCAGATAGGCCGTCAGCTTATTAATTATTTCATGTTAAAAAAACAAAAACAGGAATGAAGGATACACACTCTGAACCACTGTTGGTGCTGTAATTGAAGTCGTAGTACATGAGCAGCAGGACCGTGTACATAGCGACATTGGCGATCGCCAGGCAGGTCTTGATGAGGTAGTAGAGCTTGAGTATGGAGGTGAGTGCCACCAGGCACAGCACCCACGTGAGGACCACGTACTCCGGCCGGTGGCACTCGCCCGTGGCGGTACAGGTGGTCGAGAGCAGTTGAGTAACGTTTGTTTGTGAGCAGTTCGGTTGCGTTGCGTTCTGATTGAACGACCACGGACACACGTAGAGTTTTGTGGTGCTAGAATAAAATATTTCATTATATCCTTCATATTAGTGAATTAAATAAAAAAAATTAAAATGAATTGACGATGTTCAGTTTATTTTCTATCTTATGTTTTAAAATCTTTGGGAACTATATACTGAACACGTGATTACACTACACACTGCTACGTGATTCCTTGAGAAAAACACTGTTACCTATTGTATTACGTTCTTATATACTACATTTGTAAGATTTAGAAAATATAGAAGATACAATTATAACTACATCAACCGGAGTTGTTATTTATGCCGCATCTAACAATAACATTGTTTAAATCATGAAGATCGTATAAAGAGCAGTAGAGAGAATTATGCTCGGACTTTTTCTGAAGATCATAATCCAAAACGAAGAAATTTGACTCAGAACTAAAATGATTGAGATAGATTTCGAAGCTTGATAGCAAATGTGGCAGTAGCGATGGTAGATGGGGAAGTATGTTTTGAAGGAATAATAGAAGGTGTCCACTTTCTCATGTACTGATCAAAGAAAATATTGGAATTGCACGAGCTACATATCTAACAGTAGGTTGAGGTAATGATAATGACAATTTGTAAACATGATTTTATAATTATGATATTGTAAACTATTTAGCAAAAGGTCAGTGGATATAGAGGTGGATGGTTCAGGATCGTTATTTCCAAGTATTTTATTCAGTTCTTTGGAATATTTTGAAGGGATTCTATTGTCTTATAATGTAAAACGAAGATGGTGATGATTACAAACCTGGATATAGACATTATAGTGACGAAGCAGCAGATATGTATATCTCGTCGCACTCTGCTGTTGCTGAGACGAGAGGACACAACCTTCAAGTGTGTGAACACGGTGGGGAACTCTTCGGCCATGACCATCACGAATGACATCATCAGCGGAATTGTCATTACAGCCAGCAGCACCATCAGTGTCGTGCAGCTATGTAATGCAATGACATGCAATTAATAAGTAATTTCCAGACTTCTAGATTAAGTTTGTTATTTTCTTTTTTCTCTTCCTTTTTCTTTTTGAGTTTTATTACATACATCGGTAATTAAATAGACGTCAGATTGTTTCGTTTAGCAATGCATAAAACTCGTGTTTTCGAATAAGTACAGTAAATTGGATAATATTTATATCACCTATATTTTCCATTAAAGAAAAAAATATATATTTATTTATTTAATTCTGTTTGACGGAATACAACAAAAATCTACTTCAAAGCTTAATATAAAAAAAATCTAATTATAACCTTTAATAGTAACAGTCATCTATGGACATGAACAGCATCATAAATATCATAGAAAACTGTGACAAATCATGCATTACAGCTTCTGAAGTTATGAGGATTAAGTTGTTTTATTTCCATACATAAAAAAAAAAATATTGCCATATTCCACTTTTTAAATTGAAAGAGATTTGCTGCCTGTATACAAAACAGAAGGATGAAAACGATTTTACAAAATCTCTATACATTGAGCTATTCCAAAGTGTTCTTTTAAAAATTTTACTCCTTTGAAAATGTTAATAAAATAATAAACCAACTGGTAGTGCATGACGGTCTGCGTTGCGACGATGAAGAGCCAGAGCACGAGGCAGCACATGACGGTGGACTTGAAGGTGGCGGTGTCGAGCTGCGCGAAGCGGCGTTCGAGTGAACCGCGCCGGAAGTGCAGCGACCATGGCCGCATGTTGTCCACGCGCATGCGCCGGTTGCTGCTCACCTCGATTTCGTCTATTATGTCCTCGTCCTGTCACGGTCTTCTCATTATATACTAGTATTGGGATATTTAAAACTAGCTTTTATCCGTGGCTTCGTCCGCGTGACCAGAACATGATCACGGACTCGGATAAAATGTAACTTTTCTTTTTGTTCTTATATAGTTCGTGTATATCAAATTTCAAATGAATTTGTTAAACTGTTAAAATGTTCAAAGGTAATTGAGGTTTTTCCTAAAAACTACAGTATGGGGTTCTTCAAAAAGGGTATATTAAAGTTTCTTTATATTTGGTAACGCACACGTGTTGTTGTAACGAACACTGGTGTTGCAGGAGTTCATAGGCTACAGTGACCGTTTATTATCAGCTATGTTGTATCCCTGTTTGCCATCATTGTGGTATAAAAAAAAAAAAAACAAACTTTAAGATTAAGATATAATATTAGTAAGGATCAATTTTCAGAAAGTATTTTTTTATTACAATTTTGGGTAAATACTTTTTCGGTTGCAAAATGACTTTCACATTACAATGAAAAAGAAAAAAGTATCAGAATGAGCTGCCACCACTACAATCCTGCAGTATCTGAATAAAAAGTCTACAATTTTCTACTTTTTACTCTGACAGAGTAGAATAGTGATTTATTGCTAATAAACTTTATGTACTTTATAAGCTGTTTTAAATTATAATTTTTTATGATTCGACTACTGAGTTCATTTGCAGTTATCTACTAAGAAGAATCCGCAAGAAACTCAACAGTTACTCGTTTCAAATTTTTATTCTATTTATATAGTTTTCGACGTTTAATTTTTTTATTCTATCTATCTTGTAATGGACTTGAATAGACCTGAAATAACCTATGTATTGGTTGTTTTTTAAACAAGATAGTTACGTACGTGTGCGTGGGCGAGTCGAGGTTCGTCGGAGTCGTGCGAGGTGCCGCGCGGCCGCCGGCACCGCACCACGCCGGCCGCGCTCGACGAGAAGTACTGCCACACAACGCAGTACGAATTTGTTAATTAATTAAAGATTGCGTTTCATAATACTCGCATTTAGTTGTGGCAAAACAAGTTATTTAGTTTTCAAAACTGAAGTAGTGAACCGATTTTGATAAAATTTCTATGGGACCGTTCTGAAAGTGTACTCTTTCAGATAAAAAAGAAATTTTCAAATCGGTTTAGCAGAGTTACCTCATAAGGTAATAAACGTAAAAAAAATACAACGGTTGGTGATTTGACTACATAATTTGATTATACATTGGTGGCCCTTGGTTCGTTTCACAGTTGGATCAATTTAGGATACGAACTTTTCTAAATTGGCTCAAGTCTTCTGACGATGGTGTTCAGGGAGGACCTCGTGGAGGTCGACCTGAAAGGCTACATTGTTAGCAATGGGGACCTTAGTCTCCGTACCTAACAACGCTTCGTTTATGCACCATATATTAGGCTTTAGCTGGACGACTAAACGATTAAAGTGTGTAGTATTTATTGAATAATATTAGTCAGAATTTATTTTTACATATCTACTCGTACATATTATTTTCACATATATATGTAGATATAAATTATATGTTATTATAAAATAAAATTAATATTCCAATACTTAGTGATTAGTAAAAGAGGTAAAGTATATTCTACGTCACGTCGTAAATCAAATAAATGGTCATAATTTTCAACATTTCAGCCGTTAACTGTCCACTGATGAATATAAGCCTTCCCCATAAGGAGAGTTTTGCCAGTAATTACCACGTTTGGCAAGCGGGTTGGCAACCGCAATTAGGCTTTTAGAGATGTTTGAAGAGGGACGCTGTTGCCTATTCCTTTAACATTAAGTTCCCTTAGTCGCTCCCTACAACACCTACAAGAAAGGAAGGGGTGGCCTATTCTATGCTGGGACTACAGGGCTTGATTTCAATTAAATGGTTCAATGTTTTAAATCAATATTTAACCCTTAAAATCCTGATTTTGTAAATCAAATAAAAAAATATATAAGTGTACCCTTTACTGTGTTGACTAATGGGGAAAAATAGTAAAAAAATCAAAACGATATTTTTATATATTTATTTAAAAAAAAAACATTTGGTAACATGTAAACAGCCAAATATTAAAATAAAATCGATTGTAGGCGCCTAATGCGATTTATAACCCCGGTATCAAATTTGAAACTTCAGGTATTTAAGGGTTAATAAATCTATTGTAATCTTTTCGAGGAAACAATAAAGAGTATCTATCTATTTATTACACCTTATACGACTTTGCTTTTTTTGCGAATGTTTTATCACACGGATATCCAAAGATAAATTATGAACGGTGGTACGAGTAGATACTGCACGTTTTGTCGTTTTACGTGACGTTTCCTGTCACGAAACCTAAAATTATGGATCTAACCTCTCGCAGATGCTTTGCCGCCAAATTCAAGATGGGGACTTGTAAGAATAGAGCCTATATTTTTAAAAAAATATATATATATATATATATATATATATATATATATATATATTTAGAAAGGATACAATAAAAATTATATATATATATATATAATTTTTATAGTATCCTTTCTAAAAGATCCTCAAAACAATTGGCAACTTAATTTTTAATGTACAAATATGTATAATATTAGTGCATACGAATTTAACACCTCAAAGAAGGGTGAACATAGGTTTATTATTAAGGTGAGTCACAAGACCACCATAGATTTAGTATAATATATAAACTTAGTCCGTTACCGATTCATCATAATCTGGAATTGATAATCAATAATTTTTTTTTATATAACAACTTTTGTTCCCGAAGAGAGTTGAGGTCAGGCAAGCAGCCGGTCGTAAAACTATAAGCCAAATTTTTTTGTAATATGGATAAAACCATATTACGCCGACCCCAAATAGTAATTGTGATAAGGGTAGGATGATGATGATGATGATAATGATGATAACAACTTTTGTTCTTACAAATTTTGTATGCTGATTAACAAAGAGATAATTTACAACCAAACAACAACAAAAGATATTTTTTATGGTTTATATAGACCACAGGAATTAACGCGACTATTTAGATAAAATATGTCTCTTATAAACCATAATAATAATAATTTATTTACTGAAAAACACGGTATATAAATGCTAGTAATAATATGTTATGAGCATGCGTGTTTTGCCAAATCAGTGGCATGTAAAATTTTAATATTTACAGTAAAAAATTACCGTGTAATGTGAAAATTTAAAAAATATTAAAGATCTTTTTAATTAGTAAATGGATGAAAGTGGAATGGTAATCTCGCCTGTTCTATTGATTTAAACTGGGGGTTCATGTAATGTTATGTTACATGTTCATGTAACATGATATGGGAACCATCTTTAATTTTTAGCTACTTAATAAAATGTAGTATGATGGATATTAAAAAGAAAAATTAATTAAAATGAGCGCTTCATTTTGTCAACAAACTACTTTGCAGTTTTTTTAATGGGTAAAAATGAAATAGCAACTCTGCCTGCGCTATCGGTATACACTGGCGGGACAACAGGTAGATTATATATATGTATATGAAGCAGGTCATTTGGCCCCTCGTGATGAATTTAACAATAATGATGGTTCATGATACTACGATGGTTTCCAGATGGAACTGCCTGGAGGTCGATCTAATAGGGCAGCGATTTCTAAACTGGCTTCCGCGAAACCTAGGGGTTCCGTAAAAAAGTCACCGGGGTTTCGCGAATTAGGTATATTTATACAGCGAAACAATTTCATTCTTCACACTAAAAGTTAAAATTGTAAAGTGTTATACCTTTAAAATATTTCTAATAAAAGCTTTTGTTTTTATTTAAATTACAGTTTTTGATTGTAAATTTCTGATATGGGGTTCCTTAAAATAAAAGATACTTGGTGGACGTTCCGGTATCTTAAAAGTTTAGGAACACCTGTAATAGGATATATTGCTAGCAATGGGGCTGTTAGACCCCATTAACAGAATCCTATTCCCTCACTGCTTCGCAGTTTGTACAGTACTATTTTCATGTGTTATTATAATTAAACTTCTGTCTATATTTGTAATTAAGTTAGGTACATAAATAAATTAATTAAAAAAAAATATATATACAGCCATGATATTATACCTTAAAAGCATTAAATAAGTACTCACTTACTACATTTACTATAATTGTGATCCAGCAAGTAACGGATCCGTCGTGTGGTCCCGGCATAGAATAGGCCACCCCTTCCTTTCCCGTGGGTGTCGTAAGAGTCGACTAAGGGAGGGCGAACGATAGGCAGCAGCGTCCCTCTTAAAACATCTCTAAAAGCCTAACTGCGGTTGCCAACCCGCTTGTCAAGCGTGGCAACTACTGGCAAAACTCCCCTTATGGGAAAGGTTTATGTTCAGCAGTGGACAGTTAACGGCTGAAATAATATTAAAAAAAAAATAATAGTAACGGATAAGTACTAAATGTTCTAGCTTACTCACGTTCTGGAAGGGCATCTCTGGAGTCCAGTCCGTGGTCATCTCGTCATCGATGCTGCTGCTAGGTCTACGTGAGACCACCTCCCATTGCTGCTGTTGAGGACTGAGATAATGTATGATCAATTATTTTTTTGTTTTATTGTCTATATGAATTAGGTGAAATTGAGTAAAAAAAGTATACCTTTTAAAGGATTATTCTATCAGTAAAATTAAAAATACTACAACATAGTTCATAGGAATGTCAATATATAAGATACTAGCGACCCGTTCCGGCATCGCACGGGTGGACATTTTTACAACATTTTAAAAAGTGGTTCGTGTGACATAACAATAATAGTTGGACATATAGTATCGCGAAGTTTTTTGTAGTAATTGATATTTTCTTCAATATTGTAGAACATACTTTTGTATGTTCAAGTATTTAAATATGTATTTTTGTATGTTGTATGTTTTGTCAAGCTATAACACTACTTGCATAATATGAAAAAATACATATATATATTATTATCAATTACTGAAATAAATTATTAAATTGATATTATAAAATTATTTTTAAATTAAGAAAACAATTATTAAACTATTTATAATAATTTATATATTTATAATAATAAATTTTTAAATAAATTATTATTATGAGTGTTGCTCACCAAGGTTTGGACTTGTGCCTGGTCCGGCGCGGTTGCTCCGTGGTCCTGATGAGGTACGTGGTAAGCTCCTGCTCCTTGAGGTACGGGTTCCGGCTGCCACCGTCTCCTGGTTCCACCTCGAACGCGCCGTTTAGGCATTCCAGTGTCGCAGATGATATGTGTACGCGGCTAGAATAATACAGGATTTATAAACAACACAAATGAATTTAAATAAGAAATAAACAATTTTAAGTTCTATTAAATAGGTTGAAAATTGAATGATAACCTTGCCGTATTATATACTAATATATACTAATAGTGCAGGTACCAATAAATCATGGTATGTGAGGATGAAGCTCGATTATTTGACCCATCATTACAACTTCACTAGGAACCATAACCACGTTAATTTCCAACGCCCCTACATTCCATTTTCGCTTCCAATCCCCCCTCTTCTGCCCTTTTCCAGTCTTCCAATAGGTAGATGTGCAATATCATAAAGATACCAATTGTTACTGGCAGCTTGGCCAACCGACCTTTTATACATATTTGTATTTTTATATTATTCTTTTTCGTATTCATCAAAATTCAAAAAACATGTATTAAATACATGTTTTTTGACATCTCTTTTTTCATTACTTCAAATACAGTTTAGGTACGTGTCATTTATTATTTCAGCCGTTAACTTTCCACTGTTGAACATAAGCCTTCCCCATAAGGGGAGTTTTGCCAGTAGTTGCCACGCTTGGCAAGCGGGTTGGCAATCGTAGTTCGGTTTTTAAAGATGTTTTAAGAGAGACGCTGCTGCCCATCCCTCGCCCTTTCTTAGTCGCCTCTTACAACATCCACGGGAAAGGAAGGGGTGGCCCATTCTATGTCGGAACATACACGGCGGCCATACTTGATGTTACTTACGTGACAAACTATATTATTATTAGTTCAGTCACACCAAAATTGGAAAGGTTAAAAACATTCGTACTAGATGCAAGGCGAGTATACTAACCCCGGGAGGCCAGCGCTCTCCATGTGGTTGGCAAGGGTGACGTCATGCGACCAGAGGTCGAACTGCCACTTGAGCAGCCCCAGCACGCCGCACAGCACCGTGCCGCTGTGGATGCCGATGCGCATGTCCAGATCCACCTGCATGCACCACACGCAAATGAGCCTTACAATACTCAAAGAACAAACACAAAATGATTTGAAACAGATCATTGTAAAAACATGTATGGGGTGCTTAATGCTGACCAACAACTTATAGTTCAAAACAACACTTTTTAAAAATAAGCATACACATACACACAAACACAGGCTTTTTTAAAACCTACTGCAGGCATCTATTTCTCACAAAACTGGTCTCACATATTTAACCTCTAGCTGTTATTTATACTAGCTTTCGTGAAGAGAAAATAAAACATTCATACAATTAAACTTTCATAATGTAGATATGATAATATTATCATCAATCGATCAACTAAGTCCAAATTGAGTGGGGAGACTATAAAATCTCATATTCCCTAAGATCTTGCGTCTGGACGTCATGCATCACGTGCATCTCCGGGTTGGGACGAATACGTTAACATTTTTAAATTGCACGTTGAATCGCATATTGCATGTGACACGTATTATATGAACCTGTAATGATCGTACAGTATGTTATGTACTTCTGCACTGCATACGGCACGTATCATGTGGATCCACATTGACTGTACAGTACGTTTTTTTTTTAATGGATGATAATGGAATGGCCACCCCACCCGCGCTATCGGTATACATCGGCGGGGCACCAGTGAAAGATGATAGGTGAGAATGAAGCAGATCAGTTAGTCCATCGTGACGAATTCAACTAAAATTGTTCACGATAGTTTCCAGGGGGAACCATGTGGAGGTCGACCTAATAGGGCATATTGCTAGCAATAGAGCTGTCAAACTCCATTGCTAACAATACTCTTCCTCCCTGTACAGTATGCTATGCACTTGCATTACATAAGGCACGTATTATGTGGATCCACATTGAGTCTACAGTATGTTATGTACTTCTGCACTACATATGTACCATGTGGATCTACATTGAACGTACAGTATGCTATGTATTTACATTGCATATGGCGCTTATTATGTGAACCCACATTGACCTCAACATTACTTACGGTGCATATCATGTGACGTCACATTCTAAGTAAACCTGGAGTAGACTATGCTACGTACCTGTGCGTTGTATCGTACGTCGCGTATGGCGCGTATCATGTGAAGACCCATATTGACAGTGCAGTGTGCGTGGTCTTCGCGCCGCTCCGGTAGACCGCTCACGCAGAAGTAACAGTCGCCCAGTAGCTTGATCCGCAGGCAATGGTTGTCCTGGCGTCAAGTTATATTTTAATAGTTTAATTAATTATAGTAAAATGCCACACAATCACATCAATTGCCTAATTATATATCCTATGTTATGAAGAATCAGATAACGAATACTTGGGGGTACAATCCAAAATACCAAGACAGATCGATAGAATTTCGTCTCTTCTCTTAGACAGCACGCGGTTTATCTAGTTATTATAGAAGTCTAGCCTTTCCTCAGTACCCGTGTCCTTCCACGCTCTCATTGATCATTATTAAATTTCATCATCATCATACCGTCATCAACTTTATAATGAAGACTTCTTAAATGTATTGAATTTCGTAGTCTTAGATAGAAGTCTTCATAGAAGTCCAAATACAAATTCTTGACTACACTTATCGGCTTTTTTCGTAATAATTAATAATGATCAGAGATCAATGTCTAATAAAAAAGATCATAGAGCCTCTACTAATCTAATTGTAATCAGTCACCAGTATCAAATGTTGGTAGTCGCACGTATACTAATGGATTATTCTAATCAATTAATCTATACTTAAACGATAAAATAATTAGGAAAGGAGTACACGAAGCCAACAACAGAGCCTCACCGATGCCAACCTGTCGAAACGGGCGAACAGTTCGTTCAGAAGCTTCACGAGTTCCTGCGCGCTGCACTTGCTCGACAGCTCTGTTGACAGAAAAATAAGTAATGCTAATGGTGTTCTTATAAAAACTATTGAATCAATAGTAATTCGGGTATCATCCAGTATGATCGTAACCTTAAAATGGATGTAGGAGGATTTATTTTTGTTTTAGGTGATTCATGACATTACCATGACGTTAGGGGAATGATTTTGGTTAAATATTGTTTTTATACCATTGAGGTGGCAAACAAGCATACGACCCAATTGATTGTAAGCGGTTACCGTAGCCTATAAACGTCTGCAATACCAGGGCATTACGCGCACGTTACCGACCCTGAAGAAACCTCTTTACCTCTTTTTTGAAGAACCCCATGCTGTATCTTATTGAAAAACCTAGACAGAAGGAATTTTTTCGAAATGCGTGATTACGGGTTAAACGCGGGGAGAGGTTTATTGTTTATCTCCTAAAAACTTTAAAACTTTAGCATTAGAAATTCTTGAAAAATTTTGTAATCTTGAAATTATACATTACGTTGAACTTTAAATCGCTTTGAAAGTTCACCTTTGCTAAAAAGTTCCTAAATTTGCTTATATAAGTTACCTTAGTGTAAATAAAATGTATAGGTGTAATATACCTGTAAATCCTTTGATATCAGCATATAGTATTGATACGTCCTCATGCCGTTGTATGTAGAGGTTATTGAACTGCTGTTCTTGGAACTCGCCCTTCACCCGCGACACGTGGCTATAGATCTCGCGCGCTAAGAAGTCCGGTATCACTACAAACAAAGTAATATGTGATAAATTAACTCATTTTCCATAAGATGCTTAACACAGGTTTCATGTAGTACAGTATTTTGTCAATTGCATATTATCGTGCCTCGTGGTATACCTAAGAGTATAGATGTTCGGTTAACTTTTAAAGATGTCTAGGTTGGTTTGGATCCGAAAATTAAAGGTATAATATTGGATATAAGACGGTTTTAAGTTTTGGATTGGAATTTGAGTATGGTGGTGCGGCGCGTGTGTCAAGCACCTAAGAGTGTATATAAGCGTTCGGTTAGCTCTCAAAGGGGTGATGTTCAGGTTGGTTTGGCCCCAAAAGTTAAGGGCATAATATTGAATATATGACGGTTTTAAGTTTTGGATTGGAATTTGGAAATAGTGATGCGGTGGGTCAAGCACCTAAGAGAGTAAATAAGCGTCTGGTTAACTCTCAGAGGGGCGATGTCCAGGTTGGTTTGGATCCAAAAAATAATGGCTTAATGATGGATATAGGACGGTTTTAAGTATTGGATTGGTATTTGGAAATGGTGGTGCTGTGTGTCAAGCACTTAAAAGTGTATATAAGCGTGCGGTTAGCTCTCAAAGAGGTGATGTCCAAGTTAGTTTGGAACCAAAAATTAAGGGCTTAACATTGGATATAGGACGGTTATAAATTTTGGATTGCGTGCGTAATGACACTCTTTTGCGAAGAGAAAAAGAAAGGTAAATCTATATATAATTTTTTATTACTATAGTAAGAAGTCGAATAACTAGTTTTTCTTTGAAAGTTATTTAGATATATACATTCTGGCTTGGGTTTCGTATTGTTTTTCTTAGTTATCTAAGTTTCCAGACTTTAAATTACATGTGATACTAGAATAAAACATTAGGACAATGATTACGTTCCAAACCGCGCTGTAGATGGCTTAACTTGTTATCTTCTCTCTCTCTCTCTCTCTCTCTCTCTCTCTAATACAAGTACAAATAATAATGCATTGACCGTATACCTTTTTTCTTTTAATCTAGTAGATGAATACCTATTCTTTATTAGAATTGTATATGTGTATATTTTGCTCAATATTGATAAGACCTTTAGATTCCACATTGTGGACAATAGCTACCTATTAATTTCTACCAATTTACCTAAAGATTTACTACTATATAGGGTTAAACTCGTTTATTGTAGTCGTTTCTCCACGTTAAAACTTTACTGTACCTCGTTCAGTGTAAAATAATGTATGTGTAAATAGATAAGCAAGTTACCACGTATACTATATAGTATACTATATAGACTCAGACCTTAGTCAACTACTCATCGAAACGTACCAAGCGAACCCAACTTGCATTATTTTATTACAAAGTTTCTGGGAGACAGGCGCGAGAGATATGCATGTATGTGTTTGCATGACCCCTTTTCATCGTCACAATTAGATCAGAACAGTGCCTCAACAATATGTTCGGTCAAACAGCAGGGAGTGAAAGATTACGCTCAGCAAAAAAAACATATTGAATTCATTAGTGATTAATCTTAAGTGGACTACACGTGAGAACTCTATCGACTGTGAGAAATCGAAATTCAAACGAATTGAGAAGGTTCCTAAAAAAGGATGTCCTCTTTTTGACTTACCGCTTTGAAATAATTTCCATTGCCTGTCGCTTTCCCTTTTTGTTTTCTGCCTGGTTACCATAGAGCGATGGGTTTCTAGGAACGCCTTCCTCTGTCCCCAATCAGCCAGGTATTTTGCATACATGCCAGCAAAGTTCACAGCTGTGTACAATAACGTGTTGCCGACTAACATCCGCGTGCAGCAGGAGCGGGCCTAGACAGAACATCTAAATCTTTAATACGATAAAATGATCTTTTAATGATTTAACTATCGACTCTAAAAGACCTATGAAACTATGAAATAAACATAAAATGTCTATTAAATGTCTATTATTTTAAAGAACTTTACAGCAAATGATATGAGTGTAAATTTCAGGTCGTTCAAAGTAAACTGGTTTTTCACTAATCACAGTGAAAAACAGTGAGTTTTGCAGGTTGTTTGGAAATAAACGAGTACATATTTATTTACAGAGTGAGAAAGGACTGGAAAACTCAAATTAAAATCCAAAATGAATTGACCAGCAGTGGGATGTTAGATGTCTGGTTATGGTGATGATGATACCACTTACTTGAGGATAATTATCCATGAGTTCCTTAATGCTGGTGGGTGTTGTGAGGATATGAGCTAGAGACGATAATACCCCCACAACAATGCACCAGCCGAGTGAGAGCGGCAGCATCGCGTAGGGTACGAAGATGATGAACAGCATGTACCATACTTGGTTCTCTGGCGCTTGGAAGCCTATGCCTTGACCACTCAAGCCTAGAAGACATATACGTTACTAATAATATAATCGACTATAGCAAAAGTTACTGGTACTTACATTTTCACCCTTTTCACTTCATTTTTTGCAATGCAACTTGGAATCACAAACATTGACAGCTTATATGGTGGAAAATAATAACTATTACCTACAGACTTGAACAGTCCTGGATACATAGATTTTATAGATAGTGCATCGAGTCTCAAAAACGGGTCAACTTTTTGTTAGTCAATAGTCAAATTAGCTGACACTTTTTTTTACAGTGTTCTATATACTTACGCACATAATGTATCTTGACATACCTATATTTAATTATTTAATAAATAAAATGAGTTTTTACGCATTGCAGATGCAAAAATTGTAAAACAAAATGAATATAAAAGTTATAAAGGAAACACTCATAACTGTTTATCACGTAAAATTGCATTAAAAAGTTGGCCCGTTTTTCTCGAAGCATTTGTATGGAGACACTCTATCTATATAATGTAAGTATGTATATATTTTTTTTTAATGGATGATAATGGAATGGTAACTCCACCCGCGCTATCGGTATACACCGGCGGGGCACCAGTGAAGGATGATAGGTGAGGATGAAGTAGGTCAGTTAGCCCATCGTGACGAATTCAACAAGAATTGTTCACGATGGTTTCCAGGGGGAACCACGTGGAGGTCGACCTAATAAGGCATATTGCTAGCAATGGGGCTGTCAAACTCCATTACTAACAATCCCTTTCCCCCCAGCATGTATATTATAGAATATGGTACTATATCTTTCATGCATTATGAGGAGTACACCAACTGTACTCTGTAATTTCACTGACATTTCAAATATCCTAATTCAGATACAGATGTTTAAGTTGATCGAAACGTATAAATGAATTTAAGCATTCATACTTACTTATGTATACTGTAATTTACAGTGCTGAGTTTATTACTATCATGGTTATACCATAAAGTTATTATTATTATCTTCCATGATAATTTATGATAATTATATAAATGTGATTTCAGCTTTAGTTCAATACATCAATCATACAAAGAGGGGGAAAGGGAGTATTAGTAATGGAGACTGAGAATCCCATTGCTAGCAATATACCCAACCAGGTCGACCTCCTCGCGGTTCTCCCTGGAAACTATCATGGTTAATTCCTGATGAATTCATCATGATAGGCTAACTGGCCTCTTTTCATTCTCATCTATCACCCTTCACTGGTGCTCCGCCAGCGTATCCCGTTAGCGCAGGCGGAGTTACCATACCATTATCACCCATCAAAAAAAAAATCATCATACAACAATTTAAATCTATATAATTTCTTAATAATACTAACGACTAATAGTAAGCAGTCTCCCAATGCACCACACCGAGGCAGCGTACCCAAGACACTGGCATCATTACCTCTTTGGATTGCCAAACTTATCTTTTGGGCAAAGTAGCTACCAGCTCTTGGGTCACCAGTAACCTCGATGAGGCGCGCTGCGAGTCTAATTAATTAGTTTAGTTAATTCAATTAATTTATATGATTAGTAGTATGATTAGGAATAGATTCTGTAAATTATAACATACCCTGAGCGATGAGTAATATCCAAGTGGCGGCTGCAGCCCAGTGGAGGTAGTTGTTGGCGAAACACCGCCACCAGCCGAGCAGACAGACCCCGACGTTCAGCCACGAGAACGCTACCGTCCACGCGATATTATAAGGGTCTGCTGTCTCGTCAGCTAATGATGATAACAGGCAGAGAACGGGTTGTTAGTAATGGGGACTTTTTTAATTGATGATAATGGAATGGTAACCCCGCCTGCACTAACAGTATACGCTGGCGGGGCACCAGTGAGGGATAATTAGTGAGAATGGAAAGGCAGGTCAATTCGCTCGTGGCTCACTTGGAATTCAGCACGATGGCTTCTAGAGGCGACCACAAGGAGGTTTACCTGATGAGGTATATTGCTGGTAATGGGGCCGATAGCCCGCATTGCTATCAATCCCTTCCCTCCTAGTAATGGGGACTAAAAATATAATTCTGTCTGATTCACATCCACGTATTCCTCCCCTGGCAAACTATTGTAATTGATTTGTTTATCACGATGAGCCCACCTGACCTGACTTTATCCTCACCTATTTATTCACTGGTACCCCGCCAGCGTGTATCGACAACAAGGATGAGGTTATTGTTTCGGATTCATCCGTTTTAAACAATTATGAAACCTACTTTTGAAAAAATGGATGATCAGGTGACTGATATCGGTTTATGCTGGCAGGGTACCAGTAAGGTAGGGTAGACAAACATGAAGTCAACTGATTTGGCCCATCGTGACGAATTCACTGGGAATTAATCACGATGGTTTCCATGGGGATTGCGTGAAGAACCTGATGTTTTAATTAAAGATGTTAGAAATATTGCAATATAGTAATATAACCTGTCAATTCAGGTCAAGACTGATTTACATTTCTTTTATTCAAAAAAAAATAATTAAACTTGACAAAGTTATGCAACTAATAAAAGATTTTATTTAAAAAAAATAGAGTTCAATCTTGAGAAATTTTTAATATACCTAATCAATATGGTTGTCAATCATAATAGATAATACAATAATATTCAAAATCGGTGTAACGATAATATCGCGTAACATACATATAAATATACAATCGAGCCGAGAACATAATTTTTTTAAGTCAGTTCAAAATACATTTCGTCATATTTCAGAATAATATTGTCACCAGGTAGTATTTTTTCCGTAAACCGATTAACCGGTCGTTGAACTAGGATTTTTTGTAATAAGACGAATCAACCAACACATTCCAAAGGCTGAACACAGGGATTGAAGGAATTAGAATTCATCCGGTCGAAATTAAAATCGGAATCCCATTTGTAATGCACCGATATTTTTTCTATACCATAAAGGCGAATAAGCATACATATATATATGTATATATGTAATGTGTAAGTATCATCATTGCCTTTTCATATTTATTTGGAGTCGGCGCTGTATGTCTATCAGAAGGAGACTTTGTACAAAAGTCGATTGCTTGGGTATTATTATATTAGTATTATCCCATTCGTGTTTCAACCGTGAAGCAGTTGTGTTTGGATGGCTGTGTTTCAGGGCGACCTCTACGCTCTAGAAACCATCGTACTGAATTCCAGGTGTATTCATCATCAGTCATCACGATGAGCTAACTGACCTGCTTTTTCATTATCCTTCACTGATACCTCGCCAGCATATACAATTAGCGCAGGCGGGGTTACCACTCCATTGAAAAAAAACTATTAATACCGTTCCGTAAAGTTTGTATAAATTTCGTACATTTATAAAAATTGTGTTTGGAAATATTATTAAAATATGAAAATCATTCTTATATATTTTTCGGTATTATTAGAGGTAAATTTAGCGATAAAAAAAAGTTATGTTTCATACTTACAATCATTAGTGGCGTTACTTCTCATTGTGTATATAAGGGACAGGCAGATCTGTATAGAAAAAAATATAGATATAAATTATATTGAAATTGTAAGTACAAAAATGTACCTTACATTAAATATAAATCCAATAAAAATAAAACATGCTGGTTCATATTTAAAAACCGAATATTAAGTTTTACTTTACTTAATGGTAGAAAGTTGCCAGCAGCGTTCCTTTTAAAACATTACCAAAACCTAACAACGGTTGCTAACCCGCCTGCCAAATGTGACTACTACTGGCAAAACCGCACAATGGCAAAAACCACAGGAAATGGACCTCAGACTATGGTTCGGTTCCCTCTGATAGTCTATGGGAGAGGCCTATGTTTAGCAGTAGACAAATAAAGGCCTATATGTTGATGATGATGTTAAAAATATAGAGCAAGAAGCTTGTATACAAATTATGTTTTGAAATGACCTAAAACTTACGTCTCTAATTTCTTTTATGATAGATTTTTATATTCGTGTGGATTAATTTTCGATTTTCTAACATTACGGGAAACAGCTAATACGAGGATAAATAATTATAACGTTTTAAAAGTATTTTATAATATGCCTTTATTCAAAATATCTATTGAAAGGTATCATAATATACCTGTTTTATAGTGTAATTTTATTAATTTAATGAACTGATTGCATAGATTCATACAAACGTTTTTTGTTTGAAATAACGCGGGCAGACAATACTAGTACCTATCATTTTAAATTTTCGAATTTAGAATTAGATACACGTTTCTTTTTTATCGATTACATTGAACACAGATTAAGGATAGTACCTGTACGCAATTACTACAGATCTGACAAAATTAAGCTGAATAGACTGCGTGCCAATTCCATAGGAATTCCGTAATAAAAAAAATAACAGCGTAATAATGAATTTTCATAAATAAATTGCCTCCTGCTGTTTTAAATGTATTTATCGTTCGGTTTGAGGAAAGAAAGTAGCAATTTTCATAGAATATGTGTTACAAAATAAATTTAAAATGTTCAAATTTTTATTTCACTGCGGAAGCGCCCGTCTTTTTCTTCAAAGGAGTATATTATCTTATCTAATTAATATAATAAAATTGTAACTAGATGATGTCTGTACATGAGAGATATTTAAAAAAATATAATATGAGGGGTATTATTAGGGCCAATATATGCCAAACCATATTTTTTAGAAATTTTGTTTGTTTGTATGTTTGTTTCGGTATCACGCAAAAATTTCTGCATGAAATTACATGTAGTTTTCACAATTGTATTCCTAAAGGTCTAAATTCAAATCTGGTATATGTTTTATCTTTATACCAACTAGAGTTAGTCTATTTCGTTGGTTTTATTTTTATTTCTACTTATCTTTATATTTCGCTGATAATATAGCTTTTTATAGGCGATTGATTTTTTAAGATCATATAAATATTTTTTTAAGCTATCCATTACAAAAAAGAAATCAAATCTTTTCTATTTCTAATATTAGTTTAGATAATAATTTATTAGAGGGAGACTTTGTACAAAAGTCGACTGCTTGGGTACCTCTGTCCCATACGTGTTTCTACCGTAAAGCAGTTGTGTTTGCATGGCTGTGTTTCGGTTTGAAGGGTGGGATATGGCGTGAATTTACTGGGTACAGAGGAATAACACCTGAGTCCTCAGGAATGGCAACGCATGGGGGGTATCATGGGCGAAATAGTATACTCTATTATGTCCATGGTACTGCTCATGTCTATAGGCGACGGTTATCACTTTCCATCAGGTGGGCCGTCAGCTTGTTTGCCATTCTAAGTCGTATAAAAAATACATGCGTATCAAGTGGCGGGTAAAACTGGCTTTTTGCCACTCAATACAAATAGAATAAAAAAGGAATTTAATGCAATATATGTCGGTAATTACGTAGAGTTTTTTTTTATACCACTGAGGTGGCAAACAAGCATACGGCCCACCTGATGGTAAGTGGTTACCGTAGCCTATGAACACCAGCAATACCAGAGGTATTACGCGTGCGTTGCCGACCCTGAAGAAACCTCTTTACCCCCCTTTTGAAGAACCACATGCTTAAGTCTCTTTTTTAGAGTTTCATCTAAATATATAAAATAAACTTTTACAAGAATGTGATACAATACCTTAAGAGCTAAGTCTACGACGTTGACCATAATCAGTGATTTTTGCCGTTGTCTCCGGGAATATCTTTGGTATGATGTCTCTATTGCTTCATCCTGTAAACATAATAATACATAAGTAATGCACAATCACACCTAACACCTCTTTCTCCTCTTTCTAATCCTCGAGGTGGGATACATAGTGTTAGAGGAACCAGGTAGTGAATATTTCGGAGTACAACCAACAACATCTAGACCAGGGGGAAGGGATTGTTAGTAATGCGGACTACCAGTCCTATTGCTAACAATATACCCTATCAGGTCGACCTCCCCGTGGTCCCCCTGAATTCCAGGTTTATTAATCACGATGGTCTGAATGACATGACCTTTTAACCTCATTTATCATCGCTTTCTGGTGCTCCGCCAGCATATACCGTTAGCGCAGGCGGGGTTACCATTCCATTATCGTCCATTAAAAAAACAATACCTAGACTCAACTTAGAAAAGATCTTTTCTTTATCTGGTCCTATCGAGAATAAAATTCGGAATCTCATTTAAAAAGCATCGTTTTTACTACTGCGCTATAGGTGTCGTCTTACAGTAGATGTGACGGATTTTTTTTTATTGGATGAAAATGGAATGGTAACCCCGCCTTCGCTAACGGGATACGCTGGCGGGGCACCAGTGAATGGTGATCGATGAGGATGAAGACAGCTCAGTTAGCCCATCATGATGAATTCATCTGGAATTAATCATGATAGTTTCCAGGGGGAACCGCGAGGAGGTCTTCCTGGCTGGGTATATTGCTAGCAATGGGATTCTCAGTCTCCATTACTAACTATCCCTTTCCCCCAAGTGACGGTATTTAAAAATTTACAGTACATAAATCGTTAGAAGTACCTAGATAAATGAAGTTATTACTATCTACGCTCAGATATGGTAATTAGGATTACTGAGTGCGTTACAGTATATTCAGTATACTATCCAAAAATTGCCTGAAAGATATCGCTTTCAACGATAAGGCCGTCCATTGTTTTCTAAGTATGATCATTTCTAGTAATTGTTTGTGTCTATAATAAGTTTACCATTGTAATCCTCTGGAGGTAAAAATAAAGAGTAATTATCTATTTATGTATTATATATTTTAAATATTTATATAGTTCTAAAAGCATATAATTGTCATACCTTAAAGCTATTTGTCAAGGAGGGCCAATAAATTCCTTTATAGTATCTCCCGGTGCGTAGTATGCCTTCTGTGTTCGCTGGAAACAAAGTTACGTATGTCATGTAATTTGTTTATTTATTTATTCATTAGTACAAATATGTTGTCGTGTGCTTCCAGCATGGAGTAGGCCGTGAGTATCGTGAGAAAAGACTAGGGGAACATAATGGTCGAGGAATGGCTAGCAGCATCTCTCTTAAAACATCTCCAAGGCCTAACTGCGATTGCCAAGCGTGACAGTATGCCAAGTACCAACTACTGGAAAACCTCTCCCAATAGAAAGAGGCCTATGTTCAGAGTGGAATTAGCGGCTGATATGGTATGAGGCATCAAAATCATCGATTTTGATGCCTCATTTGCTATCATCATTTTTTAATGTCATCCCATTTAAAAAAAAACAGATGAAAAACGAATGCGTCGGTAGCTACGTTTTCATCGTCTCCACGGATATTGCTAAGAATTTGACAGGTTCATAATAGTATAGAATAGATAATACTACAACGCAAGTTATGGATTCAATAAGAAAATTTTTATTCTGAGAAAATATCAATCAGTTACAAAGTATTTATTCATAATTTACAAAAGTGTTATAATTTACAAAGTTTGTGATACCACCGATGATATGCAACATATACTGTTAGAGTATCATATAAACTCGATGGGAAAAGAATTCATGCGCCATTTTCGGGCGAATAAATTAAATATTGGTTTTTCAATTTATATTAGCTGGTTATTCAATTTATATTAGCTGAACCCAAATCAGAAATTTTTTTTGGTATATCTCTGTAAATTATTGATACCCATTAATTTCTCTCCTTCCTTGAGTAGGGAAAGTAGAAATTAGTTCAAGGTACGATAGGGCTGATATATCTGAAAAGTTCCTAAAATAAAAAAAAATATATATTAACTATAATACAGTTTTGTCACTGTCTTTCAAATTGGGAATTAACTCAAAAGAAAGATACAAAACAATTCAATAGGTAAAATAGGTTTGACTTTTTTATGAATAATTAGTCATTGCCCTATTACGCAGAACGCTTACTAATATTAAATATGAAATTGAGTTTGTTTGTTTGTTTGTTACCTCTTGGCATCATCACGTGTCAATCAATCGCCATGGAATTTGTAGAGATCGGTAATATCTGATATCTATATATTAAGTTCTTCTATACATTGATGAGCATCCATTGCGATATAGCATACCGATATAGTCCAATATCTATATACATTATGAACGGGTTCTTCTTTTCCATATTATATATTGGATAATCGACAGTTAATATATCGAATAATGGGCCAATATATAAATAGATATTGTAACTACAATATATAAATATTGTCATATATTACCTCACCACCACATGCCTCACCAGAAGGAGACTGTACAAAAGTCGATTGCTTGGGTACCTCTGTCCCATTCGTGTTTCAACCGTGAAGCAGTTGTGTTTATATGGCTGTGTTTCGGTTTGAAGGGTGGGATATGGCGTGAATTTACTAAGTACAGAGGAATAACACCTGAGTCCTCAGGAATGGCAACGTATCATGGGCGATACAGTATACTCTGTTATGTCCATGGTACTGCTCATGTCTATAGGCGACGTTTACCACTTTCCATCAGGTGGACCATCAGCTTGTTTGCCTTTCTAAGTTGTATAAAAAAAAATATTACCCACCCTTACAAGGAAGGCGAGAATTTATTTTGGTTAGTCATCTTATCCCGGTCACGAGAAGGAAATTGCGAGAAAAATCTAATATGATATATAGATATGATATATAGATTAGAAAAGTTACATATATTCTTATTTATTGCTAGTTTTTTTATGGTGGTGATAACATACGCCATAACAAGGCCAAATGTGTATATATCGCATATTTTTCATTATTAACATTATCATAGAAGGAATAAGGAGGTTAGTGCCCTCAAAGCTTTTACACTGATGATTTGATTATACAATACATTTAGACAATAATTTATGGGAATGGCTAAAAATATGAAAAAAATATTACAGAATTATTTGTCCATTTTTTTATTTACATCAACTGATTTTACTTAATTCAGAAAGATAATCAAGGTGGTGACATTTGGCGTGGGTGAAAATGCCCCGTGAGTTCGTAGCCTTAGAAAATGACAAATCTTAATACATAAAATGTATTAATTCATTTATCTTAAAATACATTAATGTTGTTATCTATCAAAAAATTTGTTTCATTTACAAATTGATTTTGTCAGATTAATGCACCGCCATTTTAATCTCTGTGTTCAGCGTAACGGTTGACTGGTAGAGAATGCCATCAGGCATTAAGTCCGCCCTGTAGATATATTTTAATGTGTGTATAAATAAATAAAATTTTCATGTCATGATGTTCATTGACGCAGACCTCCGAAACCGCTCAACCAATTTAAATAAAATGTAAGTGTAGTGTGTATTGTTCGTTCGATCTCGAAAATATTTAGAATAGTTTTTATTTCAATAATAAAAAATTGAACCGCTAGATGGCGGTAACGAGCAAAACAAAGTTTTTTTCAAATTAGCCAGTATAATTATAATAAAATACCTGGATCATTGTCTGCTTCAAACGGATTAATACTATCAGAAGAAGAATCATCCTCGCTGATGCGCTGTGAAAAAAAAAAAACATATTAATATAGCAATTTTATAAGTACAGCGTAAAATCTAAATCACTGGCATCACTTAAGATAGCATTCAAGCTTTCAAACTGGGGGAAAAGGGATCGTTAGTAATAGGGACTATCGGCCCCATTGCTATCAATAAACTCTATCAGGATTGTGTTCTGAAGATCTCTTCAATATAATGCCTACAGCCACCTTTCACCATCGTACCTATCGCCATTAATAAAGATTCCATCCTCACACCTTAGAACCAGAATGGTCATGCACAGTGCGGTATGAGAAGAGTTTCCTCCCGCGAACACTCAGGTTCTGGAATGATCTTCCTGCTGAGGCTTTTCCTGGAGACTACCGCATGGGGTTTTTCAAAAAGGGTTTATTAAGGTTTCTTAAGTGTTGGTAACGCGCGCGTGACACCCTTGGCGTTACAGGCGTCCACAGACTACGGTAACTCCGTTTATGCTTGTTTGCGACCACAGTAGTATAAAAACAGGTCGACGTACACGCGGTTTACCCTGGATACCATCTTGCTTAATTTTTTTATGGATTCTTTACTATGGGCCAACTGACCTGCTTTCATCCTCACCTATTATCTCTCAATAGTAGGGAACCATTCAGCACCAGCGTAGGCATACTGATTTTTTGTTAGCTATGGTGGGTTAACAGACTTGCCCTCCTCCTCATCTATCATCCTTCACTGGTACCTTGCCGGTATATACCAATAGCGCAGACGAAGTTACCGTTCCATTTTCACACATTAAAAAAGAATTGTCAAGAACAATCCTTTAAAGAGATACTAAAAAATTCGATTTCACCTTATAGATGCCTTATAAACAATTCAAACTATAGTTCATTAATCATCTAAAATTAAAAATTAAAAAAAAAAAACATAGAGCGCGAAAAAAGAGTAATTTGAAATGTGTTTTGTACAGCCTCGTGCGGCCAGTATTATTGAACAAAGTTATGTCTAGATATAATGAAATTGCTAACTTTAAACACATTGATTTCCCGAGGGGCAGTGTCTCTGACATGGACATCGTTATCCTACGCGGTGTTCCGACGGTTGAATTCGGGAACTTTTTAGAATAATAACCATAGCGCGCGGTTTCACCCGTATCGCTTACGTGCTGGCAGCAACATATTGCACATCTTTTTTATATTTCTTTTTATTTCCGTCGAAGCGGACGGTAGTCTTGGCACCTTCTGTCAAGTCGTCGGTCCCTTTCAATTGCCACACGGTCTGAAGCATCTTTGCCCATAGGGGATCATCACGATACAATTGCTTAAATATACAAGTTAATTATAAATCTTCTCTTTTTGAAAATCGCTTAAAATCCGTCAAGCCATTTACGTTACACATACTTATAATCGGGGCATAATACAACAGAAAAATATTACTCCCTTTTTGACAGTCGAATAAATAAGTACTGATATAAATTACTGCTAATATACCTGGTCGTCAGGAGCGGAGCAGCTAGCGCCATCTCCCGGCAGCCTCTCACCAACAGGTATGACCGCTTCCTCCCCTTCTCCTTCTCTGGCGTTATCACAGCTCCGTATTTGTCCCTGCAAAATAAAATATTTACATTTATACGACTTCTTATTACAATTACAATATAATGCTTTCTATGGTTTATAAGAAATGGGAATTAACGCGATCAATTAAGTGAACTATGATCACCATTTCAGCCGTTAACTGTCCACTGCTGAACTTAAGCCTTCCCTATAAGGGGAGTTTTGTCAGTTGGCAGGCGAGTTAGCAACTGCAGTTAGGCTTTTAGAGATGTTTTAAGAGGGACGCTGTTGCATATTCCTTTACAATTAAATTCCTTTATTTTATCTCTTACGACACCCATAAGAAAGGAAGGGGTAGTTTATTCTATGCCGGAACCACACGGACTATGATATTTTTCTTCAATTATCTCAACTTTTGGATCGGGTTACAACATTAGTACCCTGATGTAGTGCTGTCATGTCTCCGCTTTCGCTTCTACTGAGGGTTTCTGTACACAACACTGACCGTGTCTTCATTCGATGCTTTTACCGACTGTTACTGTTAGGTTTAACTAAAAGATCGTGTCGGGGGGGGGGGGGATTGTTAGAAATGCGGACTACCAGTCCCATTGCTAGCAATATAGGTCCGGTCGACCTCCACGCGGTTCCCTCTGGAAACTATCGTGCTGAATTCCAGGTATATCATCACGATGAGCTAACTGACCTGCCTTTTCATTCTCATTTATCCTCCTTCACCGGTAATAGGAAAAATTTATTGTTAGTAATCAGTCAATTAGTGATTCCATCGCTAGCAATATTTATTATTTATTTATTTATTCATATATAATATATTATACATATTTTTGGTGAATTTTATAGATTTACCAATGTACTCACCAAAAACAAAAAAAAAAAAACAAAATTATAATAATACATTAATAGAAAAAAAAATGTAATTATATCAGACAAATAAACATTAAAAATGTAATTCTGCGTAATTTGTTAGCGTCCAGCGTAACTCTGTGGTATTACAGTGAAATAAGTCCAGCTGCTCTAGACAAGTGACAAGCGTATTCGCCGACGGAATCGACATCGTTAGCGAGTCCATGAGTTGGAATGGGACATCCGACGTTGCTATCCCATTCTACCTCAAGAACTTACTAGCGATGTCGATTCCATTGAAGAATTCGCTTGCCACTTGTCTAGAGGGCCAGTTCTGAACTCGCAACTATATACATATATACCCTACCAAATTGCCTTTTATCGTGATTAATGCATAATAAATTCATCACGAAATACCAACTTATCTGACTTTACCCTAATTCAATATATCAACAGCGTAGACAGAGTTAACTTTCCTTTTCCTCCCTGTAGAAGGAGATTATTAGTATATATATATATATATATATATATATATATATATATATATATATATATATATATATATATATATATATATATATATATATATATATATATATATATATATATATATATATATATATTCATTTCTATACAGTCGGCTAATAAATCAACTAATGCATGACAATCGACCTCCACGGTTCAGATGATTGAGGGGACTCTAACGCAAATAGATAGGCATTAGTTTTATTTATAAATTGAAGTTATTAGATACATATCATTGGCCGCAATGCACGTGTAAATTATTAATTTTTTTATGCAACTTTGAAAGACGAATAAGCTGACGGCCCACCTGATGAAAAGTGGTAACCGTCGCCTATAAACATGAATTGTATCATGGATATAACAGAGTGTGCTGTGTCGTTCATGGAACCCTTATGATTTACCAAGTCTGAGGACTAAGGTGTTATGGCTCTGTACCTTGTATTTCTACTATCATATCCCACAAATAAATATAATATTTCTATATATTTTTTTATACAATTTTGAATGGTAAACAGGCTGACGGCCTATCTGATGGAAAGTAATAACCGTGGGCTTTAGAATATATTGCCGTATGGTCCCGGCATGGAACAAGCCACACTTTCTTTTCCAGTAGGTGTAGTAAGAAGCAGGTAACTTGATGGTGGAGGGATGGGCAGCAGCACAGTGCCCCTTCCAAAACATCATCAAAACCATACTTGCATTTGTCAACCCGCCTACCAAACGCAGCAACTACTGGCTAAACCCCTCAAAAGGGGACGCCCCAAGAAAATTAGACAGATTCGCTTTTTCGAAGTCTCTTAATTATGGCTTCTACCCTACCTAAAAGTTCTTTTGCCCTATCTTAATCTTAGATCTAGCTATGGTCCTGTATGAATCCCACAATATTTTTTTTGTTTTCAATATAGAAACAGCAAGTGATCGTCTATGGAAGTAGACAAGTGTGTAGGATAATCATATCGCTATGTAAACGCATTAGGGCCGTGTCGGTCGTTATCACGACGACCACGTTGTAAGTAGTATCGACCACGCCGCGACGCCGTGTGTACTATGATTCATTTAATACATATAAACTCAATACTATGAACTGAGCTTTTTATTGTTATTATAAGTATTATTACTCTTTTTATAGATAAAGAATATGTAAATGTCATATGACTAATCTAATATTAACTTTTTCCTCTGTTGTCGATTATGTGTAAATGTCTTCGTAAAAAATAAAAGTTAATTAAGATTTTAAATTGAACAATTTGAAAGATTCATACGATAGAGTTGAGCTGTATGGGCAGAGTCCTTTGCCTTTCCATTTGGGATAAACAAAAACAAAAAAGTTGAAACAGCTAAACAAATACATTTTAATTTATAATATTTGTAACAGTCTTATTTCTGTGATTTAGAAGTGCAATTAAGAATATAAACAAACTAGCTTTTACTCGCGACTTTATTCGCGTTAACGGGATAAAAATTTGCTTATATCCAGCTTCATCTCATATAGAATATGTATACTAAATTTTATAGTCATAAGGTAACAAACAAATTCACTTTCACATTGATCATGGGTGGGTGGGTGATCATGGGCGGCGGTAGTCACTTACCGTCAGGTGAGCTGCATGCTCGTTTGCCCCCTGTGTTGTAAAAAAAAACATACCGCTGAAATTTAAGTTTCTACAAATAAAAATTTTTAAACAGATAGTTTTTACTCTGTAAAGAGAGATCGCAGTACGGAAGTTAGACCTCTTCAACTCAAGAAAGAATTATCAAAACTAGCAGCTTAACCACGTTACAAAGCCACGAAAAAAAAATTGAGAACTTTCTGTTTTTGAATGTCGCAAACGTATTTATATCATATTGCATAAACTTGACGTACAAATATGTGTATCATAAGACAGATATCAGTTTTATATCGAGCGACATGTGTACCAGTTGGCAAGCCTGGGGTCACCCGCCATGCAATAAAAACCTCTATCAATCATCCTCCGATGGCAAGCTCAATATGAAATATTGTCGTCTACGTATTTACTGATCGACCTTAGCGGTTTTATTTCCATTACGCCATATTTTTAGATTCGTTTATAAGTGTTCGTTCAGTATTAAGGAGGGTAATGTTTTTTTACTGTACTTCAGGTTGTTTTGAGGTTATTTATGATTATTATCTATGTATCATTGGCTGCATATGAGCAGGTATTTTATGTGTTTAATTTAGCATATGCTAAATTAAACACATAAAATATATATACTAAAACTATATAGTCCATCTGTGTATTAATGTTCATGCTACAGATCATGTTTATAGGCGACGGACGAATAAAAAATTAAAATTAAAACTTGTGTCTTGCAAAAAAAAAAAAAATAAACTTCAGTTATGACAAAACCAGTTATTTCTATCTAATAACTAAAAGATTATGATAACATTTCATTTTGATAACATTTCTATGGGACCAATCTGTAAGTATAAAGTGTAAAAAATTTTTTTTTTATCCTTTCAGATAAAAAAGATTTTTTTCAAATCAGTTTACAACTCTGTCAGTTGTTATGAGGTAACAAGCATAAAATAAATACAACCGAATTGAGTACTTCTCCTTTTTGAAATCGGTTGAAAATCAATCCAATGTGTACAATGTATAATCTAAATGACCTAACATCTATATAGTCAAATATTTTTACAAAGTCTCATATCTGCATAAATAAAAATCAAAGGCCGGCAACACACCTGCAATGCCTCTGGAGTTACGGGTGCTCTTGGGTGGCGGTAGTCACTTACCTGCCACATTACACCTTGTTTTATTAAAAAAAAATATTGTCGAACTGTTCATACAATAAGCACATAATTCCAGAGCAGTTGCATCTATTTGGCTAATTCTTTTTTGTACAAGTTTTGTAAAAGTGAAAATTTTGAGTTAAAGAATCAGAAAAAGTGATTAGTGAAAGATTTAATCCCACTTTTTTCATTAGTACACCCATGCGAAGCCAGGATGTGCAATTAGTTTATAATATTAATAAAAAGAAAAAAACACTAGTATGTAAAAAATGTAGTTCTTACTGACGTATTGTGCGACACTAGTTTGTTTTTAATTACTTCTTTATTACAATCTGTAACCTTCTAACATTCTTTTTCAATCTCCAATTAACGCAAAGCTCAATCCCTGATATCTGTAATAGAATGTGGAGGCAGTGAGACGACGCGAACACGCCTCTGTTTCGACCCGATAGAGCGCACCGGATACGTATGTGTTTTTGAAGTTCGATAGGTAATTAATTGTACTTTTACAAACGTACAGACCTCCGACAGACAGATAAAGATTATGAACGCATTAAGTTTTCCGTGCAATAGGTTATTAAACTTGTTTTATAAAAAATGTAATAAGGTCATCTCTGCAATTGTTATTTCCTGACACTTATTGTAACATTAAGGAATACAAATAAATAAATATCAAAATATTATGAAGTATATATATGAAGTATATAATATATATATATATATATATATATATATATATATATATATATATATATATATATATATATATATATATATATATATATATATATATATATATATCTCCCGTAACTATGTCAAACACAGAATTGTCCAATTCTTTGATTTATTTTTAAAATTATTCAATTTTTTAACACTGAAACTAATACTTTTTTGATATATTAACCGGAAA